ACATCCACATAGTCATAATACCAAGCATGTACATGTCAAATCACGACTTGTTCTCTGTTCTCAAATATCTTCCGATCTGCATGATTGACTGTTTTTCTCTCAGAAGGAAGATACTCCCTCGACTCGCCAAACCTGATGAGCTTCGTCAACATAGGGTAAGCTAAGTCACCCATAAAGCTAGGTCAATCATCTGCATATTCATTGATTAAACAAGCTACGCAACCACCTGGAGCACAAAGGGCCCCCTCCCCACGAAGATCCTTTCGCTTGCGCGTCTGAATTTCCTGTGCATTCCTGCGGTATAAAGAGTTATAGTCAATCGCTTGAGTCCATCGGGACTTTGCTGTCGACCAAAAGTCCGATTTCTTGGGAGAGAAAAAAAAAAAAAAAAAAAAAAAAAAAAAAAAAAAGGGCAAAAAAAAAAAAAAAAAAAAAAAAAAAAAAAAAAAAAAAAAAAAAAAAGGGATGTGGCAGAATGTCTGATTGAGTATAGGCTATGGGATCGTGGAGCCCCACAGTGGATGGACACTGGCAGATAGTCCGTAAAACCATTCGCTAGTAGGTAAAATTATCTGAGAGTAACTTCTGTGTTAAATCAGATGGCTATTTACGCTGCTTATCAGTTCGCCAGCCTGGCCAATCCGGATTTACCATTTGATTTTTGCACACGCAGAAAGCTAATCATTGCTGAGTTGTCCCAAGGTGGGTAAGTATATCAAAGACTCCCCTCTTTCTTTTGAGTATTCTGGTAGGTTAGACGCAAACTGACGAAAACAGTAAGAAAGGGCGCCAATCATGTACAGCTACATGACCACCTGACTCGAACCTTGCATAAGCTGTCCAAGGCAGCAACACATGGCTTATGCATCGCGGTACTGCACTTTCTGTATCTTTTTTCAAACATTGGCCTAGATCTACAACTATTAAAAAATGTGGGTGCTGGATAATTCCGATGAAAAATTCGAACTTAAATCGCTTGTGAAAAAGTCTAACCTTGTATATAAAAACATTCCAAAACTCTATATGAACAGAACATCATATCATCTCACGAACAAACCACATGACTCGATAAGATAGGTATAGCCTCCTAAAAATAGGCAAAAAGCAAAGGTGGGTAGTACAGTGCGCATATTCAGACCAAAAGCCGAGCTCTGAGGCGTCTGTTTCGTCTGGGGATACTTTGCATGCATTGTGTTAGATATACATATACTTTTACCTGAATAAGATCGACAAACTCACCTCGTAGACCCACCCTTCTAGACCTGCAATATGCGTAGTCCACCACATGTAGAAGGAGCTCCAGGGATATATCACCCAGTTGTATCCGGTTTTTGGGTCGATGAACCACTACACACATAGGTCATGATCAGCGGTGCCGTTAACACGAACTGGGAGAGCAGCATCATTAACGACATTCAGAGGCTAATTCTGCAGTATGGGTGTGGGAGGTTCCTACACTGCGGCATGTGTTGTTAAACACTGTGTTTTTCAGCGCGGCCTGCAACCGCTCGTTGTATGCATTTTCGCTTAACATATCGGGTTCCACGGAGACTGCTGATCCGGCTATTATTGGTCTGATGATCCTTATTATGAGGTCGGTGTAGCTATTCCACGGTTAGCAAGGTTTCCTCTCCAGGGGAATTTTTGATATGCTACGTCATAGCCTCAAAATGTCCACTGACTTCTCAATAGATAATACCGCAGACGTATGCCCGCGACCGGAATTGGGACCCAGGATATAGAAGAAGTTAGGGAAATCAGACATGCCGATACTGTGGTAAGCCGTGATATGACCGGCTTCTTTCCAGTATTCTTGTCGACTGCGCCCACCGCGACCGCACAGCTCGGTGTCATATTGGGTCAGAGAGAATCCGTTGGCTAGAACGATTACATCTGCTGGGTATTTTGCTCCTGATTTGGTGGATATCGATCGTTCGTTAAGAGCGATAACCTCGTCATCGGTAAGGCGAACGTTATCACGGTTTAGTGTAAAGATGTAACCTTCGTGGTCGAATACCCTCCGCTGTATCGGAAATTGATCAGCCTATATGCTTTGTGGAGGTTACTCAACATATGTACCTTGCATCCGACTTGATAGTCGGCCAGTAGGAGCGGCCAGTACTTCTCTGCAACTTGAGGTGAGAGTAGCTCAGACGACATTCAGAGCGTAGCTCACCTGGCGCATTTTCTTTGACGTAACGCTCGCTTATTTCAGCTGTTTCTCTTCGCATATTCGCTCCAGTCTTCGTCAGGTTGAACTGGAGTGTTGACGTTTCGAGGTATAGAAAGATAAGGAATCTGACAGCAAGAAGTACGCAGGGTACGTAGCGGAAGATAGTTTGCCAAAAAGGGTCTATGGCCACATTACTTCCTCCTGGGAGGAAGTATTGTTTTGACTAAATGTGACCATCACACATTAGGAAGTCACCCTACAAGAGCAGGAAAGTAGAGAACTTACCCTCATAAATTGAGTGATCGACCGAGCATCTTTTGCCACGGCTGGTATTAGCTGGGTTGCTGAGGCTGAAAGGTGTCAACTAGTGATTGATCTCCATAATGCAAAAGGCAGCTTACCTCCATTTCCAAGCACGATTACATTCTTGTCCCGCAGCGACACACTTTGATCCCATCTGGCAGTGTGAATAATGTCTCCCTGGAAGCGGTCAACGCCGGGAACATTCAACGAATTAGGGTTCGTCAGAGCCCCAACCGCCGATACTAATATGTTACAGCGTTGTGTATACTCCTTGCCAGAACTAGTACTCCTCAGCTTAACCAACCAGGTCTTATCGTCGTCTTGCCAGGATGCTCCTATCCATTCTGTGTTTCCCACCAGGTGACGAGACAGGTCGTACTTTGAGACTACATTGTTGATGTAGTGTAAAACCTCATCGCGCTTCGGGAAAAAATTCGAGAAATTTGGGTTGGGCGCAAAGGAAAGGCTGTAGAACGCAGCTGGGATATCAACTCCACATCCTGGGTCTGAGGATCTCAGCGACTGCGTTGTGAGTAAAGAAAAAACTGAAGGTATAGTTGACAATACATTTGTTTGCTAGCCACGTCCCACCAAAGCCGTCGTCGCGATCATAGATAACAAAGTCATCGCACTTTAGCTCTCGTTTTAACTGGCATGCCATTGCGAGACCGGAAAACCCAGCCCCGACAATGATGACCTTGGAAGAAGAACAAAAAGCACCTGATGCCATGGCAAGAAGAATATTTCCCTACTCAAGGGATAAGACAGCACCTGGGGGGGAGAGGGGGGTGATATAATAGCATGGAAGTTTTCGAAGAGGAGCTTGCATGAGGTATGATATAGATATTTAACAGTTTTGGGGATTAGGCTGCGTGGAATCATGGTGGTAGTGGCATTTACTATTTACTAATCTAGTAGGGGGAAAGAAAGGATTTTTTCAGCTACCACAGACCACCACTCAGAACGGCTCGCAACAGGCTCTCTTCTTTGGGAATAAGTCGAAGTTTCCTGGAATTACGTTTGCTATCGGAACTTGTTGCTTACAGCTGACTCACTGGATTGGGCTGGGACCACTGCTTAGCGCGCCACGACATCCTACTGCAGTTGGCCCCCAAAAACCCCATACCTAAGCTAATCAGTTTGTCTACTCAGGTATAGTCTACGATACTGCAATCCCTTACGATAAAATTCATCAAAATGATTTCTAATCTAGGTGCTATCTACAAGGGCACGATCAGTGGTGGGAGGGAGGGGGAAACGGTATTGAAGCACCTTCAATCTAAGCCCAATCTTACTTGGTCTAATTACTTCCAGAACAGAATCATGAATCAGAACTGCTCACCTTTTGCCCAAGTCTTATTAGCATGGCGGGGAAGCTGGAGCGACAGGATATCCAGATCTCCGATGCAGCCTCCATCGTACCCACCTATCGGTTCGGCTACGGGCACCAAGTCGATCGGCACGAACACTCACTCGTTTCACTCGGTCATGATTGAGGGGAAGGCATCGTGGTAACACAGATTGGGTTCTTGCTGTGATAGGGATTATGCTGTGTAACCCAGCACGAGCAAGGGACACCGCCAGAACGAACGATCCGTCCAGTCTCACGCGCACACTTACGTGTTGCTGATCCAATTATTTGGAAAACTCTCGTCTTCCGCGGAGTCCAGATGCTGACAGCATATGGTCGACTCGCGAAGTCTTGCCTTTTATGAACCCGCGGACATTGATAGGTATCTATACAAACTGGGCTGTCAATTATGTCTGCCGATTCATTGGGCTGCATGATGCATGTCGTTTACGCGGTGTGCGTTGTCCCCCACACTCCCCATGCCATTCTTCCCACCATTGTGTCATTGCTTCAAACATTTGAGGATACCATACACCTTTAACGTCCTGAAGGACCCATCAAGTCATGTTTCACCAATACGCAAATTCCTGCGAAATGCACTTTGGTTGACATCAGTCAGTGAATGTATTCCAAACCTCTAATCTGGGCGTATAACATGGAGACAAAGATAACTACCTATGTTTGACATCTCTACTATCCCTTGTCCTTGATATAAGTATGATAACTCCGACAATTGGTGAGTCCATACCATAAGGTGTGGGAGGCATTTCCTGGCCATTCAGAGCTGCCGACGTGTGTACGCTCTTGTTAGTTGGATATAGTTGTCATACCCTAGTGGCAAATGATACGGAACGAATCCTTTTAATGGGCTTACAGGGGCGATGGTTCTCCCTCTTGCTAGCCAAATAATGTTTATATTCCAGCTGCGAGGCACTGATCTACCCGAGAGCAAGATTGCGATATCCTTTCCTTGGCAACTTATGCTTGATGATATTTGGCAGTCTGGTCGCGGGCTGGGACCTCTTAAATTATTCAGCTCAACGTTGATCTATAGATGGCTGCTTAAGGAGGGTCTAAGTACTTCGGTCGGTTATACCAACCCGCTTCAAACCTCTTTCGACTAATTAGCTGTGTGTCTTCGTTCATCATCTCGTCGGCATCTTTTGTGGCATCATGCTTTTCAAGAATCTTGTGTATTTGGTGTTCGTTGCAACATGTCTGATCTCGAAGACAGATACTGGATTGCACGAGATCCTCCGATGCTTAGTTTCTCTCGTGGTGGCTTGCATCCTATTTCTTTTCATTAGACTAGTCATGGCCGCCTTGTCGAGACAGCGCTTGATCGTACACAATCCCCTCGTGAAACCAGAATTCTTAGGCAGGCCTCTTCTCTTTCCAGCCAAATTGTCCCATGCACGCAGGTTCCCTGTAGTTGAACGATACAATTACTGGTATGACTACTTCATGGTAGGAATTCCAGTGGGGTTTCGCGGTCGCATCGGAAATCTCATCTCTATTGACAACCATCCAACGTCGGAGAGCATTTTGGAGAAATGCTGGTTCACCATCGACCCGGCCAGGTATCTCGAGCCGGGGAGTAGTGACCTAACGCTCGAGGAGAAATTGCATATCTTCCTAACTAACCTAGTACGATCTGATCCTTTCTAAACTTTCTTTGATCTCATAACTGACTTGATCAGGGCGAGAATCCTAAGGAATTTCCATACGCTTACATGCTCAGTGTCCCGCAATTCTTATGGTGGCAGAAATTCGTTATAACCTACTGGTATCTCTACTCACCAGCGCGGGAGCTGACTGCAATGATTATGGAGGTCAATAATTCTTTCTATGAGAGGAGAAACATATTCTTCCGCTTGTCTCAGGATGGCATGCCTGTTTATGAGCCTCCACACCCTCCCTCGACAATAGTAGCCTCAGCCAAGGGGGTTAGCGAGTCGGTAACTCTCCACTCTCTCTCCTCCGCTTCGAGGAAAAGATACTACAAAGGATATTATGATAAAGAATTTTTTGGTTCTCCTTTCGAAAAGGTGGGAGGTCATATACTTTCAAAGACTGTGGACATTCTCCAAGGGCCGTCCCTCGAGTCCACGTTGAGCTCCAACGACCCAGATGGACAGGTGAAAGTCACAAGTCGTCTCGCGTCCTGGGGTGACCCCGTCGACCCTCTTACGGCCAGTGGCTGGACTATTGCTCGGTTCATTGCTCGATGGACACATGTTGGGGTGATATCTACGCCGCGGATAATCAAGGAGGCTTTGCGAATTCGCTTTCGTGGCAATTTGGAGTACCTACAAAGACCTGAGGTCCACCCTGGGTCGAATCCACGAAAGGAGACTAATGTCGAAAGGTCAGTTGCATCTCCCCTTGTTTTGGATAATACAGTCCTAACATCTTCTTACTGAGACAGATCTTTGGAACCATTCTTCCGCGAATATCTTTCTCAGCTCGCCGCCCATTGTACATTTCCCTTGTGCATCCAATATATACCCTCAAGATCGAAAAACTTCGATCGCCTTACCTTCAACTCTCCCATTCCCCCAGCGTCCCATCCTAGACCCGTTCTAAAAATCGAGACCTTGACTCCACGATTCTATACCTCCATTACAGAGCACCCAGACGCCAAATCAGCCTTCGCCAGAGAAACAGCAGTGCGTCCCACAAATTCGGACCCAAACTCCCGCTACCTCAGTGTATCGGATACCTCCCTTCTAGATAAACTACTTGCTACTTCAGGCTCGTCTATAGAGGCGAGCTTGAACAAAGCCAGCAAGTCCATATCGAAGGATCAGACAGACCAAGATGGGATAGCAACAGCACTTCTTCGACTCATGATTTCGAAGGTGCGCGGCTCTCCTCATGAGACACTCATCGATCGATTTGTCTTTCAAGACCACGGTCGGTTTTCCCCAGCCCAACGACGGACCTACCTATTCAGTGTATTGCATTATCAATTGTCGCTTCGTCTTCCCATTGAGTCTCAGGCCATGGTAATGCTCGGTTTCATCACCGCCCGTGCAATGATAGTTGGCGGTCTTTTGGATGCTTTCTACAGTCTCTGGGCGCGGGAAGGTCTCGCAAACTGGGTTTGTGACGAGGTGGGCATAACTCCTGTTAAGGGCGCTTTGGCGTTTGCGGGTTGGGACATGACCAACAACTATATCGGGCATTTTTATGTGAACCCATTTGCTTGGGGGGAGGGTCTGTAAGATGCCAAGTCCGGTAGGCAGGGGGATCTTGAATGGGTCTGATTTGATGTTTTACTTGTGACGCCATTTGAGAAGTATTGGGTTAGGACTACGGTGAGCTATAGAAGGGTCCGGAATAAAGTCTCTTGATGATAGGCCCAGTCGAAATGGTAGTAGCTATACAGAATATACAAGCTCATGCAAATGTCCTAATTCTAGGACCAGACTCGCTATAATAAACCTGCCATAAACGCCAGATGACATGCACATTAATATGAACAATGCTACAGAAAGATAAGATTGACTGTCTTGGGACGAGGGACATTGAGGCGGACCATCCAAGATCTCCTATGGTAACCACATCTGACCAGGTTGAAAGCACGAGAACCAGGAATACCCGCTTACAGGAGGAGTCTTGGGGACGACCGACTAACTATCAATCAAATAGGACAGAGATTCCCAAAGGTTGCGTTGGTCCAACCAGCCCCGAAGTAGTTCTAGGAGCAATAGTCATGATTCTTTAATTCCCTGATTCGAAGGTGAAGTAATTGCGATCGGGCAGTGTCAGATCATTAGACACTGTTGCCCTTCAGGGCTAGTCTCGGTCCTTCCGCTTTTGGAATCCCAACCACTCCAGTTCTTCCTTGATCTCTATATCTTGGAAATTCTTGGTTCTGCAACTTACTTCAAGTGGCGATACCAGTTGGGATACCCTCTTAAGTTCGGCTGAAACCATTTGCTTTGAATTAGAACATGCACCAGTTCTCTGTCGGCAAGCAATCCTTGCAGTGTGAACACTCCCTTGAACAAGAACAGGCAGTAATGCCGCGCGAGACCTGGTAAGAACGAAGCGACTTTCTCGGGTAGGACCGCCTCATAAGGCTGAGACTTGGAGAACACCGAGGAATATCATTTCCTCTGTTGGAAGAACGGAACACCCCGCAAGTGCCAGCATGTGGCCATTAGCTTCAGGGGAATTTTATGTAGGGAGGGACTCCACAGCCGCCAGGCATGGAGATATAAAAAGAACTGGGCGATGTCATACATAAATTAAGCTCTGACGGGTCTCTACCTTCAAGTTGGATTCCGTGAGAAAAGGGACTGTTCCCAGAATGTCTTACACATCCATGCTTGAATCATCGCTCTTGTCCTCTCCTGATTCCGTCAACATGCTTCGTTTGCTGGTTTTCTCGGTTCTCGTTGCTACAGGTCTCGGGTACCGTCTAACGGAGTACACAGGCAAGCGCTGCACAAAAGCTGAAGCTGGATTTCATCGGCTTGCAGGAGCTACTGCGTGCAATAAAATCAATTATACCGATGCAAAGTCAATACTAGTGAAGGTTGACAATGTCTATGACGACCAACACTCAGTTATAGTGTACGAAAATGACGACTGCACTGGATCCATCCTCGGAGTCCTCGAGAATATGAACGGCTGCTTGAACCTCCATGGGCTTAACAACGTCGTCGGCAGATCTGTAAAGATTATATCCGGTACTGTGGAATCCACAGTGTTTGCGAATGAAGGGTTTGAGACCAATTACCTATACAATCTTCCTGCGCAGGATAGAAGCCATATCATGGTCCCTATTGCCCATGCTTTCTTCCGCACGGTTGGCATAACCAATCACGCGGACGACGGTACCTACGACGACGAAGCCTTTGACATTTTCATCACTACTGAGCTTGATCATGTCCTCCGCTTAGAGAGCAACGGCGTAATGCCTCTCGCAGAACCCGACATTACAGAATCAGACAGCTCAACATCCATCCATCTCGAAAGGGCCGATCTACTCAAGCGGATATCAGGAGGGATGGAAGGGCTCGAGGCAGTAGCGAATTCGTTCGCGATGCAAGTTTCAGAGACAATGAGGGTCATCTATAATTCCCGGCCCACCTCGCACAGGAAGTGGAGAATACATTCAAACGTGCCGCCGAGCGAGCATCGAGCAGGGGAGATTTTGACTTCTTGCACTCCCATAAGAATCAGGGACGTCTGGTCAGGAGATTGATTGATTCGGCTCAGTCGCAGGGCCTTACCAACGCGCAATGGAATTGGAAAGATAAGTGTGGCAGGACATGGGAGGTAACACTCAAGATGAGAGATCATAATGAGAATGAGGGCGGGTCATTATGGGGTTGGTAGTACCATTTCTCTAATTTGGATATTCTAGTCCATTCTCTCCCTAGACATGGTGTGTCCTAAAAATGTTATGCCTGTGCTCATGATTGGCAATATAACTTACTATATACAGACAGACTTTTTTTATTCAACAATCAGAAGAACAAGCCACATATTCAATGGTAAAAACTAAAATCAACATTTATCAGCTGTCTTCCCTCCCACAGCGAAGTCGTTTACATCGTTTAGTATTCTTAGAATATAAAGCTACTAAACGGCTTGACCCACATAACAAGTCCGATGTGGTGTAACGGCTAACATCGCCGTCTTTCACACGGCAGCTCGGGGTTCGATTCCCCGCATCGGAGTTTCTTCTTTTGTTTTTCTTTTTCCGCAGTAAAAAACAACAACACTAATCTCCACAATGGAAATTCCTTTTGATAATAATGTTCTTTTCTTCGACTACAATGACATTTTGATTTTGTCTTTTTTTGCTCTCGCTATTATACTCGACAGTTTCCCGCTACACTACAGACTACTCACGCTATGTTGGGTCAGAATTGATCTCATCTTGGCACTTGAGTGGTAACGATTATTAAAGGACCGATATATATAACGAAAGCCATCTATAACAAGCACTTAAACCACGCAACCATAGGAGAACAGATATTACAATATAAAAATCATGACCTAGAGTATTGAAATGAGATCGTAGCTCATGCAATCAGTATTAATATTCCACCAGGAAAAACATTCAAAAAAAGATGGGGAAAATGAACGTGCTACAAGGCATTCCCCTAACAACCACTCAATCCACCCCCCAATAAGGGCAAAAAGAACAAGTCCCTAGAGCCACCACTATCACCGTTCAATCCCTCCAAGTAAGCAGCAACCCCATCATCAATCCCATACTCAGCTGCCATATCCAACCACTCTTTCCATCCCACCTGCTGGAATTCAACACCCTCCTCCTTCTTCAAGAACATCCTCAAATCACTCGCTTTGAACCGCTTCTCCCCACAAACATGCGAATATTGTACTCCAACCCCACTAGCATCATCACCACTAACAACCCTCCTCACCACCATCTCAGCTGCTTTCTTCACCCCGATCAGATCAAAATATCCCCTCCAGGACCCAGTCTCAGGGATAGCTCTCATCCGTCTACTCAGATCCAACACAGATTCAATAACGCCACCACTCGTCGCTGCGATGGTCATGTTCCCTTCTCCAGTGATAGCCGTAGGACGATAAATACACACCGGCACATTAGTGTATCTTGTACTAGCCTTCTCGAGGAATACCTCACTGGCCCATTTACTAGCCGTGTAGCCCACCGTATGTCCACTAGGTGATCCGTCCATGGGTGGGGGATAGCTTGCTACCGAGGACTCAAGGAACTCGTCTTTTCCAGATAAGGATGTGACGCTGGCAGTGGAGATATAATGGAAGGGGACGCCGCGGGATGTGCATAGACTGAAGAGGAATTTCGTGGACCCGACGTTCGCGGCACGCAGCGCAGAGTACAGCTTTAGGAATGATACGTCGGCGCCGTTGTGGATGATGCAGTCGACAGTGGAGGCGAGGTGAGTGACTTCGGCTTCTCTGAGGCCGAGGGTCGGATGGGAGAGGTCGCCGCTGTAGAGATGGACTTTGGGGGATGTAAGGTGCTCAAGCTGTCGGGGGGATCCGTCTGCATTGGGGCGGATAGCGAGGCAGTGGATGCGGGTTATGGTGGGTAGTGAGAGGAGGTGGTTAAGGATAGCAGTGCCGTAGAAGCCTGTTGCGCCGGTGAGGATGACCTCTCGGGGTGGAGTGGATGGTGATTGGATGTGAGGATCGAGGATGGTAATGGGGTGGTCGAAGGAGCTGGGAATGGCGGTTTCGGCCTCCCAGTCAATGGTGATGGAAGGCGTTGGCGCTGGTGGAGGCGGGGATGATGCTCGGTGCGCGCTTGTGGCCGCTCCAATCAACTGGGCCATCTCACTCAGGGTTGAGCATCGGAAGAGATGCACCACGGGCACGCTGACCTTCGTGATTGCTCGAATACGTCCCTGCAGCCTTAGGATCTGCAGCGAGTTGCCTCCAAGGTCGAAGAAGTTCGACTGCGGTGTGATGGGAAGCCCCGTCGCTGGGAGAAGTTCCTGCCATAACTCCTTCAATTTCATCTCAATAATGTTTAGCGCTCCAGACGTAGGCGATACGCTGTGCTGTTGATGGATCTCGAGTCTAGCCAGGGCTGTACGATCAACCTTGCCGCTGGTGGTCAGCGGAATGCGGTCGATAGGGGTGATCGCCGTGGGTTTGGCGTATGTGGGAAGTGGAAGGCTACTACGCAGTGTATCGAGGAAAGAGCCAACCCTGGCCGGAGAGTCAGGGGTGGAGAAGACCACGAATGCTACGAGATATGGATCAGGATGACCCTTCACGATAACCGCAGCCTCTCGTAGAACACCCTGAGACGTCTGGACAAGCACACTGGAAATTTCCTCAAGTTCCAGACGCATTCCCCGCAACTTGATTTGGGAGTCCCCTTTCAGTCGTCCGCGATACTCCAGGTTACCGTTCGGCAGGATGCGGCCGTAATCTCCTGTCCGGTAGATTCGGATGCCGTTGAAGACGCGGAAACGGGCAGAAGTCTCGTCTTCACGATTCCAATAACCAGATGATGACACGGCTCCCCCGCTGATGCAGATCTCGCCTGGCCATCCAGCGGCTACCGGCCGCAATTGATCGTCTAGGATGTGGATCGCATAACTCGGTAGTGTTTGCCCAACTGGGATTGAATCGTGACTGCCATAAAGATCATTTCTCTTGTAGTCAATTTCTCCCATCGTGCAGGCAACAGATGCCTCGCAAGGGCCATACGCGTTTATAAGTCTCAGACCGGCGATATTGAGTCCCGAGAAGCCTTGAACTGTGCCAGAACTCATTATCTCCCCACCACATAAGGCATACTGCCAAGATGTGCACTTTCTGAGCACGGAGGAAGCTTCACCAAGCCACAGGGCGTACTCGGATGTGACGCCAAGAGTAAGACTGACCTTCTCACGTACCATCAACTCGGCAAGCTCCATCGGATCCTGACGATTGCTGGTCATGACTAGGGTGCCTCCGTGTAGCAGACTAACGCAGATCTGGAACAAGGATGCATCGAAGTTGTGCGAGCTCTGCTGCAAGACGACCGGCTGCTCAACGGGGAATACTTGTTGCACTGCTGCAAAATGGCACAGTAAGTTATCGTGGCTGAGCAAGACTCCCTTGGGCACCCCGGTCGTCCCGCTAGTATAGATCAAGATGGCCGGGTCCTGCCCGGTAGATCGATCGTAGTCCAGCGTGGCAGGAGATGGAGGCGGCAATGGCACCTTGAGTTCCACAATTTGGGGTCCCTGATCGGCCATGAACTGCTCCACTCCCGCTTTAGAGCGGCACACTAGAGCTGCGGGACTGCAGTCTTTCAGGATGAGGGACAGCCGCTCGACACCATGCTCGAGGTCTGCAGGAACATAGACTGCCCCAAGCCGCCAGATAGCCAACATGGCGCAGACGGTGTCGATGGTCGGCCCGCAGGCCACCACCACGAATGCTCGAGGTTGAACTCCGATTGCGAGGAGAATGTCCATAATGGAGCGCACTCTGCTTTCCATTACGGCGTAGTTGAGTTCTCCCCCGTTAGTATCCTTCAGTGCAATTGTGTCTGGATATGTTGCTGCGATTCTGGCAATCCACTGGGTAAGCCGAGCAGGCTCTTTCGGAATGGCGCTCAACTCTGCCTGGCTGGTGGGCGGCTGACTCGGGGTCTTGGAACACAACGGCTCCAGGCATCGGTACTGCTCTAACTTGAGGTCTGAGTTCAGGGATACGGAGCCTAGTAGTCGCACATAGAGGTCCAAGAGGAGCTGAACATCATGCGCGTGGTACAGGTACTCAAGAGCCCCGAAGGTAATGACCGTCGTGCCGTCAGGGTTGTCCCGGACGGTGATGACCAAGTCATGCGGCTGACGAGCATCCTCAGATGTCGAGTACTTCAACACGGCCTCATCAAACATGATGTCGTGCGTGACACCGGCAATGTAGTTGACGACAATATCACAGGGACGGGATGATTTTCCACTACCATGAGCCTGGCTCAATGCTCCCAGCACGCGAGACCGGGTATCCTTGACCAGGTCTTCGAACCCTTGCGCCTGTTGTGGTTCGAACATCAGCGGCACGACCTCAACCATCAACCCAACGACCTGTTCAAAGCGCGGATCATTGCGATTAGCGTGGGCAATTCCGAGACAGAATCGGTCTACCTCGAGGGTCTGTTGAAGGAGGAGCTGAATGGCAGCTAGGTGGATGTGGAAGGAAGTGGCACCAGTGCGGGAACTGATGGAGCGCACTCGACTCGCGTCCTCTTTGCCTAGGTACGAGCTGACGCGGATGGTTTCATAGCTCGTGCGTGTTCGGGTGCGGAATCCTGTTCGAGCAAACGGGAACAAGGGTAGATCGTCGGCCAATTGACCGTCTTTGACTGTTGAAGATGCACCTTCATTCCATGCGGATGTAGTAGCTTCTCTGGTCAAATCCTCCTGACTGCAGAACGCGCTGTATTGAGCGACCACTGGCGACAGACTCTGACGGTCCTGGTAGGCGGCAGCAAACTCGCGCAGCACCATTTGCCAGCTCACACCGTCCATTATAAGATGGTGATAGCCAAAGATGATGGCATGGCGCGCAGGTCCGTGGCTGAGGATAGTGATTGCCAGGGTCTGGCCTTTAGCGAGGTCGAACGCTCGGGTTTGCAGGGCTTCGAACTCTGTTGCGATCACGTCCTTATCATCACTGTTCATACCGACCTCCCTCCATGTAATCTGAGGCTGGCCCAAAATCACGCGCCGGGGAACTTGATCCTGGGGATCAGTGACATAGGCGGTTCGCAGCGACTCGTGCCTCTGCGCGACCTCGGTGACTGCTGCTTGGAAGCGGACCCGGTCCAGTGGGCCATGAAGCTCATACTGGATTGTACAATTATACATGGCGGGATCATTCACGGATTGCAACATGAACCAGATCTTTTCCTGCTCAGTGGACATTGACGCCATAGTCGGAATGGACAGGCCAGCGGCTGGCAAAATTTGGGAAGAAGTAGGGGTCTCAACGGCGTGGCTTGTCTGCGATGATGTGTCACTGAAAGGGGTTTCCTGCGTGCGGGCGACCGTTGAGACCGTTTCAGTTGCTTCATCCTCCTGCAGCCGAGGAGTTGAAGTCTCTGGTGCTTTCTGAATCTTCACACTTTCGACGATTGAAGCTCCCTCATCGCTCTCCGCTGCTTTAGCCCTGAAGACGTGCTCGGCTGCCTCACGACATACACCACGGACAGAGATGCCATTGAGGATCTTCATCACGGAAACTTGGAATCCTAGCTCCTGGAAGAACCAAGTCTTGATTTCGATAGCGAGCAGTGAGTCAATCCCAAGCTCTGAAAGGGCACGCGCCATATCCTCGATCGGTCCTGTAAGCTGGAGTAAACCTTGTAGTCTCACAACGAAAGCCTCCTGAATCAGGTCCTCTGCAGCCGTTAATTCAGAGGTACCCTGGAGCTGTTCCCCGAGGGTCACCGCAGCGTCTTTTCTAGCGCCTGGACTCCGGCTGGCGTCCTCTTCGGGAACCTGAAAGTGTGAAAATCGGGGATCATGGTACCATGCCGGCCGCATTGTGCCCGGGGGAACATGGAGCCCGGTGGAAAAGCAAGGGGAAGAATCCACAGACATGCCGGGCCTACCCAACCACATGGCTTCGGTGAACATGCAATGAAAATCGGGCTCGGAAATGGGCATCAATCCTGCCTTGCGCAATGGCTCCTCGTAAACCCGTTCCCGCGAGACTACACCGACGCCAAGGATCATGCCGATGTCGAAGCAAGATCCTGCAAGGCCGCGCTGACGACGCTGTTCGGCGAGTGCTTTCATATACTATAGTCTGTTAGATAAAGTGAAAACAAGAGGTCCTGTAGATGAAATTTTCACTCACCATATTAGCAGCAGAATAATTACTCTGCCCGGCATTTCCAATTAGGGATGCAGTGGAAGACAGCATAATGAAGAAATCGAGCTCGTTCTGCGAGAATAGTTCGTCCAAGTTCTTGCTTCCCCTGACTTTGGGTTCCAGTACGCGTATAAAGTCTTCATACGCCATGTTGACAAATATTGCATCAGCCAGGACCATAGCCCCGTTCACAACACCGGCGATCGGCGGCATAGATTGCAGAATTGTTTGATGTGCAAGGCGCAGAGCCTGCATATCGCAAACATCCAACGGTAAAGTCATCAACTGGCAGCCAGTTGATCGTTGTAGTTCTTCATGCCAAGACACTGGCTTCACGGACCGGCTCGCGATGACTAGATATTGTGCACCGTTGGCTACGAGCCACCGGCAGAGGGATTGACCTAGTTCTCCAGTCATTCCAACTAGGAGATATGTTGCATCGCGGCGAAGGATTGTGCTGGGATCTAGCCGATGAACGCTCACATGGGGATTCTCTTGGGCGGCGTAAGACTTGACAGCGCAGGCTGAGAGACTTCGAGGAACGACAGTGTCGGGCTGCATGATGCTCTTGAGGGCTGCTGAATATATCAGCCACTGGGTCCAGAGCATGTTTAGCGCATCACTAGATGACTGTGGTTGTGAGAAAACATGGCCAATTGACGCTCGCTCTGAGAGATAATCCTTGGCGGAGTGAGTAGCACATGTCCTTGGGATCGCGGCGAGGAGACGGTCATGCAAAGGTTGGAACTCGGTGTCTAGGTTGATGAATTTGCTCACGCCTTGTGGCACCATAGACATGAGGTTCCGTGTTGGTGTATGCGGATGCACATATATGATCGACTTGTCCCATTCCATGGCCCCCTCATCGGACGTGGCCAGTATGAGTGCCCGTTGGTCGGATTCCCTGGACATGGCGAGGACTCTTAGTAGCAATAGATCATTCGTAAAGACAAGTGTAGTGGAATAGCAAAGAGATGCCTGAACGCGCTCAGATATGTACAATGCAACCAGAATGCTCAATATTTCAGGGGCACTGATTGTGTGGTTTTGACGGGGACCAATGTCAAGGATGTCGTCTCGTTTGCATACCACAACATTTTCTTCAGCTGACGAGGAGATAATCAATCCCAGACGATCGCTCTCTGTACTCTTGACATTCACGATACAGAGATACGCGTTAACTTCATTGGTGAGTTTAAGAGCATAGGCGGAACGCGCAACAACACTGGCCACAACCTCCAGCTCTGAAGCAGTATCGGACTGCTTTGCCAATGATGCATCAAGCCCCAAAGGTTGTTCGATCGCTCGGAAGGCTGAATTAAACCGAGCATTCATGTCTTGGGCATGCTTCACGCGGGGGATATAGGGTAGGCCATTCTCAAGGGAGACCTCCCGCTCCTGGCACCATAGGCTAGTTTCAGCGCTGACAGCATGACTGTGTTGGCCATAATCAACAAACTGGGCAAACCGAATTGCAATCTGAGAGATTCCATGTTCATCCACCGCGTCGATGTCAAGAAAGCCTAGGTTCAGACCCTGCAATTCTGTTTGCACGACTCGCCCCAGACCAACGGTCATGGCACTATAAGGATCACCTTGTTTGAATCCTCGCGTCACCCAGTATACATTGTGAGCCTCCTGAAAGAGCCTCTGGAGCGCCGCAAATTGTTCGGCACCGAGGTTCTGGAAAAGGGGAGCATCGAGGTCGGTCAGGCATAGAACGTGGCTAGGAATATTCTGCGATTGGTAACTGCCAAGATCTTCAAGAGAGGCGACGTTGGTGAACCCCCGCTTCCACTTGGACAAATGGCCCCGAAGTGCTTGCAGTCCTTGGCTCCCAATGCCATTGTGGCCTCCAATTATGAGGACATGATCCTCGTCCATCGCCTCAGTTGTTTGATCCGGATAAGCAAGCGGGTGCTGGAGAGGATATAGGGAGGCATCCATGGCCCGAGAAAGAATCAGAGAGTGGCAGTGTAAGTGGGGATTTCCGGTGTCATAGGCAACACTATCCAGGCCGGAAAATCCGGACTGCTGAAGCAGCGCTTCCCAGATACGTTCGAATTCAGCATTAACTTTGTGGTCGTCCACGAGGCGCCCTTGGAGACAACCAGCGAACTTGCCACGCCCTGTGGTGGAACAGAATAGCAGGAAGCCACCGGCTTTCAAGACGCGACGACAATATTCCAGGGTAACTGAAGTAGCCTTCTCACCCAAGACGTCATTTTGGACAATGACCATATCGTACAACATCCCAGGTGGTGAACTACCAAAGTCCAGAGTTTCCACTTGCACGGCATCACCGTAAGGCTTAAGTCGCTCCTTTGTAGTCTTCAATGTTTCTGAAGACGAGTCGGTGAGTATGAGAGACGTGTAGTTACCCTTGATAGCGTCCAGTATGCGTCGTGCAACGGATACATCATCATTTCCGCCAAGGAAGAAGAGGATTCGCATGCGAGGATACTTGTGCGTCACTTGCTTCACAGTGCGCACGACATACTCTTGCATTCGCTGGGCCCCGGCGCTCGTCGTCCAGTACCGGCTCTGCGCCGCTTTGAATGCCGTTTGAGCCTCGGGTACCTCACTAGGAGGTGCAAAATGAAGAGATATGGCCTTTTGAATCAACTGCAGTTCTGGAGAGACTATGTCGCCAATTGCCGGGGGTGTGCCATCAATAGCCTGACGGGCGACCGCCTCAAATTGCTTCAGGATCGTTGAGTACTCCGTGTTTGGCTTATCGAAGGAGACGACCATTCCTGCATTGATATCAATCTCCCAGTGAGTGCGGTGGAACATGGCACGGTCGTCCTTCTCAGTAGTGACTGCTAGCGCAACACACCGCAGCGACTCAATTTGCATTACACAATCACCGGCTGTAGTATAGACATCAATGTCACCCACCATGTCTGACGGGGTTTTCCGAGTGGGAGGCGTAACCTTTGTGACATTAGATTCGACCTGGAACGGGGAGCCCCTAGGATGATGCGTGTGGGCGATGGCTGCTGGGTTGAATCGTATAGATTGGATCTCCCTTGGCAGATGAGGTGTCCGAAGGCTCCTACAAAGTGTGTAAGTAAGTCCAATAGGAGGGTAATGTAGGTTTGGTAGGACATACTCATCATCCGGAGATGCAAAGGCCACGAAAAGGGTTTGAAAGCATGTATCCAAGACACCCGGGTGCATGAAGGAGGAAGAAGATGGAACGTGGGCCACCGTTGCCGACGCTTGGAACAGCCTCCGCTCGCTGGCTAGCAGAGAATGAAACGGTCCAGTATAATTCAAGCCCAGCTGGGACATGGACCCATAAAACCGTTCGATGTCTACAGGGGAATTACCGGAAGACTGTTGCTGCTTTCTGGGCAGGACAGTGAGGTCAGGACTTCCCAATTCTAGTCGGACGCGGGTGCTGAATCTTGTTGTCAATGCATCGGAGCTATCGACGTGACCAGCGGTGCAGGTAAAGTTGAGATTGACCATCCCCAAGGCTGACAGCTCCTTTGACTCTCGTGTGGAATGAGGGCCGAGGTGGCAATGGAGCTCTATGCCGTCGGCGCTTCCATCGATGCTGATCCCGCGACGGATATCTAAATCATGCAGCTCCAGGAGACGTACGGGCTGTGGGTAGGAGAAGCGCAAAGCTGCTTCCATGGCCATAATGCAATATCCTGCAGCTGGGAATAGCATCTCACCTTGAAATTCGTGGCCTTGCAGCCATGGGACCTCCCGGGGATGCAGGATATTTCGCCACCGCCAGAATAGCTCAGATTGCTCCACGCAGACGCCAAGCAGCTCATGAGAAGGTGCCCGTGTGCGATATTCTTTCGAAGCGCGCGACTCCCGCCAGTACGGTCGCTCGTGGTCCCACGGATAGCTTGGAAGGATCTTGGGGAGCATCGCTGGCAGGATGCCGTCTTCTCCATTGATGAGGTTCTGGAATACCCGGAGATCGACAGAGGATGGACCACAGAGCTTCCATACCTCACCAAGACACTTACTCAGACGAAGAACATCATTTTCTCCACGAGTCAGCGCACCTAGGTAGGTAGGTACGTTCTGCTGGAGCGCTTTGAAGGTCTGCCCGGCTGGACCTGCCAACGCTGGATGAGGGCCAACCTCGATCGCGCAAGTAAAGGGACCATGGTCCCGGATGGCTTGTGATAAAGCATCCGAAAACAGTACCGGTTGAAGAAGATTCTTTAGCCAGTAGCTGTCGCTCACGCAATCCGAGCTGCAATCCATTTCGAAGCCATGGACAGAGGATATCCAGGTACAAGACGGGCCAGAGGTGCGGTATGGAAAGTTGTGCGCCTGGAGAGCTTGCATGTAAGGCTCTGCACACGGCTCCATGAAAGGCGAATGGTAGGCCTTATCGACCCGAAGTATGCGAGCGAACTTCTGTTGGCGGGTCAACTCGTCTCTGGCAAACTCCAAAGTGAACAAGTCTCCCGCCAGTGTGGTCGAGGAGGGCGCGTTGCTCGCAGCCGGAAAAATCTTCCCAGCATACTCGCGTTGGGTGCAGAAGCGGGTGGCTTCATTGAATGCCATCCCGACGGCCATCATTGACCGCTTAGGCCCGCCCTCCTCGGGGTCTGCACGCGGTGAGTAGAGGCCGCGATAGTAGGCAATTGTAATAGCAGCTTCCGCTGTGATGCAGCCTGCTGCGTAGGCCTACAAGGCGGTTAAGTTAGTTTAGATATGGAATTATCACGATGGCAGTGGACCAACTTACGGCCCCTATTTCACCACTGCTATGTCCAACCACCACGGAGAAGCGAATGCCAACACTGTAGAGCAGGTCGACCAGGGCTACTTGGACAGCGGTAGTCAGTGGCTGGGCATACGTTGACTGCTGACACCTAGATGTGTCCGGATCAGCGAGGATCTCTTGCCGTAGAGACCACGTAGGAGGCTCTGGCAGCTGCTGGAGTATATCATCGAGGCGATCAATGGTCGCAGTGAACGGACCGGGCCGAAGCAGCAGCTCACGACCCATGGTGGGCCATTGCGCCCCCTGACCCGTGAAGACTCCGAGGATCGCGGAACTGTGGGCCTCAGCACCTCCACCGGAAGGTCCGGGCCTCCACTGAGGGTCTTGCAATTGCTGTAAAATTGAGTTGTGGGAAAGACCAGTCACATAGTGCTTGAAGGGAAGATTCGAACGTTTCTGTAGCGCCAAGGATACTGCTCGCAGGTCGACCGAGGGGTGGGCGGTGATAAAGGCTGCATATTGCTGTATTAAGCGGGTCAAGGACGATTGGGATGAGGCGGAGAATGGCAAACTAATGAGCGGGCTTCCAACCGCCGGCTCATTCACTGGTTTTCCGGAGCCTTCTTTTGCGCCCCCATGAACGGAAGGTGCATAATGTTCGAGGATCTGTTATTGGCGTTAGCAACCAGATCATCGGAAGAGACATGGTGGCTTACACAGTGTGCATTGGTGCCCCCAAAACCGAAGCTGTTAACTGAAGCACGGCGAACCTGCGCCGGTGGCCATGGAATCGGTTTGGTGGGGACATGAAGACCGTCATAGAAGGGTACAATGTTGGGGTTTAACCGCTTGAAATGTAGGTTGGGTGGGATGATCTCATGCTGCAGGGCCAAAGATGCCTTGAGCAAGCCTGCAATTCCAGCTGCACCCTCCGTGTGGCCGACAACTGTCTTAATGGACCCCACATACAGCTGGCTCTCTTGCACCTGACAGCCATCATCGGATTCTGGGAAGAACGCCGAATGGATGGCTTCGGCTTCAAGGGGGTCGCCGACGGGCGTTCCCGTTCCGTGAGCCTCAAAGTACTGGCACCTGGACAGGGCAAATCAGCAAGTGGGAGACAAGTGATGAGTGTGTAACATACCGATCAGATGCCTGGGTAGGGTCAAGTCCAGCACGTTGGTAGGTCTGACGGATCAAATCCGCCTGACTGGCCGAGGATGGCATGGTGAGTCCGTTTGTGCGTCCATCTGAATTCACTGCCGTTTCCCGGATTACAGACTCAATGGGATCCCCGTCGCGGAGGGCATCCCCGAGCCTCTTGAGGATCACTACTCCGACACCTTCACCGCGAGCATATCCATCGGCACTGGCATCCCACATGCGGGACTTGCCTGTTGGCGACAGCATGCGCAGATTCGACTCGGCAATGTACATCTCAGGACCAAAAATAAGATTAACACCCGCTGCCATAGCGGCGGAGCACTCTCCTTGGCGCAGGGCTTGCACTGCTTGGTGGACCGCCACGAGACTAGAAGAACACGCGGTGTCGACAGTTACCGAGGGCCCTTTCCAGTCGTAGAAGTAGGACACCCGATTGGAAAGAATGCTGCGTGCTGTACCTGTGGCATGATACTGCGCGAGGGTCTCCGGATCCCTTAACTGGACGTCGAGATAATCGGCACACATAAGGCCCACGTAGACCCCTGTGGGTGTCCCTCGGAGGATGTCAATCGAGAGACCTGCACTCTCTAGAGCCTCATAGGTGACTTCGAGCAGTAGGCGATGCTGAGGATCGATGGCCGCCGCTTCTCTGGGATTGATATTAAAGAAGTTCGCATCAAAACGACGGGTATCGTCTTCGATGAAGTAGGATTGTGTGACATTAGACGTGCCATGATGAGACCCGTCCGCGTTCCAGAACCCATCCACGGAGAATCGATCCCCGGGAATCACCTTTCCCACGTTTCTGGGATGTATGAGGAGATCCCAGAGCTTCTGTGGGCTGGTAGCGTTGCCGGGAAAGCGCGATGCGCTTCCAATGATGGCAATAGGCTCTCTTTCTGGTGCCATGATGTCCCCGGTTGCAAAGTTTATCAAACACTTGGAACCAGCGAGAAAGATAATGTACAATAACGCGCAGGCTACACAACTCCCAGCCCCTCACACCTCTAGAACTGTAAGCGGGGGTATGAGAGGAACCCATTCTACCCTTGTAGTTTTGACGGACTCCGGAGCCAAATGTAGCTCGCCTGTGGTAATCCACGGAGCCTCTCCCAACAAGGCATGTTCCGACTTGTCCGCCGATATTGGTAGGCAGTGCAATTTGATATTCTCGACGAGGCTAATCTTGCTAATAGCCTGATTCGGGGAGATAGCTCCAAGGACTCCGTACAGGCGGCTAGTACAGGGCGCTTGAGGCAGTATACTGAGTGGGATAATGACCCACTGAGACGAACATTGAGTTTAGACCAATCATACTAACAATTTACAGCCCCCATTCTGTCATGTTTCGTACCTGTTATGACCATGTCCATCTTTCCTCGTCCCGGACCCTTACGCCTCGTCGGATACACATAGAAGCTGAGAGCGTTGTATTGGCATTCAGCCCCACCCTGTCAGTCGACCATCTAGGCAGTGAGACCGATGAGACTACTGTAGATAAGATTTTAGCACTGACATAGGTAAGACTTTAGTTGTGACGATGATCAACACGAGGGAGATCGGGAATTTCTCTGATGTTCCTCACCAAGTCCCCGACGTTACCGTGAACGCAGTGGCTAGGCAACACGGAGCTCATGTCTGAAATTGGCCCCAAAATCTCCAAATGGGTACATTTGCATGTCAGATCATGATTGCTTCGAGCCAAGTGGTGGCTTCACGGAAGATAACCCCTCAGGTGGGATGATACTGCTCTATCTTTTGTTTTGGGGGCTGTGAACCAGAGGGCAGAACTGAATATATATAGCGTTGCGAATGCGCCCTCACAACAACTTCACTCAGACAACAACAACACTTCTATCTGTTCCATTACATTCTCCTTAATTGAACCACTTCATTTAGTACTCTACTTCTCCCCTCGTCATCATGGCTCCCAAGAAGCAAATGGTCCTCAAGTTGACCTCCTTCCGCTACAAGAAGGAGGGGATCTCTGAGAAAGAATTCCACGAGTACGCCAGCAAGTCGCATGCTCCTAAGGCAGCCATCGTACAGGCCCGCCATGGCGCCATCAAAGTGTGCCAGGTTTGTCATACTACCCATTGCCAAGCCCCCGCCGGGGTTCTCTTTCCAAAAATGTTTATTGAAGCAGATAAGCTGACCAAGGAATGTTCGAGCAGTACCACACTCCTAGCGCCAGCAAGAGGCTTATCACTGAGAAGATCCCTTGGGCCGTACGTCCAGGCTGGGAGATCGAAGATCACGACATCATGGTCTGTGTGTACGTGCCGAATGCGGAGACAGCACAGGCGATTGTGACAGACCCAGACTTCCAGAGCCTCGTGGCTGGCGAGGACGAGATCTGTGACCAGACCCGCGCCAAGTTGACTGCGGGGTGGGAGGAGGTGTTCGTGGAGGATGGCAAGGTGGTCGAGGCCGACTATGGCACATTTGAGGAGCTCACTAGCCTTGGCCATGATAGCAAGCCCACTTCGGCTCCCGAGGGCATCCGCATCTAAAAAGGAAATGGAGAAGATAGCATCAAGTATACCTAGTTAGCTCCACCAATCAAGATACGTGTGTGATTTGTACTATTTGTGGGACTAGCTGGGACATCTACTGCGTAAAGTGAGGACCTGGGGTTGCAGCTTATCCTGCTCGGAAAATACATCAGTGTGGAGTAAGTGGTGCCTGTCTATAACTCAATGGAATTAATATGCAGTTTATCCCTTTTCTACCGCCTTCTGCTGTACCAATTAACTGAATCATCGTTTGTGATAAGAATGCACTCCTTGGGCTCCTCTATTGGGTTTAGCGCTGACACGATGCATCATGCTAATTTAGTGTTTTAGACACCTTTCATCCACGCGGAGTTGGACCCTTGTAAATGCCGAATTGTCAGTCAGCATCCAAATGGAGACTTCTTGGGATCATAATTGAATGTAATTGGAGGAAGAAGATCAAGTGGATCCATCACTGCGTGTGGAAGACATGTTTCTGTGATTAACAGAAGCCTAGACTTACGAAGCCACCAGAACTTGCAGCCCTAGCTCGATGATGCCGCCAAGAGGTAAGCACTAGCATTTAGCTCGGGGCATGATTCGCCATCTCGCTCTGCAGAATCCTTGTGAAAATCTAACTAACCAGTCACAAACCAAGTAAACAGTTACCATAAGTGACAATGTTAGAGGTACAAATTAAGGCACAAATTAGAACGCCGTGATCAGTCACGCGTGTCGTCCAACAGCAAACCACAAATCCTCTTTTGCGCCTTCTTTGCCAGCCAAGACAGAAACGTGCTCAACAAACATTACTGGACATTGCTGACCACTCGTATTCTTCGGTCGAACTTCCACTCCTGCCCTGGTGTGTTTTGACGGAGTATTTACTGCCGTATCGCCTATGCGCTTCCCACAGGATAGACCAATTTGCGGCCCGAAATCTGCTTACTCCGGAGCAAAGGCAAATCGCCAATAATCCGCGGCAAACCCCCTTTCTGCACTTGCAGTGGATGGGTCTGCAATTCCCCTCGTGCCATAATGTGGGTGCAATGACGTGCCCACTCAATAGCAAATTCGCGATCTTCAGGCCGTGCAGTGCGATGATAAGACCCTGCTAGCTGGACATCATCCCCAAAAATAGTGGCGCTGTGAATCCACTCTGGTTGGATATCCTGCCGGCGACCCTCCAGCCGAGGGGGATATCGGTCTAATGCGCAATATCGGCCCCCATCCCCACCAATAGCGCCGTAGCACACCGTTGTGGCATGAGAGTCGGCAATACAGTCCATGGCAAACGCCAGTGTACCCTTCGTGTAAGCACGGATGTCTTCCTTGCAAGTGCGTGAGGCGTAGTCAAACGCTGCCGTGGCCCCCCGCTGCTTTACGAGCGGGAAATGCCGCGGTGAGCACGTCGTGATCGGCTGGTAGCCGTGGAGTCGAAGCATCTGAATGGCTATCGTGCCGGTCGCTGTTGAGCCTTCGTATACGAGGACAAATGGCTTGTTTGTGTTCGTTGAATCAGGGTTGGGGCTTATCTGTGTCTGCAAGCCAAGCGAACGAAAGAGTAGTCCTACAGTCATCAGACCCATACCCACAGAAGCAGCCTCTTCAAAAGCCATGGTCGGAGGCACTCGAAAGCAAAGACTCGGGTGAGCGACGATATAATTTGCAAAGGCACCATTGTTGGGGCTAGTAGGACTGGCCCCGAAGACAAAGCCGCAGACACGTTCGCCGATTGACATGTTCTGCACTTCTTCTCCACATGCAACGATGACTCCAGCAAAGTCGCTGCCGCTAATTGCGCCCGGGGTGGCCGCAGCTGCATCGAGCATCTTCCAATCAGACGGGTTGAGTGCAACGGCCCTAGTCTGCACCAGGATCTGGTCCCCTGCGAGGGACGGCACAGGGGTGTCGGTCACACATCGGAGGGAATTGGGCCCCTGTACCACCAATGCACTCTGCGTCGTAGGTATCGCGGGCATTGTGGTGAACGTTTGGCACTTAATGATGCAGCAATAGTGTCGGAACTTGGCTGGATTATATACACTGCAACTTTACTGCGTATTCCTGCAATCCTGCCGGGTCCTCATCACGCCTCCCAATTCCCTCAGAGGACTTGCAAATGCATATTGCCGTCTTCCATTAGTGGTGAATGGAACATTACTTTGCAACATTGCAGCTATCTAGCACTGAGCCCCTCCGGGCCTGCCCCGACGTCATCAAGCAATGAAGTCGCTGGCAACCCCTCACATTCCTCAAGCGGCGCATTCAGCCCCCACGGGTATATTGCATGTTATGGGCGAAAACCTGCCGGCTCTTGGGGTAGAATGCCAGCCACATGCAACACGACTCTGCCGCCTGCTGCTCTCTTAGAGGTACATACCTGTTGCGAGCCGGTGGCCCCCATGTAGTAGCCTGCATGTAAGACGCAGTCTTACTCAAGCGGGATGAGGGGAAGGAAAGAAGGCTGATAGGTAATCTATCAAGGACCTCGAAAGAGGTTGTTTTATTTCTCAAAATTTCTCACAACCACATTTCTTTTCCAAAGGATTCTTTGGCGTGTACTTTGTACAGGAGCCTTGCTTTCCACCAGTATGGCGAACAATACCAGCGCCATGGATGCGCTTCTGAGCAATCATTCCCGTGAGAATCGGGGACCCGAGGTTCTGGCAGCATGCATCATTAGCATGTTCTTCTGTGTGCTGGCTACTGTGGTCCGCCTCGTGGCCCAGGCCACCATCCGCCGCCTCTTCACACCAGATAGTATCCTTATCATATTTGCATCCATACTAGCCCTGGCAGTGTCCAGTTGCACTATTGCTGCTGTGAAGAATGGACTAGGTCGTTATGAGGTTAGAATTTCTGAGAACCAAGTATCATTACACATCAGAGTAGGGCTGACAAGTTGATGCAGTACTGGGTTATGAAGGAGGATCCCCATCCCCCCGAGAGAACGGCGTTCATCTTCGAGGTGAGTTCCAAAAGCATACTGTCCCTCTCTGCGGCCCTTGGCGGGATGTCCAATCATGTAACTAAATGTTCTCCTCATACATAGATGGGCTACGTGGTGACCGTGTTGCAAGCCGCAGCCCTCATGTTCAACAAGCTTTCTATCCTTTTCTTCTACCAGCGCGCCTTCAACTCCATCATAAGATCCCTACGCTATACCATCTGGGCCCTTTTTGTCTTCTGCACGGGGCTAGGTGTCGGATCTACCATCGCCTTTATTTGCGCCTGCGTGCCACCACAAATGTTCTGGTTGCGCGTGTATCCCATCTTCGGCTTTGAACCCCCGGAGCCCTTGCACGGACACTGCGAGCCCCAGCGGTTGCATTTGGGCGTTCCCCTACTTCTCGATCTGTTCTCCGAAGTAGTTATGCTCTTGGTCCCGGTATTTGTTCTTTGGAACCTCCAGATGCCGTGCCGCAAGAAGGCTGCGGTGATCTTCACGTTTTCGTTGGGTGCGTTCGTGACAGCCATCTCGGCGGTGCGTTTCTATTATTCATGGAAGCTGGAGAACGGGGGAGATCTGTCTTGGGATGACACGGACAGTTATATGTGGAATAGTGTGCAGCTCTGCTGGGGTGTGGTGACAGCGTGTATCCCCGCATCAGCGCCATTGTTGCGCGTGGTCCAGAAATCAACTACGGTGTCTAAATCCCGCCGTCCGTTCAAACCACATGGATATATGATGTCGACGAACGGTCGGGTTGCTCAAGGTAAAGGGCAAAGGCATGCGCAGCGCCTCGATAGTGTAACTGAATTGACTAACAGTTCGTGGGATGAGGGGGAATCGGGCCCATGGACGAACTCTGCCGATCCATCGCTGGAGCTTGAGGAGGGCAGGAGGGATAAGCATCAGCCATGATTATTGTGCAATTTCGCTTGAGAGAGCTCTCGATGTTCATAAACTCCTTGTACTCAATGTAATTAATTTAGTCTCGATTTATAGCCAGTCTCTGATTGTTCTCAGTGCACTCCCATTGGTCTACCGTAACACTACCAACTACTACTAACTACTAGACCGGAAGAGCAATGCCGATGCTACTGATATCCGAAGTAGGAAGGTGAGATGTTCCAACAGTTCACTAAAGCGAAGGAATATGAACCATGATGATTCTTTGAAATTGTCCAGGGATTCCCTTTGTTCACTGCATATTCCACGCTAGTAAATGGCCCGAGTGACGGACCATTGGCCCATTGGGCAGTTGTCATCCTTCGCCTCCCCTGCGCATCCCCACCTATCAGCCGGGGTCTGTAGGGTTAGCGTCCTGCGAGTGTCGCTGGCACCATTTTCCAGACCAACACATTAATATCGACTGATAGCCTTGCTCCTTCTGATAAAACCTGTATGGTACCAGTGCATACCAGACGGTATAATACACAGGTCGCATCGAGGCAGAATCTGGACCGAGTAAACGGAGCTCAGAGCCCCTTTCCCGTTCAACCTTTCAGCTGAAACCTCAACTCCCATCTCTACTCATCCTGGCTCGGCCTTCTTCTTCCTGCGCGCTTTAAAGGTTCACGGTTTGCCTGCGCCTCCCAATCCTTCCCTCATCCTCCCGCAGCCATGGAAGCACAACCCTCATCCTCCTCCCCGAGGGGCTGGCGCTTCTGGCTGATTATTGCGGGCTGTGCCGTTACCTCGCTCCTGACGGCCGTTGAGTCCACTGTCACCTCGACGGCTCTTCCCACGATTTCTCGGGACCTGAACGCCGGAGAGTCGTATATCTGGTTTGTCAATGCTTTCTTCCTCTCCAGCACGGCTTTTCAGCCTCTCTATGGCCAACTCGCCGATGTCTGGGGCCGACGATGGCCGCTGATTTCCGCCGTCGCCTTTTTTGCCCTTGGGAGTGGAATCAGCGGGGGCGCTTCATCCTCCGGCATGCTCATTGCCGGACGCACTGTGCAAGGAGTGGGCCTGGGAGGAGTCAACATGCTGGTGGATATTGTATGATTCCTGAAGCTTGACTTCCCCTTATTTGCTTTTTGGCTCCTGTTCTGATTCGCTGCAGGTTGTCTGTGACCTCGTACCGCTGCGCGAGCGGGGTCAGATCATGGCGCTCATCTTCGTCGTCTTCGCGGTGGGCTCGTCTCTAGGCCCGTTTATTGGAGGCGCTTTCACTGAGAACGTCACTTGGCGCTGGTCTTTCTATATCAGTCTGCCGATCGCAGGGGCAGCCATTGGCCTCATGCTTCTCTTCCTTCAGGTGAAGTATCAGAAGAACACCACACTGGTCCAGAAGCTGAAGCGCATTGACTGGCTTGGCAACGGACTGCTCATCGCTTCGGTTGTGGCCATTCTGATTGCCCTCAGCTTTGGCGGTACCACCTACTCCTGGTCAAGCTGGCATGTAGTTGTACCATTAGTCCTCGGCCTGCTCGGCCTTTTGGTGGCTTTCCCGGTTATCCAAGCAACCCCTAAGCTATGCCCCGAACCGACTATGCCACTCCGCCTTTTCGCCAATAGGACCTCCCTGGCGGCCTTCACCCTCACCTTCCTCCACGGCATGCTCCTTTATTGGACAATCTACTTCCTGCCTGTCTACTTTCAGGGCGTAAAGAGCAGCTCTCCCATCCGCTCCGGCGTGCAACTCCTCCCCACCGTCATCGTCACGGTACCTGCGGCCATTGTCGCAGGTGTAGTCCTCACGAAGACCGGACGCTACAAGCCCATCCAAATCGCCGGTTTCGTTTTTATGGCCCTTGGTATGGGCCTGTTTAGTCTCCTCGACAAAAACTCCAGCACCGGTGCCTGGACCGGCTTCCAACTCCTTGCAGGCATCGGATCCGGCTTCGTTATCACTTCCACTCTCCCTGCCGCTCAGGCTGAACTAGCTGAGACAGATGTCGCCGCCTCCACTGCCACCTGGGCCTTTCTGCGTTCTTTGGGGTCTGTGTGGGGAGTCGCTATCCCCGCTGCGATCTTCAATAATCAGTTCGCCTCGCGTGTAGCGGAAGCCGGACTGGATAAAGATCCGCGTATCGCATCCATCCTGAACTCTAGCGGGGCGTACGAGCAGGCATCGGGAGACTTTGTGTCTACGTTCCCTAAGGATGTGCAGCCGGCGATTATCGAGGCGTATACCGGGGCGATGCAGCGCGTGTGGCAGATTTCGGTCGTGTTTGCGGGTTTAGGGTTCATTATTGCTTGGTTAGAGAAGGAAGTGGAGTTGCGCACGACGCTGGAGTCGGAATTTGGATTGAAGGAGAAGGACCAAATAGAAGAAAAAGATGATTTGCGCGTCGTAGAGGAGGGGCCGAACAAGTAGTTACGTCGTAGCTATAGTATTTCATGATGGCCATAATGTATCAGAGCAATACTGATAGATGACATGCGAATAATACTATATATAATATCTTCTATCCAGAAAGGCCTATTCTTCTATTCAAGGACGATGAAATGAAGTATGGCCCCCTTATCCACAATGAAACCACGTCCTTTCAGAGGTGGACCGCTGAAGCACAAGACAGATACCCCAAAGCGATGGGAGACTATAATGAATTATTTATTTGCCCTGTGGCCCACCCTGCTTATCTTCCATATCCGTCCATTGCTTCCTACTCTTCAGTGACATGGAAGCTTTCTCCATACCCAAAAAAAAACAATGAAACTCGGGCGATCCTCTGCTTTCTTCATTACTTGAAATATCCCCATACGTTCTATATCATCTGTATACACTATTGTGCTAGTACATACGACCATAGGGTGTGGAAAACAGGGCTTCCCGTCCGCTCAGCCGTACTTAAGCCACACGCCGGGAGGTTAGTAGTTGGGTGGGTGACCACCAGCGAATCCCTTCTGTTGTATGTTTTTTTATCATTTTTTTTTGTACTCCTATCAGCATTATCAATTGGAATAATCACTTGTAAATAAGCTAGTAGTTAAGGTGATTCATCTATTAGGGAATTGTCAAAGCCCTGGATCGAAGTCGCCTAGTAACGAGAGATATTACATAGTTGATCAACCAGTATCACCTACTACTTTGTTGTCTTCAACACTGGTATATATATACTCGGGACTAATTTGACAGGGGTAATGCATTGCATGCGGGCGCAGGCCAGGAATGCTTCTGCTGAGGGCACATCTATCGTGAATATTTCGAGTATAGTAGGGTTAACAGCCGTTGTAGGAGTCGGGCTGGCATACACTGTCAGTAAACACGGGATGGTGGGATTGACGCGGAGGATTGCCCAACATTCAGCGCCGAAGGATATCAGGGTGAATTGTGTGGCACCGTAAGTTGTCCTCTTTTGCCAATTGTGGTGTCTCCTTACTGACCTCCCCAGTGCGGTGGTCTCTACACCACTTACTGAGGCATTCAAAGACCATCAAATTCCCATGATCTGATGTCAGATATGCAGAGACTTGTAAAACCGGAAGAGGTAGCGAGTGTTATCGTCTTTCTTCTCAGCCAGGAAGCCTCCTTTGTGACGGGGACTACATACACTGTGGATGGGGGCTATTTGTACTGAGCTTCAGTAAATGGTGCTTTAATCATTGACTGGATCATATCTGAGGCTTTATGGGCATGTTAGATTGTTGGGAGTCTGCTGCACAATTTTTTCTACTGATATAAAGCCTACCTCGATCAGGCTCGCCAATCTCGAAAAGAAAGTGCAAAACCCCCAAGAGTCGCGAACCGATATGGAATTTTTGTACGTTATGAACCGGGAAATTTTCGAACTGCAACTTCCTCAAGTACTGATAACGAATAATTTTGTCTTCACGAGGGGCCCGTACACACTTCTTCAGAAAAACCCTCGCTTTCCAGCCAAATTTGCCCGATTAATCTTCAAAGCAGCAAGCACATGCGCATCATGCACATACGATATGCCATGCATGACCTTCCCCGTCCAGATCCTGTCCGGCTTCTGACTCATGGTCCAGGTCTCTAACAGAAATTGCTTTCCTCTGGCAATAGCCAGGTCGGCTTTGCTATGGTCACTGGCAATGGCAGCATGCGACGCTAGTTGGGCGAGAGCAATGATTGCGTATGCTGTCTCCTCAGCCCCGTGCATGTTGCCCCAGGAGCCATCGTCGTTCTGTCCACGAATCACACGGTCCAATACCTCTTGGAGACATTTCGGAACCTGGTCTTGAATGATGTCTTCTGCGAGACCCGGTAGACTCCCCTGGTCCCAAAGGACCCTGACCGGAACCAGTGACTGAGCCATGTGCATGATACCGTAATACTCGGAGAAGTTCTAGTGTAGCTAGTTAGTATTATGTAAGATAAACTACCAGGATCTGATGCCAGAGTACAAACCCAGTGATCATTGAGCATCCTCTCCTTACTCCATTTTGAGCACATAAATTTGGCAATCTTCTCTATCTGGGATGTGAAAGAACTGGGATCGGACGAAGAAAGCAGGCAGTTTAGGACATTTCCGTTGACACTTACGCTGACCACCCGTTGGGGCATTCGGTCATCGAAAGTCAGGAAGCAGTCGTCACACTCGAAGTGCTCAATTAAACTTGTCAAACCAACTTCATAGCCATTATTATTGAGAACCAACAACGCTCGTGAGGTATCGTCCGCGTCAGGCAGGAACGTGTGAGCTTTCATAGCTGTTAGTTAACTATAGTGGTAAGTCAGGGGTTTGGGATACACATACTAACACCAGTGACACCATTCTGTACCGACTTACTGATCGATTCGAGCAGAATTTGCACATTTTGTCTCCCTAGATTGTCGACTGTGAAGCCACACTCCAGCAACGTTGACAGGACCTATACAACAATGTCTTAGCAACAACTCCGGTGACCGGATTCACTGACTTGCTTGGACGGAACTTACCCAGCAAGGCTCGAAGAGTTCCAAAGGATATACTCCCCCAACCCCACCATTTCCCTTCCCTTGGCCGTGCGACACAATGTGACGAAGATACGCCTCACACTCATCACTCCACGTAGGAGAGAAAATCAAATACGCAGCAGCAGAAGCTGGGGAGGCTGTAATACCTGCAGAAGTAACGAGGCATCCCAGCTTGCTCCAATCAAGCTGCCTCGCGAACCCTTCCAACGAAAACAACGGGATACTACAAGGGCCCTGATATAGCCAGCTAATGTCAATGCTAGTTGCTGCGGCATACTTGCTCAGCAAGTCCTCCTTTGCAGGGAATTCAAAATCTACACCCTCTTCACTCAGAAGGTGGAGTAGAACCGGAACAATCAATTCAACCGTGAAATGGATGGCTTCGTCTGGTTGCCATTTCTGCAGTTGGGCATCGAGAAACGACTTGGCGCGGAAAAGTCGAAACAGGATATTATCGGGTAGCGGTTCTTTGTAATGAGATGAAGAACGCCGGACATGTCTACATAATGCGAGTAGGGCAGCCAACGAATGGACGACACAATCTTGGATCCATATATTTTCGGGGTATTCACTGTATCTTCTGGTAACACCTTCGAGGGGATCCCAGCCACCCTCATCTGTTTGTTCACGGAGGAGGTACTCGAAGCTGGTTGGGAAGACCCACTCGTAACCTTGATGTTTCTTCTTCTCGACCATAGCGAGCCATGCAGTATCATAAATAGATGGAGCCATAGAGGACAATCCATATTGTGACTTTGACTCAGAGGCGACCCTGGCAACGAGGTCTTTGGCATGTTGAACTAGTATAGAGGAGCTCATACTGGGCTTCAGTCAGAAGCTATTCAGAAAGGCGAACAGTAAGGGATAAACCTGAATTGGCAAAGATAATATAAGAACAGGTATTTTTGCCAATGAACTTCCACGGTATGTTGTATTTTTAAAAGATATGATATGGTATCTCTCAAATCATCAATATTGCGGCAATTTATGGTTCTTCTACGGCAGTCACGATGAAAGTAGTCCCCTGGCTATGCGTTGTGAACTCCTGACCGCTCTGATGTGGTATGCAAGGTTTGAAGGCATCACTGTCACACGACTTCAAAAGTATCTGCGGCGATCATAAATGATGACGTTTGTAAGTTTAGTAGCTTATTATACGAGCGTTCTGCATAGATAGATTGGCTGGACGCCGAGCTCACGGAAACAAGGGTTAGATGCATCTACGCTGTGTAACCGCGCTGTGGAACGTGTGGACAGTCATGATATTATCTCTCGTCAGAGATTGCTAAGCAGTATCTCAAAGCGCAGATCTGAAAGCTTAAGTTCAAATGATATGTGGTTAAACCAATACAGATGGCGAAACAAGTGTAACCAAAGGCACGAAATGCTGTTGGCTGATGTATCATCAATCCCGCAAGAGCCGCGACTTTTGCCGTATGTGGGTGCGTGGTCTCATGACATCTACAAATACACAACATCTGTAGTTCTGCCTAGTATTCAAGAGTATAAGTACTACAATTATTTTGTATAAATTATAATTGTATGCTGATTCAAATAGAATAAGCAATTCACCATGGAGCGACGTCAAGAGCTTTGTCAATCACTCAAAGGACAACGTGCTGTTCTACCAAATCTTTACTGCTTATTCCCGGACTGGACTCCAAAATTGCACCCCGAATATGCGAGAGCTCGAGATGAGTCTACTGATCCGTGGATCAAACGGTGTGTTAATATTATGGATTCTAAGACGAACAATCATCAAGTTAACATTGAAGCAGCTTCGTTAGGGATCCTTCAATCTGTCGAAAGCTTCAGAAAGCAGATTTCACGACATTTGCCGCAGTAATGTGTGCAAAGTCCTCCTTTGTACGACTCTGCACGGTAGCAGAATGGTTTACCTGGGTAAGAGTGCATTACAAAGTTTTCGGTCTCGTACTGACAATGATGCGAGTATTTTATATGGGATGATTGTAAGACCCCCCGTCCGCTTCGTGCCAGGCATATATTAATTTGTGAATTACTTAAAGTATTCGACTGCGGTTCCCTTTCTCACGATCCGGAAACGATCACAAGGTACAGATACGCAAGTGTCGAATATTTCAAGCATGTCCTTTGTGATGAAGTAGAGCATCCAGATCTATCTGAATTCAGCGAAGAACTCCAAAGTGCGCTACGCTGCTGGGACGAGGTTGCAGATCATATTCGTCAGGTGTGCTCAAAAAGGACGTCATGTGCTCTGCCCCTATCTTTATGTCTCATACTGACCATCGCGGAAGCAGTGACGCGCAAAGTTCTGTTAGCAGCCATGATAGACTATGCGTGGAGTGTTGATTACGTGGATTCGATCTATTCAGAGGATACAATTCCATCGTTACAGCAGTACTGGTGTCGAAGAGAACGCACAGCTGGAGTTCATCCTGTCATCGCTACTATTCCGTGTGTCTACATGAATATTTGTGTCGAGCAGGGGCTGACATTTGCGTAGTTTTATATATGGCTTTGATATCTCAGGGCGAGATCTAGACGACACGAACATGATATTACTCCGGAAACATACCTCGTACCTTGTCCACATGTGAGTTTAGTCAAGTATCACACAAGTCTTCTGCTAAATCGCGACAGACAAAATGACATGTTTTCAATAAGAAAGGAGGCGGTATATACTTACTGTCAATATGTGGTGTTACAAACAGCTAACGTTGTGTAACAGAAAGTTGGACAATTTGAGAACCTCGTTCCGATAATCATGCTAAACGAAAACTTGAGAGCCAGTCAGGCAATGAAAGTGGCCTTTATGCTAGCTCAGGAATCAGCAAGGGGCTTCTATGAAGTGGTTGATAGAATGCAGCAGGCTGCCAAGGGAAGACACCGCGCTGTCGCGGACATTTTCATCGAAGGGTGTAGAAACATTGTCATGGGACTCACTCATTGGAGGTAATCTATGTATTTTTGCTGAAAAGTGTTGCATCCTGCTGATTACTGCTAGCTACACCGGGGAGCGATATTTCACAGCGGGCGAGGCGAATGAGGACCATACCATACATTTTGAACTATAGGAGGGAAACACCTTTCCCGTTGGTATTTCAATTTCATTCAGAATTCAGAACTTTTGCATCTTCTTTATCTGGTATTTCGTGGGTTCAAATCAGGCGTCAGACCCGTATCGATCATCACCTGAGTCAAGATGCACGTATTTCTTTAGAGCACATCTTCAGAAAGTAATCTACATACAGTTTATCTGCATGTTTCAGAATCACCGAAGTTTGCAAAAAGAAAATCAACTCTGAGGTACCGTTCATTTTCTCGAATCTCCTTTTCACATTGGTTAGTTAGATCACCTAAGTATAAATTCCACGCACGCTCCCTAACTTCCAACGCGCAAGGGATGACAGGTTCCGCGGAGGTGGGACTTGTTGTGGCGCAGTCTGATCAACATACCGTTGTGGGACACACATGCATTATGCAGCACTGTCATTCATCACTCCCCAATCATGCATGCATTGCCATCACACAAGGAAAGTTTAGCCGGAGAACAGTTCCACAATCCCAACACAACTTGCGGCTGCATGAAGCATTGAATCGGACATAACCTTGAGTTGACAGCAGACTGCGAGCGTTGGCATTTTACGCAATGTGCTCCCTACATTGAGATTTGTAACAGGTGCGATTATCAGATTTTACGAAGCTGACAGTCCAGTGGTCTAGTGGTGCAGGTCTATCTGTCGGATGTAGCATCGCTTAGCCAATCGTGGATCTGAGTCGTACCCTGGTTTAGGCCTCCATCCGTGATGAACGAATTGGAATGTATTCTGGTGAAATAATGCGCAGGGAACTTATATGTGATACAATTATACCTCTAGCAATAAAACGCAGTATCTGTGATGATATAGATGTACACGCTGATTTACTGGGTACTTAGTAAGATGATGTACAATTTGGCAGGATATATGAAAAATAGGTAAGCATGAATTGGTCAAGATAATGCTTCGAATAGCTTAACTGATGGTATGGCGGAGGAAACAAGGGCTAATCACGAAGCTGCCTTTAATCGTGACGCATAAAACTTCGTGGCTCTTGGAAACAACTTCTATGGTTCTGACAAAAGACGAGGTGACTTGTGCAGTCTTTTTCTTTTCCATCTCCTAGAGGTAAGCTAGTCAGCTCAACTTTCCAGGCTGTAGTAAACTGGATGATAGAACTAAGGTGAACAAATTTCAAACTAACTGGAATACGTGAGTAGCCACCTAAACCCCTCATGAAGTCGAGCTAGTGTGATTGGCGTGTCCGTAGCGAATACGTCGCCTGCTCATTATCGCATCGCTGGAAATTTTGGCAACTTTTTCAGTTCTGAGATCAGAACGAGTAAAGAGCGAGATCAATATGATGATCAAAAGACCGGTTAAACAAAGAACCGGTGTGCGCGCAATAAAGCAGAACGCCGAGGAGCATACGTATGCTGAAAACATGATTGGAAGTAGGATGAGTGTATCGTAAAGACGACCAAAGTTGTGAGCTAGACTGATTTGTATCTCGCCCGAGAACGGAGACCGGGCGTATTTAGTCTGCGATTAGGGCGGTTATGGAGCTCGTTGACTTGACTAGATAAGAAGTAGGCTACTATATATGATAGCGATTACACATCAGCTGAGGTTTCAGGGCGATCATATCCCTCAACATTTTCAAGGGTGGAGTGTATGGAGATATGGCTTCATAATTGCAGAATCACTTCTGAATTGATTCCAGCCAAGTATTAGGGTGTAATGGTCAGATAAGGTGGGGGATTTCTTCTTGTCTGAAGCGTATCACTGGTTCAGTGGCTAGGGGGGTATTATCTACGATAAGCCGTTGGTCGATTTCGGGTGTAGAGTACAACATGAAGCTGAGACATATTCAGAAAAAGTCCGGAAAGGGGGAGGGGGTAAGAAATGTGATATGTCAAAGTGTTGCAAGGCTTGCGTACCCTAACTTCATGTTCCTTTCCAGCTGGTGGATCTTCTTCAGCTTCAGCTTTGAGCGGGATGAATGAGACACCTGTGACAGGCTATCTAGACGGCCGGATAATCTCCTATGACGCTTAGCAGAGTTTTCATTTGCAGAAGCGCCTGAACCATGCTGTGTAGAAGGGGGCACTTCAGAGACAACTGCAATTACTGCAGATCTACTCAAGGAGGATAGAAAAACGAAACTTGCCCTGCAGAGCGATGAAAAGGGAAGGGGGTTGTGCCAAATGGCCAAAACAGACTAGACAGCGAGGTGGCTAGGCAAGGTTATGGACTCATTCCAATCGAGATTCAAATTTCTACGTGGTCTGATGAGTGGAGGAATCGGCCGAGAAAACCTGTCGAAGATCGACTCATATTCCATACCATTATCACTACCATCGATCCTGTTGCTAATATTGACCCTTTTTCTTATTAATTTCCCCGTATAATTATCTGGATTTAATCTACAGACTGGTTCTGCAATAGTATAGCTGAGTAGTAGTAGACATCATGACATGTGGATGAATTGGTAATATTGCCACAATAGTATATATTTCCAGCTAGCAGTACTAACCCTGACCCTAGAACCCAGGCCACACTTGGAGGCAACAGTAGTTTAACGGCATGACGGTGCATTCCCTTGATTAAGATGCGCGTCAGAATAGTAATTGCTGTTAGTCTGATATTTATATTATGCTACTGTTGCACTGACCATGTTGGGCTACATGGTTTATATACGATGGGGTTCAAACAAAAGAGGAAAGACGCTATCTGACTGCAGCTACTTGCCGTAGATCCCGATGCAAGACTAAATAAAACCCCGGAACCAGTCTCACTCACCACTCCGCAAGAGATCCGTATCTGATGGAAAGTACTAGAAATACGTTGCTAGAACTATCGTTAGAATGATTGCATGCGTTGAACGCTCATGCAAACGTGCTGGTTACTCTTCGGCTCACATTTTCGCAATTCATCAGTCATGTCACTCAGTTCTACAAAATGTACACGACATATTTGCATTTTCTGGCATGCAGATGTATGCTCATACGCCCTACAGCTCCCTCTTGGCCACCAGCTCAATGACACTACACTTCTATCCATAACATCCACCGCCTAATAAAGCCCACCCAGATCAACAACAGCCCCAGTGGAGTCGATGACTAATGTCCATGACCTCATTACAAATCAGACACTGGCTCCCTATATAACATCATCATCTAAACTAAAGTACCCCTAGCCTACCCCTCACGAGCTATAATCCGATCTTCATATCAGCCCAAACGCCCGTCAGCACTCTATTTCCCATCCCACCAACCACACCACTTCCACCACCACCACTTCCACCAACAACCAACGAACTACACCACCACCACAATCACAACCAAAATGTCCCTACCCTCCACCTACCTCGCGGCCACCGTGCCCACCCCCCAATCACCCACGACCCTAACCACCAAACCCCTCCCGACGCCCTCGACCAACCAAGTCCTAATCAAAATCACCGCCACGGCCGTGAACCCCGTCGACTGGAAAATGCGCGACTACAACTTCTTCCTAACCGAATACCCGGCGATCCTCGGCTCCGACGCCTCGGGCACGATCGCCGCCGTAGGCCCCAACGTCTCGACTTTCACCCCGGGCGATCGGGTCTTCTTCCAAGGCATAATCGGCAACTACGCCGCCTCAACATTCCAACAATACTGCGTGATGCCAGCAGAACTCGTCTCCAAGACCCCCTCGAACATCTCCGACGAGCAAGCCGCGGGAATCAGTCTGGCCAGTGTGGCCGTTGTGACAGGTATGTACGACAGCACGGGGCACGGGATTACGCCTGCGCCCTGGGCTGAGGGCGGATCCGAGGCAGGCAAGGGCAAGGCGATTGCTATTCTGGGCGGAGCGTCGAGTGTGGGACAGTATGCGATTCAGTTTGCGAGGTTGAGCGGGTTCACGAAGATTATTACGAATGCGAGTGTGGTGCATAAGGAGCATTTAGAGGGGTTGGGGGCGCATGTGGTGCTGGATCGGAAGGTTGCTAAGGCGCAGGACTTTGTGGATGCGGCTGGGGAGGTGCCGATTTGTTATGTGTATGATGCGATTTCGATGAAGGAGACGCAGGTTCTCGGGGTGGAGATTGCGAAGAAGATTAAGGGAAATGCGAAGGCGGTGGTTACGGTGTTGGGTGCGGAGAAGGAGGCGGAGGAGCTGGGCAAGGAGGGGGAGCATCAGGTGGAGATTCGGCCGATTTTGGGTATTGGGGCTTCGCCTAAGTTGAGGCATATTAGTGAGCCTATGGTGAAGGCACTCGGGGGTAAGGATGGGTGGATTGCGAAGGGCTTGTTTGTGCCTAATCGTGTGCGGGTGGTGCCGGGTGGGTTGGGGGCTGTGGAGGAGGCGTTGAAGACGAATAAGGAGGGGGTTTTCGGAGAGAAGGTGGTCTTCCGGCCTAACGAGGGTGCGTAGAGAGGACTACTAGTAAATATTTTGTAGATGGGTATAGTCTAATGTATTATCATTGATTCGTGAGTATTCCCCTGTAAAGTCTAATAACGGAGACAAGCATCACACAGCATGAACAAAAACCAGGTTCAGAATACAGGGGTAGTAGTAAGCCAGCATAAGAAGAAAGCAGGGAACATGCTGAAAATGAGATCTACTAAAATACAGTTGTCATAGAGACAGAACGGGGGTTCACGCGTCAACGGTAGTCGCAAGGGCCTGCTGTGCAAGCTTGCGGTTCCGCTTCACTAGGGCGTTGAGCTTCTTGTCGATCGTGTCTAGCTCCTTGCGAGACGATTCGAGGTCCTTCTGCGACTTGACGGCAAACGAACGCAGCTCCTCATTGGTCATCCCTACCACATCGTCCAGGTCTGGGATGTTGCCCATGACCACCCCCGCGGCACCGAGCATGTGCTTGGCAGTAGCGGCAGCGAAGGATCGCACCGAGGTGGCAGTGGCATTGACCAGCTCGGCGGTGTTGGCAATGGCCCAGTTATGGCTGCGAGTGCTGTCCGCCTCCATGGCCGACAGAACATTAGGAGGCGCAGGAATAGTGGAGCCACTCGCGTCAGAGAGGGACATCCCGGCAGTAGGAGAGCCAGAGGTGAGGCCAGCCGAGGTCTCGTCGACCCAGCAGATGTTGAAGTTCTCAGGGGTAGCAAACAGTGCGTCCAAGCCACCACCGCGGTTGGTCACATCTGGTTCCGTGATTGGCACGTTCGAGTACTCCTGGAAGGTATCAATTGCCCAGGCAATGTTCTTCTCAAGCGCGAGGTACCGCTCTTCTTCCTCTGGCGACAGATGGTGTAGGACGCACCCACGGGGACTGATCAAGCATCGGTCTTTCAGCATGTTCGAGTCCGAGTTAACACGGATGGCTTCTCCGCGCATCAATGCTTTGCGATGCTCGTCGGTCAACTCGATAGGCTGTTTGAGAATGTCGTAATCATCCGCATTGCACTTCATGTCGAAGCGCTGGTTTAGGTTGGCTGGGTTGAAAAGGGGATGGTTGTTCAAATCCAACTCAGCAGACTTGTGAAGCTGAGCAAGAAGCACCTGCAACGGAGACGTGCGTTCCGCGAAGAGCTCCTTGACCGGGACCCCGCTGGATTCGGCGTCCTTCATCAGCTGCTCGACCGTGTTCTTAGAACGCCATGCTTCAGCAGGCGCTTTCTGTTCAGCAGGGGCCTTCTCCTCGGTAACAGTTGCCTTGGTGTCCTTCGTAGCCTTCTCATTCGATTTGTTCTTCTTAGCCGCTTCTGTCCGCTGGCCAGCCTTCTCATTGCTATCGGAGCCTGCGGAGTTGGCAGACTTTCCAGTCTCAGTATTATCCGGAGCTGCAGCTGGCGAGTCGTTCGAGCTAACAGGAGTCTTCTTAGTCTTACGCTTTCGCCCGATGATCGGGGCCTGCACCGGTTCCTCAACCACGGCAGTGGCCTCTTGTTTCTTGGCTTCCAGTTCCTTGGCCTTCTGTCGCCGTTCCTTCTTCGCCTGGCTCTTGGTCATCGCCCGGACAGGTGCAGAGCCAATTCTGGACGAAGCGGGAGGAGAGTTGGCACGGGACACGGACGCCGAAGTGTAAAGATCGGCTTCCGAACCCAAGTCGCCGGGCGTATCAGGCCTGCTGAGGGACGAAATACTTGGCCGTCTGGAACGCGCTTTTGTTGCAGCAGGTATGGACGCGACAGATTGGGTGGCAGACGGAGGCGGCGGGGTTTCAGTCTTTGGCGTGTCAACCACACGGAGAACTCGAGGTTGGCGGGGAGCGGACGAGTCGGAAACCCGGGAGACCCCAGTCAAAGGTGTATTCGGACGGGAACCGATCGTCGATGTGGGCACCGGGCCATGAGCATGGGATTGACTTGGTGTATCTGGCTTTGGAGCATCATGAGACTGAGAAGTACCCAAGGGAAGCTCCAGCTTTATGGGCTTGACTTTCCCCGTAGGTGCCGAGGGTTTCTCATTGTTGTCTCCAGCCTTCGAAGGGCCAGCTTTCTTGTCAGCAGCAACGGTCAAATCTCCTTTCTGCTGGGTGCGAGCCTTGTTGGCTGACTTTGGCACAGGAGAACCGAGTGATATTTCGGACGCATTCTTGACGCGACTTGAGGTAGGGGCGTTGTCAGGAGTGTCCTTCATGTCCGGAGAGGCCTGGCGAGAGCCTTCTTGTAGTCCTTGGCCCGGCGTGCCTAGCCTATGGAAAGGCGGATTAAGACCTGGCGGCACAGATGGCGACGAGACCGGACTGGATGGGTTCAGAGGACTTTGAAACAGGGCAGATGCGGGATGAGCGTGTGGTAGAGGAAGTCCCGGAGGCAGGGTAGGGGTTCCAGCACGGGCCGAGCTTTGCGAGTCACTGGAGAAATGCGAGCGCACGAGATAGCCAAAGCTGTCAACCGGACGCTTGTCCTTTGGCTGAGCGCCAAGAGGAGGGAATTCTTCGTCCACTAGAAGCGCTGTTAGCTTCTTGACGTCTGCAAGTCGATGTGTGAGTGAGGCGGATGACAAGAATAACGCAAAGGAACCCCTCCCAACGACACAAGCAGAAACAAATAGAAAAGGGCGTGCCAGTGGACTCCTAGAAACAAAACCAGACGACAAAGGTACGGAAGGGCAGGCATATTAATTACACAAATGTCCCGGCCGATGCAACCAGACGGACACACAAGGCATATTGTCTATAGAACAATAATTGTGAGAAATTGGTTTCGCATAGAGGGCCCTGCTCGTGTTTATCGAAAGCCAGGGCAGGGAGGTTAACGTACATAAAGCCATGACCAGACCGAATGGGCCACCAAGATGCTGATAGATCAACCCAGCTTGGATGCAAAAGAACAAAGTATACGACAGCCACCAAAGCGCAGTGGACCTAGAAGACACGATGTGCCCATAAAGTGCAAGGACGCCTCCCATCCACACGGAAGCCGGAGATAACACGCAAAAAGAAACATGACGTGGCAGAACAAAAAAACATAAAAACAAAAAAACAGTCATGAAGTTAAACGCCAAAGGCACGCCTAGCCCGAATTCTTGTTGTTTTCAAGAGCCGTTTGCTTAATGCTTTCGTTGCAGAGTGGAAATATGTCGCGAAGTTTTCAACATCAAATCAATGAGTCCGGAAAACTGAAACATAAGAATCATATCCCACGCCCATCTAGAGAAATATGATATCATGTCATCAAATAAAAAGGGAGACAGAAAAAGGAGCATGGGCAAAAAGAAACAAAATGCAAAAAGGGTAGTCATCATAAACAACAGGGATAGAAGTGAAGGGCGAGGGAGGGTTATTAATGAATTATGAGAAAGGGGGGCAAACAATCACCAGCGGTTGAAGCCGCTGCCATACATCATGGCCTGATTGTACCCACCTTGACCCTGACTCCCGTACAGCGCCTGCCCAGCAGCAGCAGCGGCGGCAGCATTCGCACCAACCTGGTGCATCCTCGCCTGTAGGATGCTCGGGTCCGCAAGATCTACTACACCGCCTCCACCGGAGGAAGTGTTAGCGTGTCTGTGCTTCTTCCCCTTCTTCTTCTGCTTCTGTGGACCAGACTCGGAATAATTTCCCGCCTGAGCACCATAGAAAGAGCTGAGAAGGCCATTGCCGGGAGTCAGGGGAGGGGGAGTTTGGTGCTGTTGGAGGAAAGGAAACATGAACTCACGCTTAGCGGCCTCTTGACCCTGCAAACCACCGGCATTTGCGCTACTGCGGCCTCTCAGCAGCTCACGCATCAACTCTGGATTGGCTTCTTGCTTTCCGAGGTTGGATCCCAAACCGACATTGGCATTTGTTGTGAAACCGTGACCCTGTGCGAACATGCCGCCGCCGCTGATGGGCGGAGTACCCGCCGTCTTCAACCCGGGGGGTGGACCCTGCACGCCACTAGTGAAGTAGTTGCCAGCAAGACCATGCTGAGGACTAGGGGCTGCGAGCGGGTTAGGAGTACCAGCCTGCATTTGGCTCAACATGCGCACATTAGGGATGTTCTTGGCATTGGCCTCATTGGCGAAGGTGAAACGAGAGTTCTGGCGACTTTGGGCCTGCAGAGCATTGAACTGTGCCATCTGGCTCTGGAGTAGACCCTGACGGACCTGGGCTGCTTGGTCAAGAGCAGCGGAGTTAAGTCCACCCTGCAGCTGATCGACCAGGCCAGCCTGTTGGTTGCCGGCAGACTTCAAGAGAAGCAACTGCTGTTGCTGCAGAGGGGTCAAGCTACGGCCTGCCAGGTTAAGTTGCTGGAACTGGTGACTGGTTGCCGAGACGGGGGAGCCAACCACGGAGTTTGTCGTCGTGCCCTGCTGGGAGGGAGGCTGAATAGCACCATGAGATTCGCGACCACTACGGCCTCTCGGAGGCACTGCGTCATCCGGCTCGCCACCAAGCTGCAGGCTTCCGCTCTCACGGCTCTCTTCTTCCGCAGCAGCAGACTGCAGTAGCTCCTGCTCCCGTCGGACACGTTCCTGCTCCGCCTTCTCACGCATAGCTCGGCGTTTCACACCACCATAAGGATCGATGAAGGAAGGGTGGTTCTCAATAAGGGCAACCTCCTCCGCAGGCAGGCCAGCCGCCGAGAAAATGAATTTGAAGTCTGGGGAGTTGACAGCCTTGACCAAGTTATCCAACAGAGGCGTCTCCGGCTTGGGTGGCGTCTGGACAGTCGGCGGGGAACTGGACGGCGAGGATTGTGCTTCAGGGGAGGGGGACGGTTGCGCCTGTGCCTGTGCCTGCGCCTGCGCCTGCGCTTGAGCTTGAGCTTGAGCCTGAGCCTGAGCCTGAGCCTGAGCTTGAGCTTGAGCCTGGGCCTGGACCTGGGCCTGTGCCTGTGCCTGAGCACGCTCTTGCGCACTCGTAGACGGTTTCTCCACGCGTTTCGCCTCCTCCACCGCGGGCGACACCGTGGCGATGGCGGGTCGGGGACTTTGCGAGGCTTGGCTGCCGGTCAAACTTGCTCGTCTCGTCCTGCTGAGCACGGCGTCCTTGTTTGCCCAACTTGCCGACGACGGCAGGGCAGACCCATCAGGTGGCCGGCTACTAGCAGCGTCATCCCTACTAGGCTGACGGCGCATTGGTTGCGAAATCGGTTGAGCGGAGGACCGGGCAACGTGCGGAGGAATCGAGTGGGTGGGACCGCTGGGGGCACCGTTGATACGCTGACTCGACAAGGTGTTCATCGAAGAGAGATCCTGCCGGCTGTAACTGTCGCTGTCCTCACCAGTCTCGTGCAGGAAGGTGCAGTTTCGATTATGACATTGCTCGTTACGCAGGAAGGAAGAACAATACTTGGTCGTACCATATTGGGCACTAGAGCGGTCAGTACGTTGCTTTGCGAACAGAACATCAAAAGGCAAACAATTCGACCTACCGTAGCACCCGGTCACCGTTGGCTGACCCATCCACAGCTGCTATGCAAGTGGCTGCGTCGGCCTTCCTTGCGTAAGTGACGTAGACACCAATGCCCTGGTTCGGGTTGCCACCAGGCTTTGCCTTGCTCACGACGATCTTCTCGATGTCACCGTATTGACCGAAGTAGTCTCGACCGCGCAAAGTCAGAAGGAGTTGATTCTCGTCACGTATTGTGGGGTTGAGACCGATCACGTAAACCAGGTTCTTCTGGACGACGCGGACACCGGCAAGATTCTTGCGACTGGAAGCCTCGATTTCACGTTTCTCGGCCTCCTTCTTCTTCGCGGCGGCAGCCTTGCGGTGTTTCAAGGCCAGGTCGGCTTTGAATCTGAAATTGCGGGTTGCGATGTTAGCGCCAAGACGCGGGAAGGGACAGTGGGAACAAGAGCGAGGAGTGACCACATACTCGTCGGCATCGGGAACCTTGTATTGTATGGTGCTCTCATCGTAGACCCGTCGGCAGTTGGGGCACCGGCCTTCTTCGCTGTGGGTTTTGATGTTGTTGTAGCAGAATTGACAAATCTGGAGGGGTCTGTTAGCGACGGTCCGGATCGCATACAACGCGAGCGATCTCCTGATCGGGCCGTTGATTCGCGAGGGAGTACAAGGCGAGAAGGATGCGTACCTGATACCCACAGGGGCAAGGCTTAAAGTTCTTATCCGAGAGATCGAATTCTTCGATGCAAAGGGGGCTAAAGAAGACGAAGATGTCAGCCCAACGGACCAGTCATAGGACAACCCGACGGGTAGGAAAAGTGGGAAGCGGACGCACCAGAACTCATCGTCATCATCGATGACGGAGTCAATCTGTTGGCGATTTGACATTGTGAGTGACGAAGCTGTGCAACGGTACGACGACTGGACAAGACGGCGATCACAGTCCAAGACTAACACCCATCAACCAAACCCGGGCGGAAGGGGGGGAGCAGGTAGAGGGCGAGGAAAAGCGGGTAGAAAAAAAAGAAGGTCAAACAAGACAGGAGAGGAAGGTAGGAAAAGGGACGAAAAGAAGAGTCCGAGGGAGGAAGAAGATGGTAGATCGACGAAACGTGGGGTAAAGGTGAGGAGGACGAGAAGAAGGAGCACGGAGGGACACAGACGCAAAGGAAGAGGGAGAGTTGGAGGCGAAGAGCGAGAAAGAGAAGTGAAGCTTTGATTGATGGGGTTTGCGCGGGTTTGCACTGTTTGACTGCCCTTGCAGCCTGAGGCGTACGTGTGTTGCTGTCCGCGCCGCTTATGTCATCTCCGCCAGCCAAACTTGCAGTTCTCACGTGACCGCGACAACTTCGCCTGGACCGGCAAAAGCTCCTTGGATGAGGAACCTCCGCTGCTCTCCCCTCCCTCCACCTTCCCCGTCGTCTCACACCCGCAATTGTCCGTCATCATGGCCTCTGCTCGCTCCTTGATGCGGCTGGGATCTGGCCGCTCCCTGGCCACCGCCGTCCGGTCGACCCGTACCTTCACTACGACCGCTCTGAAGGCCACCCAGGCCTCGACCGCGCCTATCTCAGAGGATGTTCCCAACATGCGCCAGGCCCAGCGTCCCCGTATGTCCAATGGCACCCGGATTCGATCACTGATGTCGCAGGATGTGCACCACTAACATAATATTTAGCCTCTGGACCTCTCCGCGCCCCCGTCATCAACCCGGCCGACAAGTACCAGGACAAGGCGGACAGCCTGCACAAGTACGGCCAGTACATCATGTCGTGCCTGCCCAAGCACGTCCAGCAGTTCTCCGTGTGGAAGGATGAGCTCTGCATCTACGTCCCTCCCTCCGGCCTGATCCCCACCATGACCTTCCTGAAATACCACACCGCGGCCGAATACACCCAGATCTCGGACATCACCGGTGTCGACTTCCCCACCCGCGACCAGCGCTTCGAGGTCGTCTACAACATGCTCAGTGTGCGCTACAACTCGCGTATCCGTGTCAAGACCTACGCCGACGAGGCCAGCCCCGTGCCCAGTGTTACCGGTCTGTTCGAGGGTGCTCTGTGGTATGAGCGTGAGGTGTACGACATGTTCGGTGTCTTCTTCACCGGCCACCCTGATCTGCGCCGTATCATGACCGACTACGGTTTCGATGGTCACCCGCTGCGCAAGGACTTCCCCTTGACTGGATACACGGAGCTGCGCTACTGTGAGGAGAAGAAGCGCATTGTCATTGAGCCTCTGGAGCTTACGCAGGCGTTCCGGAACTTCGAGGGTGGTACTGCTGCCTGGGAGCCTGTCAGTGCGGGTACTGACAGAACTCCTGAGTCGGTATGTTGATATCAAGTTGTGCGATGACCAGGATGATGCTAACTGATGACATAGTTCAAGCTGCCCACCCCCAAGCCGGAGCCGAAGGAGGAGTAAAAGAAATAGAGGAGATGTAATCGTATTATCTTTCCTTGCTGGTTCTGTATGTACATACCGTGTGTTGAATTTGACGTTGGTTTCGCGCAAAGTTCTGACGTGGGGTTATCTTTTTCTCGATGTAGGTTGACTCGCGCTATGATATCGTAGATTATGAAATTATATCCTTTACCCATTGCACAAAAAATATCACAATTTCCAAAACTTGCTCACAAAACCTCGTAGAGTATTGAACATTACCCAATTGACCCAAATACACCCCATATCGAGAGATAAAATCAACAACCCCCCATGAAATCATCCACCATGAAACGGACCAATAACCATCCCCCAAAAATAAGACACCCAAAACGGCAAAACGCCCCGTCCACCTCACGTCCCAAAACTGAACCAAAAGGCGGCGAAGCCATCCCATCGATCGCTTGGCACCGCCCGCCCTCCGACCGGCAGAAAAAGTTCCCTGACCAGAAAGAAAAACTACTCTAATCCTTCAAATCAACATTGGAAGCCATAAACTAGGATATTTCCCCGCACGTTGCCTTCACCACGAATTCAAACCAACTACCTTATTTCTCAACACATAAAGACCACACACCATTCTCACAAATCCTAAGGCTTGAAAGCAACCGAGCAAAATGGGGAAGCGCAACTTCGCAGACTTCGCCGAATCTCCATACACACCACACGACCGGAGCCAGTCTTTGCAAGTGACGCGACTATTCCAGAAATTCGAATATGGCGTGATGACGCTTTCCAAGGCGCTCAAGGTAGCGCGGGGATTTGAGCGCCAGAAGCTCGGACGGAGGGAAAAGACGGCGCAGAAGGAAGAGGGAGAGAAGAAGGAGGGGACGTTGAGTCGGATTGCGGAGGAGATTCAGGTTGTTAAGGTACATCCATCACCTCTCCTCTCCGTTTCCCATTTCAACAATCTCTATGTTCTTCACTTTACTAACATCTGGATTAAAAATGACAATAGACACTAGACCCCCACGCCACCGCAGAGAAGTACCTCTTCAAGCAACTCCTCAAGACGAAACGCATCGCCGAGTCGCCGCTCTTCATCCAATTTAAAGACAAGAAGAAGTTATCTGCGGAGGGGCCGAAGAGTACGGCTGAAGCGAACGTCACGGCACGGTTGTACAAGTCCACGCCGGTGAAGAATGTGTTCCCGGGGATTATGGAGGGGATACGCAAGTTATTGGGGATTGAAGATAAGCCTGCGGATGTGAAGAAGAAGGATGCGAAGAAATCCTCCAAGGAGGAGAAGAGCAGTAGCAGCAGCAGCAGCAAGAAGAAGGCCGATGCCGAGACAACTCGGACAAGCGCATCCGCCTCGCCAAGCAGCGGCGACGAAGACATCAACATGGACGACGCCGGCTCCGACGCAGAGAGCATCGACTACGCACAATTCGACGCGCGACTGGCGCCCGATTCAGGCGACGAGAACGAAGACGGATCTGAAGGCGACGAAGATCTCGATCCCAATGAAATCAGCGACGTAGAAGAAGAAATGGAGGAGGAGGAGGAGGAGGAGGAGGAGGAAGAAGAAGAATCAGACGACGATCAACACATCTCCATCTCGCGCTCCCCCTCCCCCTCCTCCCCACCGACCAAAAAGCCCAAAGCAACCAGCAAAGCCTCCTCGACGCCCGCGACCAGCACGACCTTCCTCCCCTCACTCACAATGGGCGGATACTGGTCCGGATCCGAGGACGAGGCAGAAGACGGCGCGGCAGCGAACGAGCCCCCGCGACGCAAGAACCGCATGGGTCAGCAGGCGCGTCGGGCGCTGTGGGAGAAGAAGTACGGATCTGGAGCGAATCATGTTAAGCAGGAGAAGAATAAGCGGAAGGGAGGAGGACGCGATAGTGGGTGGGATGTGAGGCGGGGAGCGACGGATGGGGGTGAGCGGTGGGGACGCGGTGGTGGGCAGCACCAGGGTAGGGGTAGACCGCAGCAGCAAAACCAGCAGTATGGACGGCCTCAGCGTGGTGGACCGCCAGCGAAGAAGCCGGAGGATAATAAGCCGTTGCATCCGTCGTGGGAGGCGGCGAGGAAGGCGAAGGAGCAGAAGGCTACTGCTGCTTTCCAGGGTAAGAAGGTTACGTTCGATTAGTGGAAGATATCCTGTTTCTGTATGTAGGACATTTGTAGATATTATATCATCATGGCTAAAGAAAGTTTTGAAATATTTTGTCCTGCTATTTCCACTGAAAATTGTGAAACAATATATACATACTGTCTAGGTATCTTGAAACATAAATCCGGTGCTTACAGACGGATCAACATATAAACAACGCAACACAACACAACAGCCGTGAAAAACCAGACCTAAACGCTGAAATCACAACGAAAGCCTACTTGAATCAAGGCAATCAATCATTCATGAAATTCATCCACCGCGTATCTGCCGTCTTCATCTCCCCAGAAAGACTCGGCTGGCCATCCGGCTCGAAGCAAGGGATAGCAGTAAACTCTCCCAGCTCCTGAGGCAGATTAGAGACAAAGTGGTCGATGCCAAAATGCGGCATCTGCGATAGGGGATGTGAAACAGAAAACTCCGATGAGTCGGGAAGACTTGCGCTGCCGACATCGGCTTCCACGGGCTCATTCGCGGTGGATGCACCACCCGTCATAGGGGTCATAACGGGGGCGAGTCCGTTGCTAGTATGATGATACTGCTGCTCTTGGAAAGGAACAATTTCCGGGGAGATGGGCCCGGTCTTCCAGAGCATCTCCCAGTTCTTGAACCGGTCGTATGCTGATTCGATGACACCGGTACTGCCTTGGGGTTGGGTTTGACTGTATTCTTCGAGACGACGAATGGCTCGCTCGAGGGTCTCGATGACGCTTACTGCAGCGCGGGCAGAGCCGACGCCCATGGACATGATTTTGATCAGTGCCATACCCTTGTCTAAGGCTTCGCGGAGGCGTTCGGTGCGTTTGGTCAAGCTTTGGGCTAGTATAACGAGTAAAGCAGCGCGACACGAGCTGAACTCCGTGAATGATGCACGGGCAAGACCGCGCTCGTCGCGAAGGAGCCGACATAGGTCGATGATCTCGAGAGCGGCTTCGACACAATCCGTAATCAGTGTGGAACGGTTCTTAGCGGGGCCTGATGGTGTCTTGACCGGAGCACCAGGTATTGTAGCTGAGCTGATTGCCCGGTTAGTGCTGAAGAGGAACGGTCGTCCCAGGAAGATACGCGTCAGACAATAGTCGAGCTTCAAATGCACATTGGAGCGGAATAGTGGCCCTGCTGGGTTGAGATCCCTGCAGTTGGTTTCCTCGGGCAGCGTTCCCCACCAGTCGACAAGATTCTTCCGCAGATTCAGAAGCCTCTCCAAGCAATCTTGTTGCTGGTTCTTTCGGGACTTGCGAAGGACGGATCTGCTAGCGTTAGTTGGATTCAAGTACCTTTTGGACTCGAGACATACATTTCGTTTGCAACCTCTCCAAGTTTGAGCGTCAATTTGATGAGTGTCACCATGTTCGTATCGTTCGACACATGCCCCGAAGGCGTCAAGCCCTGAAAGTCAGTGGGGAATGGGGCATCCACGTCTGCATCTAACAAAGACACTGGTCTTCCGTGAAGAATGCTAACACGCCTAGAAATCGTAAGCACGGATGAAGACAAGGCGACTCCCATATAACCTACTTCTCAATCGTGTACGCAGTCCAAAACACACGGTTCCGAATCTCAATCATACGCGGCGATAGTCCTTCCCCCGTGTACTTCCGGTGCATACCATTCTGGATCGCCATCTTCAGCGCCAGACCAAAGTAGGTATAGCATAGTCCAGACGTATCGAGTGGCAACAAATAAGTTCCGATCAGTAGGCAGGCCTGCACGCTTCGAACATTTGCCGTGGCGATAATGTCTGGTAATAGTTTGGATGCGAACTGGTAGAAAGTAAGACCGACATCGTCCTCGGAAAAGTGATGGTCATCATCGAATGCCGAGTTGGAAGAGAGGCGATTGACGGGAATGGACGATTCCATATGCGCAAATTGTGTCCCGACAGCCAAGACCATCAGGATGGCGCAAACCGAGCCGGCATCCTTCGACGACAAACAGGACGGATCTGTATAACAGGTGTTGAGCTTATCGCGCAGCCAATCTTCTTCGACGTAAAAATTATTGGTCTGTGCATATTTGAAGAATATTTGGACAAGGAAGTCGGCGACAAAACGGGGCGGAAGACAGGTGACTGATGTTGATACCAACGTTGAACCCGACTGTAGCTGAGTGGCTCGCCATCGCTCTTCAAACGGTTCTGTTTCGGTCGATGCCTATAACCATCAGCGAAATTGAATAAGAATGCTGAAAAGCAGTGTAATTACCTCCGGAGCTGCCGTCTTCATCCACTCGTCAATCTTCTGTCTAATCTTCATGGAGAAATTCAGATACGAGAACTCTCCCGAGTATTCTGCAGACCAGTCAGATAGCCTGCACCAGCAATGACACACCGAAAACGAGTAGAAGTATCATACGGGTAGTATTATCCGGCAAAGCCTTGATGGTAAAGTCCTCATCATCGATGGCCAAATCCTCGAGCTCCTCGCCATCCAGCTGCATCGAAGGCGGCCCACCCTCCAATCCAGAGGGACGATGCTTATGTTTCAGCTCCTCCGCCATCTTCCGAAGAGAATGTATATCGAACGAGATGTTTGGAACATAGTGTTGAAGAATGCGTTCCATGTAGCGGACACGTTCCGACTCGAGCATTTCATGTTGGTTGAAAGCAACCGTGCGGTCCAGGAGCCTAACCCCATCGCATAATATCTGTTAGCCTCCACAACTCACATTTGCAGTATTATACCCTTGAAAGAGGGATCAGGCGACTTACGAGACGGACGATGACCGAGAGAGCTTCTCGGCCTGATCGGGGTGAGTGAAGATGCATTGCCGACGATACCGGAGACATCGGCGACAGGGGACGCCTCCTTCGCATTTCTCCTTTACGCGACGACATCCATCGCAGCTATACTAGTCAGTAATACATTCCAAGAGATCTCCGCAATCCCCAGCTATCCCGACGGGGCATTTTGGGGATAAGATCAGGGATGCAGGGAGCTTACGCTCGCACCGCTCTTTTGCGGTTTTCCTCGGAAACGCGGGGTCGTTTCTGCTGGCCCAGACCAGCAGGGGTAGCAGGGCCCACATCCATGGCAGTTTCGAGTTCAGGGAGGCCGATGGAGAGGCAGGCGCATTGTAGAATTATAGAAAAAGCATAAGGTAAGAGGGGAGAGGGTCAAGTTGGGGTTGCGTGGGTTGCGGAGGACAAGAAAATTTCCCCGGGGTTCGAAGGAGGAGGAGAAGGGGATTCTCTGGCCCTTCCCAATCTTTCTTCTTACTGATAAGATCAGAAAAGGCGGCACAACTCCCTCCCTCAGCAATGCCTCGCTGCCGATCTACCGCCGAGACCTCCGGGGAATGCTTTCCATCTGCCATTATTCTTAATTTGTTACGATTTTAGAATTCATCGAGTTAGTGCATTCCGGATAGTGGCCTGTCATTGGGTAATGGGTTAAGCTATCTTCAGTTTGCACCTAAATAGAGTGCTCGCGTGACTCAAACTGGCCGCTGCAGGGCTGCCCGGCCGGTCATCACAGCTGGGGCGGATATAGATGGATCATCACTACAGTAACCACGATCGAGCCCATTAAGGGAGCTATTTTTCTCTAGTAGCAGAGCTAGTATGATTCTTAAAACCCATCCACTTCCATACCAATGTTTCGGGCCCGTCCAACTTCCAACAGCTTATTCCCGACCACCAAATCCATAATCCCCATCCCCACGCACTTGAACACCACATTACATCCCTCGGGCACATCAATAGACTCATCTTTACCCATCTTACCATACAGCTCTCCAATCTCAACCAGTTGATCCTCTTTCACCTCCGCCAGAATCAACTCGCCCGACTCTTCCAAACACGCCTCCTTCGAGTCCACATAGACCTTCCCTCCGCCCGACAGCAGCGTCTCAGTGTCAATCTCCCGCATATGCGGCTTGTACGAGCCGATAAGAGAGATAAACCGCCCCTTGGACGGCTGGAGATAGGTGTACGGGAAGTTTGGCTCGGTCGCTGGCGTACAACTGAAGATCACATCGCAGGCACCCAATTCATTCCGTAGCTGTTCCTCGTAGTCCGGAGTATCTTCTTTGACTAACGTAGCCAAGGTCTTATCGGGATGAGCAGCCCGTAGATCAGCGATCGCATCTCGCTCCAGCTCCTCCAGTCGCCGGCGACCGCGGTTAATAAATGTAATTCTCTTAATCTGGTCCGGAACGAGAAGCAGGGCTAGTCGAGCGTGCCACTCCGCTTGGCGTCCAGAGCCAAAGATCAAGATGTGCTCTTTGGGGATGGTGGTGCAGCGAATAAACAGCGACATCACCGCCAAGGCGGTGCGGAAGGCTGTGATCTCCGCGGCACTGAGGAGACCTTGCAGTTTACCTTCCGGGGAGAAGATGTTGATGACGCCGATGATGCCGTTGGTTTGGGAGGCAGTGACAACTTTGAAGCCGGTGTGCACAGTGTTGGACACGGGCATGAAGAGGGAGAGGTTCTGGTCTCTGGTGACGATGGTGCTGCGCAGCGGTTGGTGAATGAGTCGCTCATGGCTCGGTGTGGAGGACTCTGAAGAAACAGTTGTGAGACCCTCACAGAGGACATCAAGAAGGTCATGGCATTGTGTACGGGTTAACTGTCGCAGGACCTGAGCGACCGCTGGCTCAGGGAGTAGACGCATTGTGAAGGAAGATGTTGGCGGTATAATAATCCTATACAGCAGAGTTCAAAAGGGTTGAGAGATATAGAGTATAAATGGGAAGCCAACAGCGATATCGGTTGAGAGTATTATTCCTCTGATAGATGGTCAGCAGACTTTATAGACAGATAGCCCCTCGGCACCCGGGGAAGCGATGTCGGAGATAGACCAACTTAGTGCCTGGGTGTCAAGGGACACGGATATCCTCGGACATCAGTACCGAGAAGAAAGGTCTAGTTGGGCAGGCACTAATGTCGGATGGCCTTCCGTTGCGATCGAGAGTTGTGATCGGGAATACGTTGTAGATGCGAGGAACGCGGGGTCGGGAATGGATCGACTGTCCCTCTTGACATCACCGCCGCGCGCTACGTGGATTAGCGGCTATCTATGCCGCACTAGAACCACACCAAGGAGTCCATGTTAAGCTTCATTATCTTGAATGAGTCAAATAAAATTTCTAACGCCATCTACATGCATGCCCACGCTCAGGGAATCAGCCAACAAGACCACACAATGCGCCAAAAAGGCTAAAAGCCAAAACAAATATGCGAATCAAGAGGTATCATAGAACGACATCAGTTACCCAAGCCAAACACGCGACGAGCGCGGCGCTTGAGCTCTCCAAGCATAGCCTCCTGCGACTGCTTGGTACGGCCAACCGCCTCGGTGTTCTCCACAGCACGTCTCATCAGGAAGCCCATGCATTCCTTGACAGTACCCCAGGTCAGAAGCTTGTACACGTTCGGGGTCTCCTGGGAAGCGGGGCCATCGGCGCTGGAGAAGCCTTGCAAGAGCTCGCAGCTGACCTCGTCGGCCATACCCTGAAGTTGGGCATAGCTGAGATCAACTCCCTGCTTCTCGGCGCGAGCAGCCTGCTGGAGACGGATAGCGTGGGCCTTGCGAACAGAGTCCCGGTTGTGAGTGGCGATGATAACGTTGACAGGGGGCAGCTCGGTCTTGTGCTCCTCGGAGGCAGGCTGCAGCATCGAGTTGTAGCGGCGAGTCAGGAGAGCCTCGACGACACCGTCGTAGCAAGCATCGGTCTCCTCCTTCTCAGCCCAGATCAGGTGGCGAGGCTCGGTCTTCAGATAAGCACCACGAACCAGCTTCACGCCAGCAGTGTATCCCTCCTGGCGAGCAACCTCAAGATGCTTGGCAATGGTGGCCGGGGTCGAGCGGAGGTAGGCCTGGTAAGTGTTGTAGAAAATGGCGTGACCGGGGGTCTTCGCATTGCAGTACTTCTGGTACTTCAGAGCCCACTTCTCGATACCCAGCTGCACAGCCTGCTCCTCGGCATCAACGAGTAGGCGCACGTTGCGCGAGATGGCCAAGTCGCAGACCTTGGTGATAGCGTAATCCATGAATTCGGAGGGAGCAGCCTGCTTCTGCAAGAACTCAAGCACCTGAGTACCCATACCGGTGAACCTGTAAAGATTAGTACATGATCCAATTCGAGTAAAATGTGGAGAAAACCTACTTCAGGGCTACAAAGTCGCCTTCCTGGGCCATGTCGACGGTTTGCAGGGTACCATCCAGCCAGGTCTGGATCTCCGCCCGCGCGGCCTTCTCGTCGCGAGGGTCGACATTGCCCTCACCCACCAGGACCTCGCGAGCGTAACCCAGCAGAACACCCCGGTAGCCCAACTGCTTGATGGCCTGGATCGACTGCTGCACCTCGAGCTTGTTCTCACCGGCGTTGAACTGCTTGTACAAGGTGTGCTTGACGAGCGCGTTCAACAGAGGGTTCTTGGCGACGTCCAGAACGGGGGTCTTGGGGTGCGCGAGGGTCGAGAGCGCAAAGATGCACGGCTTCAACAGGAGGGTGGAAGAGGAGACGGAGAGAATCACCAGCGACCGCAGGACGGAGGAGATGGGGAGCTTAGCCAGGGGAGATCCCGAGGCATCGTTGGAGGGAACGGCAGCCTGCTGCTGCAACAGGTTGTTGGTGGGGGTGGACGCAGCGGCGGAAGATTTGGGGTTGCTGGTGCGGCTAACGTATCTGGCGGACGAGTATGTAGAGGGGACGCTCGAGAGCACCCGCATAGGACGGCGGGCAGCCTTCATGATGATGGTAGATTCCGTGGCGAGTATAGAAGAAAATGGCAAGGAGGGGGAGAGGAGGATGAGTGTGAAAGACAGAAGAGTCACGCAGCGATGATAGAAATAAGTAGTTCTTCAGTCTGGAGACAAAGGAGGGGAATTTGTAGTGGTATGAAATGCATCGCAAGGGAATGGAAGTATGGCAAGTGGAGGATCTTTCTCTAGTGTAACTAGTAGATGGGGGATGGAAAGAAGCGGTTCCCGTACCGGTGGAAACCGGGCAGGAGGTGGACTGAAAGCCGGTCAGCAATGGCTTTCTTTCTTCTGGTCAGGAACAACCCGGGCAAGGTATTACTATCATTTTCTTTTTTTCCTTGTCGGGGCTGCCCATCCCCGTGACGTTAGATAATGCAAACTGGCTAGCCGTGACTGGGAGATTATGCGGGTGGCGTTGCAGTGAAAGGGTGGCCAACTATAACATTGTTGCACCTGACCCGGCCAGTTGTGTCTAGATCTACGCCTGATCGCCCGCTACTGTAGGCTTCGCTCGAGCTTACCGATGAACTGGAGTTGGGGTGGTGGTGTGTCACTACTCGATAGGAGGGTGTTGACTAGATCTTGACTACGCCTTATGCTTCCTAGCAAATAAGAAAGTATCTTGAACTTTAAGACAAAAGCACCAAAGGCCCCGTGCCCAAGACCCTGGCCACGGTTGTTTCCCGTACTTTTTATTTAGGTAGGGTCAAAAAAAAAAGTCCAGCTTATCGATCTGGCGATAACCCTGATAAGTGGTCGATAAGAGATTGGCGATGACCGGCAGGCGGGCCGGTGGGTTCACCCCCACCGGAGCTGTCGCCGCTTGACCGGCCCGGTCGTGCTGCTGGGCTACAGATTCATTAAACCATTACTATGCCGACATGAAAGGAATGTGCATGTATACCCCTGGAACATCAGGCCAAGGAGACCGACATCGCTGATAGTAATATAAGTATTTTTCTTCCTTTCATAGTAGTCCGTTCAGAGTCAAGCACCCGCCATTGTAGCCTACTACTAGTGTTGCTGGCAGCGCATCGTTGCCGCAGCGGAATCTTCTATCAATTGACAGTACTATTATGTACTTTTCAATCGTCAGGCACAAACTCACCTGGTGCCTGGATATCGAGGCATCAGGGCCTTTTTAGCTGTTTTCGGACTTTCTGCACTAGTGGCGGAGGGAGCAAAAACACTCCACCGGGCGGCAACTGAAAGAACCAATGATATCAGCGGAAGGCTAGCCTCGATGGGTCAAGCTTTTCCAAACGAGCAAAGATGAACCATGGCATTAGGTAACAGATTGACTCCATCAAGAGGACTTTCAATGCAGCAGTTTCTCTTAGTCACAGCAACCTCACGGTGGATTCAGCTCTCTTCACGCTCTAGAATATGCCCACTGTGGTGCGGAGAACCACCCCGGATTTGCAGCAGTCTAATACTCTAAATGCCACGAGGAACGCCGCCGGCTTTCTGACATCTTTGTAGAAGCTTAAATCGTCAATGGAAACCCGATTTATATCAAACAACGAGCAAGTCAGATAACCTGATATCGCATCCATGTCCCTGCCGCGTCGGACGATCCCCGCCCGCCAGCCAGGCAGATAAGGGAACCTATGGCAGCCACCAAACCTTCCCATCTTCTAACAAGAAACACTGCTCGTATGTAAACCCAAACGAGAGATAAGATGCTAAATCCCCGCATATCGCCTCCCCAGAGCCCTCTGGAGCCAATGATGGTGTCCTTCTGGAAGACTTTGCGCCATCGGGCCGTAGCTCAAAGTCATTTCGTGTTAGTCCTGATAAGCATGCTGGCTGAGACGCGCCAGCTCGTCGTCTCTGCGGCAGCCATATAAGATGTCCGTAGCCAATGTCCATCTGCGACTGTTCTAGTCACTCGCATCATTGTATTATTCGTTCTTGTACACACCAGAATGGGTGCGCCATCGGTCAAGGACTTCGAGAAGTCCGCCAATGAAGTGACATCTCCAGTATATGCTGATGAAGACCCCGAAGCCCTCAAGGGCGAGATCCACCATGGGCCAAACACAGACACCCAGCGTGGACTGTCCTCTCGACAGCTGCAGCTGCTTGCTCTCGGTGGTTGTATTGGCACCGGTCTATTCGTAGGTTCGGGATCCACGCTGTCGACGGTGGGCCCAGCACCACTGTTCATGGGCTACTTTGCCATGTCGACGGTGGTGTGGTTTGTGATGAACGTGCTAGGCGAGATGACCACCTATCTGCCCATCAAGGGAATTTCGGTGCCTTATGTGATTGGTCGCTACACGGAGCCTAGTATCGGATTCGCTGCTGGTATGTTTTACATTGTACCTGACATCTTTATATTTATCTTTTATTCTGCAGTGATAAGCTAACTTAGACTCAGGATATAACTATTGGTAGGCTGATATTATTTCCCGTTCACCAACACCGTCTAATCATTATGCCTATTAGGTACTCGTTTGCCATGTTATTGGCCAGTGAAGTGACGGCTGCCGGTATTATTATTCAGTACTGGACCACCTCCATCAATGTTGGGGTGTGGATTACCATCATCCTCCTCGGTATATTTCTCAAACTTCTATATAGCAGTTCTTGATTGATTCTAACAACCACAGTGATTCTACTCCTAAATATCGTCGCGGTGTCATGGTATGGAGAAGCCGAGTTCTGGTTTGCAACGTTAAAGATTCTTGCCATCATCGGTCTCATTATCCTGGGCGTGGTGCTCTTCTTTGGTGGTGGCCCCAACCATGATCGACTCGGCTTCCGCTACTGGGACAACCCGGGCGCGTTCAATCCCTACTTGGTGGGTGGAAACACCGGTCGCTTCCTCGACTTTTGGACCGCCTTTATCAAGTCTGGCTTCTCCTTCATTTTCTCCCCCGAACTTATCACCACTGCCGCTGGTGAAGTTGAAGCGCCGCGTCGCAACATCCCGAAAGCCACCAACCGATTCATCTACCGAGTCTTTGCCTTCTACATCCTGGGCACCCTTGTGATTGGTGTCACTGTGGCTTACAATGATCCCAAACTCATGTCCGCAGTTGCCAGCGGTAGCTCGAGCGCCAGTGCCAGTCCTTTTGTCATTGCCATTCAGAATGCTGGTATCTCGGGGCTGAACCATGTCGTCAACGCTGCTATCTTGATCTCAGCCTGGTCCTCAGGTAATGCATGGCTGTTCGCTGGTTCTCGAACACTGTATTCGCTCGCCTGTGGCGGCCAGGCCCCCAAGATCTTCACCCGATGCAACCGCAACGGCGTGCCCTACGTGGCCGTTCTCATCACCTGGGTAGTCGGCTTGCTGTCCTTCCTGAACCTGTCTGACTCGGGAGAGAATGTCTTCTACTGGTTCACGAACATCACTACAGTGGGAGGATTCATCAACTGGGTGCTCATCGGCATCGCCTACTTGGTAAGTAATTTCCTTTGAGATTTCTGCAGACCCAGCTGACCAAATCTAGCGATTCCGCAAAGCATTGACCTATCACGGCCTGATGGACACGCTCACTTTCAAGACCCCTCTGCAGCCCTACGGCACATACTACGTGATTCTGATCGTGTCCCTCCTCACCATTACCAACGGATACGCGGTCTTCTTTCCCGGTAACTTCACTGCGGCCGACTTTCTGGTGTCGTATATCGTGGTAGCTATTTTCCTGGCCCTCTATGTGGGCCACAAAGTGTGGTATCGGACCCCATGGATGACCAAGGTGTCGGAGATTGACGTGTTCACGGGCAAGGAGGAGATTGACCGGCTCTGCGAGAACGACTTTGAGCGGAAGCCGCGCAATTGGCTGGAAAGGGTGTGGTGGTGGATTGCTTGAGCAGGATTCACAACTTGAGTCCGAAGCATATATTTGCAAATCCTCTGGGCAGGACACATGTACATAGATTGAATGTTATAGCCAAAAATGGAAGCCCAATGGCTTGGATATTTGTCATTGCTCACAATTACCGAAAAGAGTAGCAGCTGTATTGATCCATCCATAGTAGTCTTGCAGAGAGGTCAGGTGGTCAAGTCACGCGTCGGTTTGCTGCGGTGTTCATCTCCGCCTCGTTTTGCCGCTCCACGTATCATTTGGCATGCAGCCATCCATGCACGAATCAAAGTCAATAGTCGGAATCATTCCTAGAGGTATTCGAGCTCTCGATTGACTTCATGTAGGGTAATTGCATATCTGGGTTTTATTAAAACCAGCTTCTAGCTTTGGCAGGCGAGTCAGACAGCGGAGAATCCATAGCGATCGCTTGTAATGCGGGGGATCTATGCGGAGGCGGAGAGACTACCGTTGGCATCACAGCATACAACATTATTTAATTCAGATTCACATAATCCACTTGGTAGAAACTGATGCTGGGAATCCAACAAAGACAGGTTCCTGTTAGTCATGATTTTCGTGCGTGTCCAGCACTATCTGCCTACTGCCTACTAATGAAAACCAGCGGAAGGCCAGCAGCCGGTGGAGGTATCCGGGCCGGTGGGCAGCTCCACCCGGAATCCAGCCGGCGGTGCTGATTAGCGCGACAGATAGCAGAGTATCAGATCTGCCTGCATTTCCTGCCCGGCCCATTGGTTGCCGGTACGCTGCAAGGACAATCACTTGTTGGTCCGCTTGATAGGACCTTGTCTCTCTTCCTGAAATGCAGTGTACTTTGTGCCACCCAGAGATCCTGCGCGCTGACTAACCACGGCCGGCAGTAACCGGGCCTCTTATATCACCGGAGCTTCCCCGCGTCTGCTTCACTTTCTCCTCATCTCTCCTGCTTTTCATCCCCTCGGATTCAGTCCTCGTCCAGTTGCTACAACTCGGAAGAGCACAATCCATCATGCAGTCCTCTTTGCTCCTGCGTTCTCGGGGCCTCTCCCTCGCCAAATGCCCCTCCCTCTCCCTTGCCCGCACGAGCGCTCGTGCTATGGGCTCTTACGCCACCTTCAAGGTTCCTCGCATTGACAACGAGCCTAACGTGAGTGACCTTGAAATCACGGCCATCTTCAAGTTTACTGACTCAATCGCAGAAACACTACGCCCCCGGATCTCCTGACCGCCGCGGTCTCGAGGAGGCCCTCGCCAGAACCAAGCAGAGCGGTCCCCTCAATGTGCCTTTGGTGATTGCCGGCAAGGAGGTTAGTAGCAAACATGCGAGTTGCAGAAGCAATTGAATGAATCTAACTCCTCGCAGATCAAGAGCTCTCAGATCGAGACCCAGAGCAATCCCGCCTCCCATGCGCCCGTGGCTACTTACTCCAACGCCTCCGTCGCCGAGGTCCAGGCTGCTATTGACGCCGCCCTCGAGGCTCGCAAGTCGTGGGCTGCCACCTCTTTCGCCGATCGTGCCAGCATCTTCCTCAAGGCCGCTGACCTGATCTCGACTAAATACCGCTATGACATCATGGCTCTGACCATGCACGGCCAGGGCAAGAATGCCTGGCAGGCCGAGATCGACTCCGCCGCTGAGCTGTGCGATTTCTTCCGCTTCGGTGTCAAGTACGCCGAGGACCTGTACGCTCAGCAGCCCGTTCACCATGCTCCTGGCGTGTGGAAGTGAGTGATTCTTACCAGCAGTTAAGTGATCATAGCTAACCTGACTAGCCGCGTGGAATACCGTCCCCTGGAGGGATTCGTCTACGCCATCAGTCCCTTCAACTTCACTGCCATTGGCGGTAACCTGGCTGGTGCTCCCGCCCTGATGGGTAACGTCGTCGTCTGGAAGCCTTCTCCTTCCGCCATCGCCTCCAACTGGCTCGTCCACCAGATCCTCCTCGAGGCCGGTCTGCCCAAGAACGTCATCCAGTTCGTCCCCGGTGATGCCGCAGAGGTCACCAACACCGTCCTGAACCACCCCGACTTTGCTGCCCTCCACTTCACCGGTAGCACCGCTGTGTTCCGCAGCCTCTACGGCCAGATCGCCAACGGCGTCGCTGAGGGCAAGTACCGCAGCTACCCCCGCATTGTTGGTGAGACCGGTGGCAAGAACTTCCACCTGGTCCACAAGTCGGCCGATGTCCGCAACGCTGCCGTCCAGACTGTCCGTGGAGCTTTCGAGTTCCAGGGCCAGAAGTGCAGTGCCACCTCCCGCGCCTACGTGGCCGCTTCCATTGCCGACGAGTTCATCAAGAACGTCGTTGCCGAGACCAAGAACATCAAGGTCGGCGAGCCCTCTGACTTCACCAACTTCTGCGGTCCCGTCATTCACGAGGCCTCCTTCAACAAGCTGGCCAATGTGATCGACGAGGCCAAGAACGACCCCGAGCTCGAGCTGCTGGCCGGCGGTAGCTACGACTCCTCCAAGGGATGGTACATCCAGCCCACCGTCTACCACACCACCAACCCCGACCACCCCCTCCTTTCCCGCGAGCTCTTCGGTCCCGTCCTGGTCATCCACACCTACGCCGATGCCACCGAGGCCGACTTTGCCAAGATCTGCGAGAAGGTTGACCAGACCGGCGACTACGGTCTGACCGGTTCCATCTTCGCCCAGGACCGCGAGGTTCTCCGCACCGCCGACGACGCTCTCCGCAACACCGCCGGTAACTTCTACATCAACTGCAAGAGCACTGGTGCTGTTGTCGGCCAGCAGCCTTTCGGCGGTGCCCGTGCCAGTGGTACCAACGATAAGGCCGGCAGTGGCAACCTTCTGTCCCGCTTCGTCAGTCTGCGGTCGATCAAGGAGGAGTTTGTCCCTACCTACAAGGTTCCCTACCCCAGCAACGATGCTTAGGAGGGTGAGTAGGATGGTGATGAGAGATGGTTATTTGGCATATTCCATATTCCCCACGAGTTTTGCATATGTGGCGTTCGGTAAAATTGTTGTATGAATAGTTTAGTTATCATATATATCCAGTCCACCGGAAACTTATACCCGTAAACCCACACTAAACTGTATACCCATAAATACCCATTTAGATGCCATCCGCACACCTCTCCAAAAACCTCCTCATACTCCCCATCGCCTCCCTCGCAAACCCCTCCACATCCCCAATCTCCTCCTCCCCCGACTTCCCCCCATCAAAAATCTCCATACTGAACCATCCCCTAAACCCCGTCCTCAACACCGCCCTCCCCACCTCCTCAATCGGCAAATACCCCCCATGATACGGCATCGGCCTAAAATCATGACTCCACCGTGCCCTAGGCCTCGCCCCATCCACCACCTCATCCTCAAACGGAGTAAGAGGCTTATACGCATCCGACACCTGCAACAGGAAGATCTTCTCGGCAGGAACCGTCCTCACCAACTCCTCCAAACTATCTTCATACCTCTTCCTCACCCCATCCTCACCACCACTTATCACCCCCTCCGGGGCCGTCGGATCCCCCCACTCCCCGCCCGCCGTCTGAAACGTATCCAAACACAACCCAACATTCTCCCTCCCCACATCCCTAACAATCTCCCACACATCCTTCCAATTCGGCGCATGCGTACTCCAACACCAGTTCTCGTACGCGATGCGCTGGCCCTTGCTCGCTAATATATCCGCCAGCTCACGCAAATCCTCCACCACATTCTCTTTATTCTCTCCTAGGGATAGTTTCTCAGCGGGAGTATCTGTAGATCCTATTTGTAATAGATCCGTCCCCAGCGCAGCCATAATCTCACTCCACCCCTTCGCGCGCGCGAACGCATCCTCCCGTTCTGGGGATCCGCGAGGCCATCCCTCGAAGTTGGCGAAGGGTTGCAGCATCATGATCCGTAGGTTGTGGGATTCGCATAGTGTGCGGATTTGGCTTGCGGAGCGGATGAGGGCCGGGTAGTCGGTTGGTAGGATCTGGGCGGTGCCGGGGTTGTGGGTGTTGGCGTAGGCGAGGAGGTCCGGGAAGGCGAGCTCGATGCCCGTGAAGGAGGCGGAGTGGAGGGTGGAGAGTTTGGTTTCTAGTGGGATGGAAGGGGGGCCGAGGGAGCAGGTTGCGTAGCTGAGGGGGATCTTATTGATTTCTGTTGTGGGGGACATGGTTGTTGGTATGTTGGTATGTTGGTATTGTGTTTAGTTGTTTGTGGGAGTGGTTATGTTTGAATTGAAGTTGTAGAAGGGTTTAATAGTGGTGAAAATTCGTTATATAGATTGCAGGTAGATTGGCTGTGAAGATGGTTGGAGGTTTGCGATTTAGTTGGTTGGTTTGGGTTCGTTCAGGATGATGTAACCGGCCGTGATTTGTTAGGGCTTCCGGTGCTTCCAGATAGGTTGCTTTGGATAATGTAGTGGATTATGCAGCAGGTTTTGATCGGATAAGTCTGATTTAATATATTGGTCTAGTAATCATGCCATGCTTATAAAGTATTAGGATGGGTTGTATAGCATGATAATAATGAGTGAGTGGTATCTCCCATGACGTCTGCACATGATGTAACGGGTGCGTAGTAGTTAGTGCCTGGTCTATCCGCGCCACGGCAGCTCTTAAAAATGCTTCATTTCACAGCCCTCCAACAATGTTTCATTGTAAACCCAATTAAATCTACTTTCATAAAATCAATCCGTAATAATGCCGTCTCACTCCTTCAAACGAATCGGCATCGTCGGAGCCGGCAACATGGGCTCGATGATGAGCTTCGCCTTCACGGAGCTCGGGCTGGACGTCTCCATCTGGGACGTGAAGCGCGAAAACGTGGACGGAATCAAGAAATGGTATGACGAAGGGAAATTCAGCGACAAGGGAAAAGTGGAAGGGTTCTACGAGATCGATAAATTCACAAAGAGTCTGGAAGGTCAAGGGGAACGGAAACTATTCATCTTCTCGATCACCCATGGCGATCCCGCGGACTCCGTCTTGGATATGATCCAGAATGATCTGAAAAAAGGAGATATTATCCTCGACGGCGGGAATGAGAACTATCGACGGACTGAGCAGCGACAGCAACGATGCAAGGAACTCGGCGTCAGTTGGATCGGCATGGGTGTCTCGGGCGGGTATCAATCGGCCCGCCATGGCCCGAGTTTATCGCCTGGGGGTGATCCGGAGGCGATTGAGCTTGTCTTACCGTTGCTGGAGCAGTATGCTGCCAAGGATGAAAAGACCGGCAAGCCTTGTGTGACGAATGTGGGACCTGCTGGTTCGGGTCACTTCGTCAAGATGGTCCATAATGGTATCGAAGGGGGGATGTTGTCTACCACGGCGGAGGCGTGGGCTTTGCTTCATTGGGGATTGGGGTTGGAGTATCAGGAGATTTCTGATATATTTGAAGACTGGAATACGAAGGGAGAGTTGCGGAAGAACTTTCTGCTCGACATCGGTGTGCAAATCCTGCGCACGAAGAAGACTCCCCAGGGCGACTACCAAGGCGAAGGCGCCAGTCAGAACGGCGGTTACGTGCTGGATGACGTGCTCGACAAAGTGGTACAGGACGACGATGACACCGAAGGAACGCCCTACTGGTCGGTTATGGAGACTGCGAACCGACATGTGGCCGGTCCTACGCTCGCCACGGCCCACTACATGCGCATCGCTAGTGGTAATCGCGCTGAGCGATTGGAGGTTGCCAAAAAGCTCAACATCCCCGGTCCTAAGGCTATCGACACCAAAGACCGCAAAGACTTCATCGAGAAACTGCGTCGCGCCGTCTACTGCTCCTTCTTGGCTTCATTCTGCCAGGGACTGGAGTTGATCGCGCGCGCATCCAAGGATGAGGGATGGAACGTCGATCTCAGCAAGTGCATCCAGATCTGGCGCGGGGGGTGCATCATCCAGTCCGAAGCTATCGCAGATCTTCTACAACCGCTCATGCGTCCGGACCTGACCAACATGAAGTTCCTGGATGAGGTCGCCCGGGAGCTGCACAAGCATTTTGATGCGCTGAAGGAGGTGGTGCTAGCCGCCACAGTGGCAGATCAGTATATTCCTGCCTTGTCTGCTACATTAGAGTACCTGAAGTATGAGGGAGGGACGATGCTGCCTACCAAGTTCATGGAGGCGCAGATGGATCTATTTGGCGCCCACGCCTACTACATACCGGGCGTGCCTGGAGAGGATCCGGGGCCGGTGAAGAAGGGACCTCACCACTACGAGTGGCGTCCAGCCTAATGCAGAGATGTAATTGTTGTATAGGGAAGAAGATAATGTTGTAATAAGAGACACTCAATGACATGTCATAATACTTCCATAATATGTAGATCCGGGGATTTCTGAGTCCTCTCATTATATTCGTAGTATCTGTCGGTCCAGCCCGTAGATAGTTTGTGAATGAATTATCCAACATCGAGTTATACAGCAGAAAGTATTGTAGTACGTGAAAAATAGAAGTTTGTGGAATGACAGGAGTAAAGCCAGTCAAGTAACAAAGACGATGGACGAATGGTGCCTGAGGAAGCGGCACGTGGGGCGCAATCAAAGATTGCCGCCTCAGGCGGAAACGGATTACCCGATTGGGCGATGACCCCGCCATGGAAGATTTGCGATTGTCTCCAACTTCAAATCACTCCGTCTCCTCTCCTCCTTCTCTCCTCTTATTGTATGCCCTTGCTTGCCCTGCGCCGTCTGTTGTCTACTCTTCCATCCCGCCCCCTCAGGAGAATCGAGTCCGCAAAACAACTCGCTCAAAGAATGGCCGCCCTTCCCTCCACCTACGACGGTAAGTCCGATCCCCGCCCGGCGCATCGTGCTCCTAACAGATCCATACTGATCGCTATTACTCTGCATAGAGCCCGTCCGTATCGCCGTTATTGGCGGTACTGGTCTGCGTGAGCTCCCTGGCTTCACCCAGGTTGCGTCTTTGAACATCTCGACTCCTTGGGGCGCCCCCTCCTCCCCCATCACCATCCTGCACCACCAGTGCTCCCACAACAACCAGACGGTCGCCATCGCCTTCCTGAGCCGTCACGGTCTGCACCACCAGATCGCTCCCCACGAGGTTCCCGCCCGCGCTAACATCGCCGCTCTGCGCTCCATCGGTGTCCGCACCATCATCGCTTTCTCCGCCGTCGGTAGCTTGCAGGAGGAGATCAAGCCCCGCGATTTCGTTGTTCCCGACCAGGTCATCGACCGCACCAAGGGTATCCGTCCCTTCACCTTCTTCGAGGGCGGCGTCGTCGCTCACGTTCCCTTCGGTGACCCCTTCGATGAGGGTGTCGCCAAGGTCGTCCGGGCCTGTGGACACAGCTTGGAGGGTGAGGGTGTGGTGCTGCACGACCGCGGTACCCTGATCTGCATGGGTATGTGATAATTGTCTGATGGAATAAGGGTCGCATTTACTGATTATCGCATAGAGGGACCTCAATTCTCCACCCGCGCTGAGAGCAAGCTGTACCGCTCCTGGGGTGGCAGCGTCATCAACATGTCCTGCCTGCCCGAGGCCAAGCTGGCCCGCGAGGCCGAGATCGCCTACCAGATGATTTGCATGTCCACTGACTACGACTGCTGGCACGAGTCGACCGCCGATGTGACCGTGGAGATGGTCATGGGCAACATGAAGGCCAACGCCGTCAACGCCAAGCGCTTCGTGACAGCTGTGCTGGACGAGCTGGCCGCTGAGCAGAACTCTCAGCTGGTGCAGGCCAAGCACATCGAGGGATCCGTCAAGTTCGGTATGAGCACTGCCCAGCCCAACTGGAGCCCCGAGGCTCGCGAGCGGATGAACTGGCTGTTCCCTGGCTACTTCAACTAGGGCCACCGATGACCGGCGGGCTGGCATACGGGTGGATATCTATGGATAGATAGATTATGGTCATCATGACTTACGAAATGCATGATGCGAGGCATATAGAAGATACAAAGAATACAATACCATGTCACGAAGAAGTATAGATTTTGTATCGTGTAATGATGGTAGACCGCGTAATGACTGAAGTGTGCTCTTATTCACTGGCAAGTCATTCACTAGTTCACAGACAACTCGCTAAGTCCGGCGCCTCTCCTGCATTTTAGTCCAGTGTTCTGCTCGTCCCGGCGATCCCGATGTTTACCTGCATCTTCATCATCCCATAGTCACACGGCGGCACCAGAGTCCGGATCACCATGGATCTAAACTATACGACCATTGACGCCCGCGGGGACATGCTCCTCGTGGTCGAAACGGATGGCGAGCAGATGTATACGCGCCTGACACGATTCAGTGAGTGCCGATCCATCAGTCATCACGTATTACATTCATGCTGATGCACCACTTCACTGTTCAGATCCCACCCACCGCACAACCCGGTCTGTTCCAACCTACTTCCAGGGAATTGTCGACACTATCAGCAAATTCCCCCGGCGGAGCAGTGCCCCAGCTCCACCCGAGCATGAACTGATCGGCTCCAACCCTGGACAGCAAGCCACTAACAATGTCTCTCAGAACCGCACCGTGAAGGCCAGAATCAGAATATCTTCGGATCAACTCGCCCATACCTGCCCTTACTTCCAGAAGAAGATCAACAGCGAGGACAGATTCAAAGAAGTCGATGCTCTTCCTCCTCGATTCAACAACCTTGGTGCTTTGCTCGTCCTGCTTAATGCCGTTCATGGTCGCGCCCCAAATGTCCCACGCCATGTTACCCCAGACACCCTGTGCATGATTGCTCTCCTGACTGAACACTTCGGATGTTACAATAACATGATGGCTTACAGTGAAACCTGGGTCATAAATATGTCTGATTCGATTCCTAAGGCATACGACAATGATGTGGTCAAGTGGATTTACATCGCCTGGGTGTTCCGTCATCGTAGTCTCTTCTGGTACATCACTCGTGTCGCTATTCGAGGAAGTACCGGGGAAATTTTGAAACAAGGACTTCCGATTCCTGATTTGTTGCTCGGTGCGTATCATTCTCTTTTTCTTTACTTCAAGGACTGTGGTTGCAAGACACTGACCTATGACATGAACAGAGCACATCGATAACCTTCGTCAGAAGCACGTCGACACCCTCGTCATCTCGCTCTACCAGCGCATGGAATCCATTCTTGAGGAAGGCGGCTGCTGTGCGGCCTGTGACGCCATGGTCGTTGGCCAGTTGATGACAGAGATGAAGCCCAGGGATCTTTTTCCGCCACCCCAGGCCCCATATGAGGGATGGAGCATCGATTATCTGCTGCGAATCCTTTCAGACGTGACCGAGCCTCAATGCACGCGCTTATTCCATGAGGACTTGGGTTGTCCCCGGGGTCCCTGTGCATTGTTTCCGGAGACTAGTGTTCTCATGAAGCAGGTTGATGTGGAAGCGACCGGTCTGGACTACGACTGGGTGGTTAGCGGCATTTGACGGGCGCTGCTTTGGTTTAGGCTCATGGGTGGGCATTAACATGGAGTTTTCTTTTTTCTTTTATGGCGTATTGCTGCTGGTTGGTTTTACGATGGAGTTAGATGCATGGATAGGCCAGGCGTTGATAGGAATGGCGAATAGTTTTTGCTGGTTGGTAGTTAGTTGAATATCAGTGGCTCCTTTTTCCTTTTGAATCGAACCATGGATGGTTGTCTGCCACTGCCCCTGAAGATCCCAACGGACCGTAACTCTCCATTCACATCGCTCTCATGAAGATAGTGGATGATGATCATCTCCCAAACCGCGCAAGCGAAGTTGTGCATATGTCTAACAATAGCCTCGGCTGATCGTCACACGCCAGCTGCAACCTGCAACATCCCCCGTGCAACCAACTTGCAGCAATCCTGCAGATTCCCCGCGCTGTCAAGACCCAGTTTCGCCTTCGGCTAATGTGTATCCAGGATGATCCTTTCCCTGGCTCGGCTGAATGAGGGCAATAATGAACCGTTCCTCATCATCTGCTCCGCCCGCAAACACGGATCTTCCCTCCGACATTCCATCCCCGGGTTGGCCCTCCTTGCCATCCCCGCTGATCACTTGCCCTCTTTCCCCAGTCCCTGCGTTTTCCCGTCCCAATGCCTCTATCCTGTTTGCGACCGAGCAGTACTATGCTTCCTTGGCGTGCGCACATGGCCGCTATAACACCCCTTGGCCTCGCTGTCATTGGGCCTGACCCAATTGTGCTGTGGCATGACCTCGATTTTGTATTTATCCAGCTGGGACCCCATGATCCATGGCAGGTAGACCCGGTCTAGTCTGGAACCTTGTAGGCAGAAGGGAACTGAGCTCTTCGGCGTATATCTCCTGCCTGGTATCCGCCCTGACGTCTCCGGGTACGTCCCAGCTCTTGCACGTCCCCGTCGTCGCATGCACAGTCAACCATGGGCGCGAAATTACCTCTGTATCTCGCCTTGTTGGCAGGTATTATCCCCTGGTCGACTGGCTCCTCTGCTCCCTTACACACTAGAGACGATGGCGCCTTCTCACCCCCCTACTACCCAGCCCCCAACGGCGGGTGGCTTTCCGACTGGGCTAGTGCGTACGAAAAGGCGCAAAAGGTCGTCAGCAACATGACACTAGCAGAGAAGGTAAACCTCACAACAGGCACCGGCATGTTCATGGGCCCCTGTGCGGGACAAACAGGAAGCGCGCTTCGATTCGGTATCCCGAATCTCTGTCTGCATGACTCCCCGTTGGGTATCCGCAACTCGGACCATAACACGGCTTTTCCTCCTGGCGTCACGGTGGGCGCAACGTTTGATAAAGAGCTTATGTATCAACGCGGCGTCGAACTCGGAGAAGAGGCTCGTGGCAAGGGTGTTAATGTACTCTTGGGCCCTGTTGTCGGTCCAACGTTCCGCAAGCCTAGGGGAGGCCGTAATTGGGAAGGCTTTGGTGCGGATCCAAGTCTGCAGGCCATCGGCGGTGCGTTGACCATCCAGGGCATGCAGAGTACGGGGGCGATCGCGAGTCTTAAACATTTCATCGGAAATGAGCAGGAGATGCATCGCATGAGTAGTGTTATCACACAGGGGTATTCTTCGAATATTGATGATCGGACACTCCATGAACTGTATCTGTGGCCATTTGCGGAGGGTGTTCGTGCTGGGACGGGGTCAGTGATGATGGCGTATAATGATGTAGGTGCTTGTCTTCTGAGTCGATGATCATATCGCTAACGTCGCTCCAGGTCAACCGCTCAGCGTGTAGCCAGAATAGTATGCTCATTAATGGCATCCTCAAGGATGAGCTGGGCTTTCAGGGCTTCGTTGTGACGGACTGGCTCGCTCAACTCGGCGGTGTCTCGTCTGCATTGGCTGGTTTGGATATGAGTATGCCGGGAGATGGAAGCATTCCACTGCTTGGTGATAGTTATTGGGGTTCGGAGCTCTCTCGGTCTATTCTAAATGGTACCGTTCCAGTCGAACGTCTCAATGACATGGTGAGTACCATCGCCTCTTTTACAGGGACATTTCTCACGCTTCCAGGTCACGCGCATCGTTGCGACCTGGTATAAAATGGGTCAGGACGAGGACTATCCCCTGCCGAACTTCTCTAGTAACACCCTGGACGAGACTGGCCCTCTTTATCCCGGCGCTCTCTTCTCCCCCAGCGGCGTGGTCAACCAATATGTGAACGTTCAAGGCAACCACAACATCACCGCTCATGCCATTGCTCGCGACGCCATCACCCTTCTCAAGAACGAGAATAATACTCTCCCCCTCTCAACCACTGATTCCCTCAAGATCTTCGGCACTGACGCCGGCCCCAACTCCAACGGGCTCAACTCCTGCACCGACCAGGGCTGCGACAACGGCGTCCTCACCATGGGCTGGGGCAGCGGCACCTCTCGTCTTCCATACCTCGTAACCCCCCAACAAGCCATCGCCAACCTCTCTTCCTCCGCTGAATTCTACATTACCGACTCCTTCCCCTCCAACCTCCAACCCAACGCCTCCGACATCGCTCTCGTCTTCATCAACGCTGACTCCGGCGAAAACTACATCACCGTCGAAAACAACCCGGGCGACCGCACTACCGCCGACCTCTACGCCTGGCACAACGGCGACGACCTCGTCAAAGCTGCCGCGGACGTCTTCTCTACCGTCATTGTAATCGTCCACACCGTCGGCCCCATCCTGCTCGAGAACTGGATTGACCTCGACCCCGTCAAAGCCGTTCTCATCGCCCACCTCCCCGGCCAAGAAGCTGGCTACTCCCTAACCGACATCCTCTTCGGCTCATCTTCTCCCAGCGGCCACCTGCCCTACACCATTCCCTACAAGGAATCCGACTACCCCTCCAGCGTCGGGCTCCTTGACCAAGCATTCGGACAAATCCAAGACGACTTCACCGAGGGTCTCTACATCGACTACCGCCACTTCCTCAAAGCCAACATCACCCCCCGCTACCCCTTTGGTCACGGCCTCTCCTACACCACCTTCACCTACTCCACTCCCTCCCTCACGACCGTCACCGACCTCGACACAGCTTACCCTCCAGCCCGTCCATCCAAAGGCCCAACTCCATCATACTCAACCGCCATCCCCAATCCATCCGAAGTCGCCTGGCCCTCCTCCTTCTCTCGCATCTGGCGCTACCTGTACCCCTACCTCGACGATCCCCAATCAGTCACGAACTCCTCTTCATCCTCATATCCCTACCCATCCGGCTACTCCACCACTCCGAAACCCGCACCCCGAGCTGGAGGTGGCGCCGGCGGCAACCCCGCTCTTTGGGACGTTGCATTCGCGGTGGAAGTTACTATCACGAATAGTGGGAATTACAGTGGTCGTGCTGTAGCGCAGCTATATGTGGAGTTACCCATAGATATACTGGGGGTGGATGCGCCGTCGAGACAGTTGAGACAATTTGAGAAGACGGGTATTTTGAAGCCCGGGGAGAGTGAGACGGTCCTGATGAATGTAACGAGGAAGGATGTGAGTATTTGGGATGTAGAGGTGCAGGATTGGAGGGTACCGGTTGGTGGGGAGGGGGTGAGGTTCTGGGTGGGAGAGAGCTTGGGGGATTTGAGGGGGAATTGTTTGGTCGGGGGTGGGTGTGAGGGGGTGTAAGTGTGTGCAGTGTTTTCAATGGTGCGATATTCTTGAATCGCATTCGCAAATCAGTCCATGAGCTTAAAAGGGTTCAACTTCATGATGGTTGGATACGGTTCCGTATATCCGCTGCTAGTATTAGAGCAGCCAGTAGGGGTGGTTGGTCCGGTGACAAGTTGATGGAAGCCAATACGAGTAACGCCTCCATCCATGGCACTTACTCGTGTGTTTAACTTTATTCATAATTACCATAAGCTTGAATTTTCGAGTTATTCTTGCAGTCAGATTTAAATTTACGAAATCGCGGGGTGATAATGAAGGACGATCAAACAGTGCCTTTGAGCTCGTGTTAAGGGTCGAACACCATGGTTGGGGAAAGTATGCCCTCTTCTCAACTGGCATTCGGCTGTAGTCTCCGCTAAACCAAATATAACCTTTGAGAAAATCGAGAAACCAGACTTTAAAGTTTAAGCTTTTCAAGATAAGCTTTGTGACCTCGCAGTCTAGCAGACCTTATCCGTTTTCAGCGAAGCCTTGTCAGGGAATCCGAAAAGTATATATAACGCGGCTACTGCGGACAAATCTATGTCAATAACCACCAACACTAGTAGCATAACACTGAGATCACTCGTATGATAATGTATATGGCTAGATAGTATTATCTTGACTCCGCATTCAACACCCTTGTAGACTATGTGAAGTGCATTTACAGGATCATGGGAGGTTAAGTGGACCAACATGAGAAAAACCTAAATGTTCTCCTATAGTTAGACTTTCAGTGTTACGAACATAAACGTTCCCACTCAAAACAAATTGACAATAAGACAAGGTGACTCAAGAGCTTGATAGTATTGACTTCCCAATCTCCCTCAACCTTCACCTAAACCTTCCTCCATCCAACGCCACTGGCTCTGCGTTAAAACACCGAAACGCTTAACTCCACCCCCTCTCCCCCCCAATCCCTCATTCCCATTCCTCGTAACAGAAAGTCAGACGATTCAAATATCCTCAGCATCAAAGGTCACCCGCAAGTGAGCAGTAGTCCAGCCATGCCAACCATGTCTGCCGGTATCAGAACCATCCGGACCAAAAGTGAGTTCCTCGTGTGATGGATTCTCGTATAGCTTGCCGTGCTCTTTGACCTTTCGGATCCTGCCTTCGTAGTTGATGTAGGCCGTGCGAGGGTCTTCAGCGACTTCATTAGCAAGTTTGTCTTTGACTTGCACGGTAAGGCGGTTCTTGAGATCGCCCATGGACGGATGACGGCCGCTGTGGTCGCCGTAGAGATCTGTGGAGAAGGTTTTGGACATGGTGTCGGTCCTTTGTTGTAACAATAGTATGGGTTGAGGGTGAAAGTGTTTGAATGATGGATCGTTGAGGGGAGGGGACTGGGGTAGTAGATGGCATTTATACATTAAGAAGGCTTCTTTCAAAGGATTACCCTGTGTGACGTGAGGAGGTTAGAAACTCAACAAAATTTTATTCTAGCCTGGATTAATCGTATAGCAAGGCATAGCATGGAGAATAATATCGATCAGAGGAATAGTGGAAGCATTATATGTTTATTTCATACATTGATGGCGACCGCCTTTCTGCTGCATATGAAGCAAGCTAGATGGTGATCCCGGCAGACTACATGCCCTTCATGTCAGTGCGTTGATACGTGTATCCGATGCTGTAAAGTTTTAAGTATGTGTAGTCTTGTGTGTTGTCTACTTTTCGCAAGCACCAGCCATCGGTCATTTAGGACATGTCTCTGACCTTTTGTATGAACTACTTCACTACTCAGGTGTCTAGGCCGTCATAAGCTACGTCTCCAAAGATGAGACTATTCCGTGTTAGGGTGTGGTAAGATGGAATCGCAGGATTCGGCCCCCACATTGGATCCGAGCAGCATCGGACACCATCGGACGAGGCTCTCCTTCCAAATGTGACGGTCAGCCTGCATGCACTGCCTCACCCCTCCTCACATTTATTATGTGCCACGCTCATTCCTCCCCGCCTGTCTCTCAACAAATGTGACACAACGCTCCTACTTGCCGTGGTTGTGACGCAGTGAGCTTAATTCTGATGGTGAGCGCTCGAGAGTACGAGTTTCGCAATGACCATCTCTGCAAACCCAACGCCCTCACTCTGGGCCATCGCATTATCCTCTCTCTCAGAAAAGGACCGGCGGATTCTAAAGACCCCAAGTCCATCATCGCCGCATACTAAACAGATTTTGACCGAAATACTGGCAGCCCTCGCAACCCAACGCGACCGATGTAAAAGAGACAAATGGACCACTATCAGCATCGGGGGCAAAGAGCTCGTCATTCGAGATGTATGCGCCAAAATTGCTGCCCACGTCAAGAAATTTCTGCAGGTGGTGGACGCGGCTGTCCAATATGATCCTGTCCATGCCGCACTGCCATGGGCGGGTGTGCGCTTACTGCTGCAGTTAACTTTCACCGCATTCGAGACCTTTGGTGCCATCGTCGAGGGCCTCGAAAAAGCAACCCGACTGATAGCCCGATGTGGGATTATTGAAGCCCTGGTCATCCGGCATAGTAGTGGAACGACTGGTGCGACAGTGGGGTTAGAAGAGGAACTGGTGAAGCTGTATTCGGCGGTCCTTGGATTCCTTTGCAAGGCCAAGAAACACTACGATGGGTCTCGCATGAGTAGGTGGAATAATTCCGTGAGGTAGAGCCCAGGTCTTGTCTGTTGACAATGCTATTATAGAACGTGTGTTGAACCTGACTTCCCGGGAGTCTCTCCAAGAATCAGTCAAAGAAATGGAGGCTGCGGAGCAGAAGGTACTAGTGATGAAGGGTCTAGTTGACAGCGAACGTGAGTCCTTACAAGATGACCTCGCATCCACCTGCTAACTCTTCTTCAGGGATCCAAAACATCGATCATGGCATTTCGACAATGCTCTTTACTGTGACCTCTGTCGCAAACGGTGTCGACAATATGCACACGCGACTGGATGAAGCACTGGCTGACCTCGATAAACCTATGATTAGGATTGCGGATGAGATGTCCGATCTGCATATTGCGCTCAAAGGTACCATGGCTACGAAACCATATGATTTACCGGAATTGACGCCAAGCAGAAAACGAGAGGAGCGAGCTCCTACAGTGGCTTTCTACTATCTCCGTACAACAACACTACAGAGAAACATTGGCATCTGTTCTCGCGGGTTCCGGGGAGTGGCTTTTAAAGCAGCCATGCTTCGTGAATTGGAAGGATTCGAGTAGTTCTGAATCTTTCTGGCTTTATGGAATCCGTAAGTCCCACCCAAACATACATTGTATATTTACAGTTATAAGCTGACAGAGAGTAAAGCGGGTTGTGGGAAAACCAAGTTGGCGTAAGCTTCCAATGCAGTGAGAATAATCATGCCTACTGATGTCTTATGATCTCAGCGCGATTGTAGTCAAATATCTACACTGGCAGAGCAGTGGTATATCCAAACCAGCACCGATTGCTCATTTCTTCTGTTCGCGAAGCCCCGCAGAGCCGGAACGCAGCGACGCACGCGAAATACTTCGATCCTTGCTCAAACAGGTCTCGCTGATCGAAGGAGAAAGGACAATAAGGCCCCCATCAGTCGAAGCCTATAAAGTACGACGAGCAGAAGCAGGCCGCACTGGAGAAAAGCCAGCACCACTAACGGTCGAAGAATGCGTTGAGCTGATATGCGAGATTGGCCGAGGAACCCCGATTACTTTTGTCATAGATGCACTGGATGAGTGCAGCTCTCAGCAACGTGGCATTATTATTGAAGCTCTCAAAGAAATTCGACGACAGTGTCGAGATATTGTTAAGATATTTGTGTCTAGTCGACATGAGACGGACATAGCAGCTCACTTTGAGGAAGGAGAGATCTTTGAGATCACACCTACCGTTACTGAAGAAGATATAAGCCAATTTATTCGGGTGGAAGTCCGGTCCTTTATGAACAAATGGTCGAAAATGCACGAAGAGCCTAAACCGTTGTTGCAGCGGCTCGAGGAAGAGATTATAGACAAGCTCGTGGCAGGTGCACAAGGAATGTGAGAAGAGCTAGATTGCCATCGTCATCACAGCGCTTTGATGCTAATTGTGACAGGTTTCTCTGGGTGAGGCTCCAGCTTGAAAGTATCAGTGACACTGATCGAATCAAAGATGTTGAGAGTATCCGTCGAGCAATAACATCTTTCCCCCCAACGTTGAATAAATCCTACGAAGTCATCTACGAACGGATCCAAGGCTTAGGTAAAGGTCCGAGGACGGTCGCACTGCAAAGCCTTCGGTGGCTGTTATGCGCAAAACGAAAGCTTTCCGTCTCTGAATTCCTTGCGGCTGTCAGCAAGTCGCCTATGGGCTCTACATCAGTGTCAGCGGGATCCATCATAGATTACTGTTGCAATCTGATTGTCATCGACCATGTGGCAGACACATTCCGCTTTGCCCATATCACGGTCCGAGAGTAAGATTCTGGACTAGACGAGTGGAACAGATATTGTGCTGACAGCTTATACACAGGTTCCTCGAATCATTGTCCGATAACTCTATCGTTGAAGCTGACTCAACAATAGCCCAGAGGTGCTTAGGCACTTACCTTTGGGGCGACTTCAGCGAGGACGGCCTTTTAGAATATGCAACCCAGTACTGGCCCGCCCACGTGGAGCAGCTCAGCGGATCATCCCAAAGACTTAAGATTCAGAAACCCATCATCGAATTTCTCACTGAAGAAGAGCACTTCGAAGACTGGATTGAATGTCTTGATGAACGTCCAGTCGAGCGGGGTTATCAATGGAGTAGCGCGCTTGAGAGGAAGCTCGAAGCGTGCTTGGCTTCGCCACCGTCAACCCTGTTCACAGTTTGCTGTTTTGGCCTTTCCGAAGTTCTAGAGTGTCCAGAGGTCATCGAAATGATTGATGTGAACCAGACCAATAGATATGGAACTTCAGGCGCATATCTGGCTGCTCGCTGGGGCTACACTGAAGTAGTTCGGAAACTACTTCAACTGGGCGCCGATGTCAACGGACCCGGGTATCAATATGGAAGTCCACTCCAAGCAGCGTCATTTGGTGGCCATAAAGACATTGTCAAAATTCTGCTTGACCGCGGTGTCACTGCCCCTCCGACAGAGCAAGGCGAGTACTCAAGTCCACTCCAAGCAGCTCTAGCAAGTGGCCATGATGATATTGCTGAGATCCTGATTGACAGTGGTCCTCATCTTACCACACAAATCCAATTCACTGATGCGCTAGAGACCGCCAGCTTCAAAGGATCTACTGAGATAGTGGAGCGACTTTTATCCGGCAAGGCTGGCAGCTTCACCCCTGATATTCGCCCTGACCCTCTCCAGGTTGCCCTCTTCGGTGGCAAAGCAAGGCAAGCAAAGCGGTTGCTACAGAGCTGCATTGATGTCAATGAAGAAAAAGGCTACTTCGTGAATGCCCTCGCTGCCGCCATCGCTGGTCGTAAACTTGCCCTCGTGCAGTTGGTTGTCGACGCCGGAGCAGATCTTAACGCTCGCGGACGTTTTGGCTTCCCGTTGCGAGCGGCCACGATAGCTAATCAGCTTGACATTGCGAGATACTTCGTTGATAGAGGAGTTGACCCCAATCTCAGAGATGAAGAGTTAGGCGACACACTTCAAGCTGCCGCCTCTTCTGGGAACCTCGACATGATGCTTTTGCTTCTGTCCCACAATGCCTCCGTAGATGGTTGTGGAGGGCACTTCGGCAATGCACTACAAGCTGCCTGCTTCAATGGTCATGAGCAGGCCGTTCGGCTTTTGGTTGATCATGGTGCTTCATTGAATCGCATGGGCCGGTATCGAGACGCACTGCAAGCTGCCGTATACGGTGGCCATGAAAAGATTGTCGAGATCCTTCTCGTAGCTGGTGCTAGGCTCAACCCAGGACGAAGTGAGAGGGTATATTTATGCGCCTTCGACGACTGGACGGAGAGAATTGCGTTACCGGACACAAGAAAAGGGTGTGGGGAGCTGGACAATCCTACGGATTTAGGTCCACTAGAGGTCGCTGCTAGACGAGGCGACGTCAAACTAGTCGAACTGCTCCTAGCTAAAGGGGCAACTATCGACGCTCGTGACGCGAATGATCAAGACAATGATTATAATGAAGGGTGTGCGTACACCGCACTGCAGATTGCGGCTTTTTGGGGACATCTCACTGTGGTAGAGTGTCTTTTAGACCATGGAGCCGATATTGATGCGGTACGACAGACACTTGGAACTGCATTGCAGGCGGCTTTGGAAGGGGGCCACTTCGATATTGCAGATGTGCTCTTGTCCCGGGGTGCAAGAATAGATAGGCATTGGGCCATGTTTGGATCCTGCTTACAGGTCTTTTCCGAGCGAGGGCATATTGAGACAGTCAGGTTTTTACTGGAGCGCGGAGCGAATATTGAAGATCGTGGAGGCGAGAACGGAAATGCACTCCAGGTAGCTTGCAATGCAGGACACATTGACATTGTGAAGTTGTTACTTGACAGCGGAGCCGATGTAAGGTCGCCTGGACGGAATATAGGCAACGCTCTGCAAGCTGCATCAATGGCCGGACATATCGACATAGTGAAGTTGCTAGTTCACCATGGTATAGGAGTGGACGAAGCCGATAGCAATTCTCAAACGGCGCTTTGCCTGGCTGCAGAAAAAGGGGACGAGGACATGATGAACTTTCTCCTCCAACAAGGAGCTAAAGTTGATGGCAATTCCGTTCTCTCGTCCGGTGAAAGACTCGGAGACTCGGAATCAGGCGGCAAGGTTGAGCGTGACGACGACGTTATTGCAATACCATTGCATCTCGCCTCCTTTCGTGGACAAGAGTCTGCCGTCGCAATTCTTCTCCGCAATGGAGCAAATGTTCATGCTAAAGGAAAGCTGCGGAAGAAGGGATCGGGCCCATCTGATGAATGCAAATTCAGCAGACTACATTGCACCCCTTTGTTGGCGGCATGCTTTTGGGGCCATGAGTCGATTGCGAGGCGACTATTTCTATGCGACCCGTGGGGATATGTGTCTCGTGACACATTCACATCTGCCGTAGAGACGAGCCTTGCCCGTAATAAGAAGAAGTCCATTTCAACAATGTTGGTTCAAGAAGCATTTCATGCAAGTTTCAAAGCTGAACAACTTGACGGTGTGTTCAAGTATGCTTGTGCAGAAGGATACGCTGCGGTTGTGACACAAATACTGGAGCTTTGTAGTCTGGAGCATTGGCCAGATGCAATGTTGGTAGCTACGAAACAGGGCAGGTGTGCCGTTGTCAAAGTTTTACTTCAGCATGGGGCTGACAAGGACTCCTCTGACGAACATGGCAATCTCTGTCTTGACATTGCAATTGAAAAGGTTCGATATTATCGTTATGCCCGGTGGAGTTTCAACCCACCAAATTGGATTGAAATAGTCCGGATCTTGGTTTGTGCAGGGGCAGACTCAAATGATCTACCAAACAATATCAAAGAAATCGTCCCCGACGTTGTACGAAAGTGGAGCCTTGATGCTTGGAAGGCATTGGACCACCATCAATATGAGGTGCTGAACGACCCTGAACTGTATCCGCAGTTCCTGATTTGGGCATCGGAAACCAGAAACCTTGATAAGATCAAGTACGCGGCGGACAAGTATGACCCTTCAACCGAGGATATCAAGTCTGCCGTTGTTGCTGCGATCAAAGAAGTACGGAACAACCTATCCACTGTCGAGGCACTAATGAGACTCAAGACGCCACTATTCTTCGGCAAAGACGTCGATGGAGATGACGATAAAGAGCCCTTAGTCATCGCGTCGAGAGAACAATATACTGAGATCGTCTCTGTCTTGCTCCAGTACGCGACACACAGTTCTTCAACCGTTGAAGCAGCGTTAAAAGCCGCCATCAGACGCAAAAATGTCGCCTGCGCTCGACTAATACTTGACTCGCAATTCAACAATTCATCCGACCGAATAGATATATGCTCTCGCCTTATCAAATACTGTTTCCCCTTCAGCTCGAAACCTATTATCGAGTATTTGCTACAGCAAGGTGTATCCCCAAACACTAGGGACCCCGAAACGGGAGAAACGCTATTGTACATTGCCGCCATGAAGGAGGACAGTATGTACATTGCCGCCATGAAGGAAGACAGTAAAGGAGCTGGCGTTCTTATCTCACATGGTGCTGATGTTCATCCCATCGGAGGAGAGCATGGAACAGCGTTACATGCAGCAGCCGTCTCTGGGTCCTGGATAACAGTGCAGCTGTTGCTTTCTGCAGGTGCAGACATCAATGCTCAGGGTGGGAGTTATGGTACGCCACTTATAGCGGTGATGGCACAGAAGTGGAATGGAACTTGCTGGCTGGCTAGGTTCAAAAATCCCTGCAGATGGAAATGTCATCGCTGCGTTGCGAGAGTGCTCTTAGAGTGGGATGCGGATGTTGATGCCGAGGGCGGAGAGTTTGGGACGGCCTTACAGGTTGCGGAGAAGGTCGGTAATGAGGAGGGCATAAAGATGCTCATGGGGGATTGTTAAGTGATCGTGGGAGATTATAATGCGCGGGTTGCTTACACGGAAGATAGTGACTTTGAGGATTCGGATTGTTTTAGTCTTTCTTCTTTCATGGATATTAAACTTATATCTTTCAGCACATGACTACATAGGTATTTCGCTGTGCTATACACCAGGTACTTGTCGGTAGCCACGGTAAAGATATCAGAGTTTATAATGGTCTTGCTATCAGTATGGATATGATAAGCTTAGGCGATGTCAATCTTCAAGAACAACGAGACGTGCTCTACCATGTACAGGTGAAGACCCGAGTCCATCATGAATTATCAGACGATATCGTGGTTCATTTATGATACTTGCAATTAGTGCACCATTAACTCCGACGATGTGCCTTTCCCGAAGCAGTCTGGAATGTGCGATTCCCTTTATGTAGCCAAGTAATGATAAGGACCTTGGTTAAAGGGCATATTGCTAGGTCTATTCCTTTCTGAGACCTCTACAAGCTACCTCCACTCTGACAATTACACCCGCCAAGAACCTATAAACTATGTGATCACCAACCCATGCTGTACAACGTTGCGTCGAATCGGCCGAAAGAAGCAGACATGCAGTGCCCTGTCCAAGTGAGGGGCCATGCGGGGAACCAGGATACTTAAGGTCCCCTGCGCACCCTATGTAAATCACAACTACAATAATCACACTTCCACAGCCATCACTATCACAGACTACCAAATCTCTCTACTAGACGCCTCCAAGCAGCAGTATCAGCGAAATGCCATTATATGAAATCGAGCACAGCATCCCCCTGGACAAGTCACAGCGCGATGAACTTGCCCAGGCCATCACCCACATCCACACTCGCAAGTTTGCCACTCCTAGCTTGTTCGTGAATGTCCGCTTCATAGATGCCAACGGCCAGCATAATTATGTGGCGGGAAAGGAGGTGATCAATACCAGTTTTCTTCTACGAAAAGGAAATGGTAAATGAACTTAGGACCTTTCTGTCAACGCAGCGTGCCATCAACCGCATCATGGCGTATGTTCGGGCAGGCGGAACACGAACAACGGCCGATTTCGATGAGCTTGCGCAGAGTGTCTCGGAGGCTTGGGGTAAAGTCGTCAATAAGAACGGGGAGGCTTCGAAGGAGAAACAACTGAATGCCGTGTTTGTGTTGGGTGCAATTACGACGGGCACGGAGAACGGGTTTCTGTTACCGCGGGTACGAGATACTATTGCTTGATCATGCACACTTTGGCTTTCGTGTGGAAAGCAGTGTTTGTTGGGTTTAGGCTAATCGGATGTTGATTACAGGCTGGAGAGGATGCTATTTGGCTCAAGAATAATGCTCCGAAGTTCGAGGAGTTGGCGAAGCAAGGGGATAGTGATTTTGCTGATTTGGTTGAGGAGATGCGGAGTAGGGATGATCTAGCTGCTTAATTGCAAAGGAACATGCATGATGGGTAGCCTTCGCGTGAAGGCGGATTAGTTAGGCAATTGAACTATGCCTCCTCTGTTGGAGATATCTAGTCTTACATATGACTGTTGAGATATAAGAGGATTTGTGCATGAGTTCACACTCGGACCATCTCTGACAACGAGGTATACACATTGATGGCCAGTGGGTAAGTAGTAAGACTGCCATATGTGTCTGGTTTGTAATGCAGACTTGGGTGGGTTGTTCGCCTCCAATCGGCCTTGCGGGTCGTACGCCCTGCGGTTGACACTTTCATGACGCCGCGGGATAGAACAATCTACAAGTCACACACAAGGGCGTATTGTCATTAGGATTTCAGTGGGCTTGGTGTAGACGCCTAAGGCGGCCGCCAAGTAAAACCTCAGTATCACGCACTAGCATACACTGTTCAGCGTCCCAACCCGAGCTTCGCATATTGGTCAGTGAACTCCCTATAAAGCTTGTCCAGCGACCGGAGATTCAACGGATCTTTGTCATTGTCCTGATCCATGAAGCAAAGCATATTGTGGATTTCGAATGTAATAGCCAGCATATACCCGAGCTCAGCCTCAGCGAAAACCTGCTCTGCTGTATCCGAGTCACCTGTTTTCTCGTTCCACTGCGCCGCATATTGGTCGCAAAATTGCCGCTTTTCCCCGTCTGAATAAGGTCGACAGTTGGCGATTTGGCTCTCCTCGTTGAACCACTGGAACATCTTCTGCAGAAAGTGTGCACCGATATCAAACGCCCGATAGTTGCGAAAGACGAATTCGAAGTCGATAAGAACAACTCTGCCTTTTCCCACTTCTGGATTGTTCCTCACCAAGACGTTCATGAACTGGAAATCATGGATGCACCAGCCCTCCTTCGCTCCGATGGATTCCAGTTTATCTATAACCCGTCGGAGTCTGGACACAAAGTCATAATCCACGAGATGGTCTAAGCATACGCCACCTTCATGAGCCAGTCTTCTCAGCTTGCCTTTTCCATGATACTTGTCAAGCTCCCTGGTGACAGTATCGTAGTATGTCTGGACTGAATTCTTCCTCAATAAGGTCGTATCCATAGCATGAAATGTAGCAAGAGCTCTCGCAACATCGGCTCGGATCTCGGGATTTTCAACGTCCTGTGGTACCAAGGTACGTGCATCCAAGTACTCATCGACCCTGCCGAAGATTCCATTCTCACTTTGGAAAAAGCCAAGCACTTTTGCGCCATGGCCAGATTGGCCGTACTCGTAGCTTAACTGCGCCTCTTCGTGCTTGGTAGGAACTAGATGTTCGAAGACTTCGATTTCCCCATCAAGTTCGCCATGGATCTTGAGGAATATCTTCAATGGCTCCAAGTGGGATGTTTCGCCCGTTGTGTTCGGTCGCTCCACTATACAGTTGGTATTTGCGTATCCGGTGGTGCGTGTCACTGTGAGGGTGTCTGAGTCCACATGCGGCCATTCACGGGGTAGAAATGTGCTGATGATGGTTTTTGCTGTCGCCTTTGGTAATAGGCTATCATGGCTATTTTTTGGGATTGTCACAGGGATGGTTGTGCAGGATGTCATTTTGCTGGGGTGTGGGAAGCAGTGTAGTTATTAGATTATGGTAGCAAGCCATGAAAGATATATCTATTCTTTAAAGAGGCTGAAGCTTAGATAAGACGGTCTGCTAGTTTCTTTTGGTCGTTAAGTTATGGTGAGACTGTGTCATGCCATTATTGGCTGAGAACGTGGCAGTGAAGATAAGGCTGTGCGCCTGGTGAGTCATCAGCGCAGCCATCTGCCTAGGCAACAACCGTTTTTGCTTTTTATTGTCGCCCTGCTTATGCTTGAAAATAATCATATATTTTCTCGATTTCACATATGCAACACATATATATATCATTAGGACTATCATAAGTGCTACTGTGATAGTAATAAATGCTGGGTCTCCCTAGCACGTGTAAGCGCGGCTTATTGAGGGCGTGACATTGCAGGGAAGACTGTACTCCATATGAAGATTGTTGCTGTTCTTAGATGGTAGGTTGAGTAATTCTGGCTAATCATCGGCGCGGGCGCGGGAAGGTGCCTCGAGTGAGAACGGGGCTGGGTGACCATTCTTGTGTGTAAGATATTATTAGATAGGTCGCTCCGCTCAAACCGTTTAGTATTTATGAGGTCGGTTTGGCCGGGGAAACAGTCAGCCTCTGGGTGAGGGGATAAGAAAATATAAGGATGGCCAGTGTCCAGGCTCATTGCAAGATGAAGTATAGTACATGCTCGCAAAAGATCAACTGAGCCCTCCCAATGTAAGAATGGCAGGAGTTGCCACTATCTAAGAGGTAAATACCACTCCCTGCATGTGAGTGATCCCCATATGTAGGTGACACTGTCTCTAACGCATTCAATTGGTCTTTGAATAATCAACATAATCTCGTCTTGGTAGTATTTTACTGCCGTAGGCAACCCGTCACAGACCAACAAGATCCCCAAATAGGCGATTTACATCCATATAGCTATCTTTTTGAATTAATATAAGATTAGTATTGAGGAACTCAAGGCCTACCGCAACTTTTATTTTCACACACAACGAGGGATTAATGGGATATCATATCCTAAGACCCTGGGCTCAAGATAGTATCAAATCTTCCTCGAGACAAGCGATACACTAAATCAACGGCCATACTATGTTAATGCAGACCAAAAATAGGCTATTTTCCACCGAAAAGGTATATAATCAGAGATATAGTCCAGCGGCCTGGGTATGGCGATGGACCGTCGCCTTAGATAGACACATCGGGAAGCTAAGTTTTTTGGACCGTAGGCGGGGTTTCGACCCTCGGTTTCTTTCTTCATTCTTTTCCTTCCTGTAGGAATGAATCACATGCGTCATATGTGTGAATCATGATTGCAGTTATTCTGACTCGTACTTTGTACTGCCATACGTTGCGGTTACCGCCTATGTGTTCCCGTATCTTAAGTCTGGTCATTCCAACTATGATGCTGGAATGACAGACTACACTTGGAAAGTTGATGGTAAACACCAAGTTGTCTTCTACTAAATTCCTCGCAATATCTCTTAGGCGATAAACAAATGCACACAAAATCACATAGCCCCCGGGGTTGCGCCTACCTAATAGGTAACAATGCTAGCTGTCGGAGTATGTAGTATGCCATTAACACCTATGCCAAGCAAGGTTTAGCCAACACTAGAACATCATGACGTAGTGCAAGCTCCAGCTATCGTAATAAGAAGATGAAGGAAATTCAGAAAGAGGTACCGGGGCATGTCCTGGCGACGAGCTGAACCCGCCATGGTCTCGGAACCAGCATGAAAGGCGACATGGGACATTCACTTGTTATACCCACTTTCCACCAACACACCTTGGCAGCTCTTAGTATATCCAAACATGTTATCTGCATTTAAAATACACATACATCTGAGCTGGAAAAAGGAATTTATGGACCCGCCTACACGAAATCATAGTGAGTGCACCATGACTAAAACGAATGGTTTGAAAATTTACTGCTCGCTGCCCACTTCATCCTGGGATAAGTCTTACGATCGTTCCCTTTATGATGTAACTGCCTGGAATATAACTGTCTTTACTCTATGACGAGCTGCTCTGACAGCACATTCTGTTTGAAGTAGACAGGGTTGGAGACTGCGGCCTAGAATTGGAGGTTGGAGACCCCAACTTGGCATGAGGATGATACCTACGTGAACCTGTGTGGTAATCAAGAACCTTCAACATCCCATATTGTTCGCTGACTATAACCAGGAGATTATGCTCCATGACAATATGTCACCTGTATCTCAAAGTCAGATCCCAACATCCACCAGCGGCTGGACCCTCGTCAGCACTGCTCCAGACGACGGCTCTGGGGCTCTAGTCTGGAACGATGAGCTCAGGCTTCCCGAGCTTGGCCCAACTGATGTCCTGGTGAAGCTGCACGCATGGGCTTTGAACTATCCCGACATTTCTAGGAAGCAACCCCTCCATCAATTCACGACACAACTCTCTACTAACATACGTTGTAAGCGCAGTCGCCAACGGCACCTTCCCCTGGTCCCCAGCAGACCACGGCACGGGCAGCCTGATCCCGGGATCCGACGGCGCAGGTGAAGTCGTAGCAATTGGCTCTCACGTTACGCGCTTCAAGCCCACCGACCGCGTAATCGTTGTGTACTACCCGAACTTCCCCTTCGGCGCTGCACCTACCTACGCTCAAATGGCCGGTAGCCCCGGCAGCAATAAGGACAGCCCCGGCACCTTCCGACACCACGGGGTTTTCAACGAAAACGGCGGTCTGATTCATATGCCCGGCAATCTCAGTTATAGTGAGGCGGCAACCCTGCCTTGCTCTGCGCTGACGGCTTGGAATGCTCTACATGGGCTGAAGCCATTAAAGGCGGGAGAGTATGTCCTTGCCCAGGGGACGGGTGGGGTTTCGTTGTTTGCCATGTTGTTTGCGTTGAAGGCCGGAGCAGTTGTTATTGCAACTACTTCTTCCGACGAGAAGGCTCGCAGGCTCAAGGAGATGGGAGTGCAACTTGTTCTCAGCTATAAGGAGGATCCGAACTGGGGAGAAACCGCCACGAAGTTGACGCGGGCCGCGCTGGGCTGTCAGAGAGTAATCGAGGTCGGCGGAGCGCAGACTATCAAACAGTCGTTTGAGTGTGTCGCGAGAGGCGGAGAAATTGATGTTATTGGATTTTTGACGGGGCAGGGACATGCGGAGGATGGGCCCACGTACCTCGAGCCGCTATTGCGAGCTTGTACGGTTAGGGGCATTGAAGTGGGAAACTGGATCCAGTTCGAGGAGATGAATCGCGCAATTGAGGCGTATGATATTAGGCCTGTTGTTGATGGGAGAGTATTTGGATTTGGGGAGTTGAGGGAGGCGTATAAGTATGTTTGGGACCAGAAGCATTTTGGCAAGGTTGTGCTGTCTGATGGGGAGCAGTGAAGGGACGCTAGACGCCAACGCGCAGTATGATACAAGGTCAAGTACGCAAAGCGTGTGCCGTCCTGTCCCCGCTTCGAAATATCGTAGCTAGTATCATCAAGCAAGGGCATGATGAAACGCAATTTCAGTGTAAGTGGAGTCGGATGGACTCTGGATATCCGAGTATTGCTTGATGCAAGGTAAATTGGGAATATTATTCTCCTATCCCGTGTCTGCATATGCCAAGATACATGAGATTCATGCCTTTTGGAAGGTGCCTCCTCCGCTACCCGCGCGATATCTGAGCCCTGGAGAAGGCGCTGCACCTGAATGCAACCGGGCAATTTCCGAACTGCCCGTTCCGGATTGTTCCTGTCGTGCGTGCTATAAAGGATCAGCATATCGTGTATTTAGTCGTGGTGGGGCTCGTGAGAATAATCAGGAGCAGCTATCGGAGCCGGCCCAAGTCTTGAGATTTGATCTTGGAGAGTATTTGGAGACCAGTTCACTTGGGGTTGGGGCGACCTGGTAATGAGCATACTCTCTTCTCCCCTTTTACGAATAAACAAAACGGATCAGAGGAAACAGCGTCTTATTGTTCAATTCACTAAACCAAGAGTAGAGTTATATATAAACCACTTCCACTATTCACGAAATCCAAAAGAAATCGAGAAGTCCACAACTCATTGCTATAATCTGTCAAGTCTCGACTAAATACTGACTCCCTCAAGTAGATACATGACTCAAAGAGCAAAGTTGATAACAGGCCGATACCTTATCGTCCTCTCATTCATGTCCTCGAACGCCCTTTCAATATCTCCCAGTGCGTACTGCTTCGTTAGGCACTTGACGTCCTGGATATGCGCAAAGTCAATCGCTTCACTTGTCTCAGCAGCAAAGCCAGACGACCAGGTACGGACTTGCTTTCCATAGACAATAAGTGGGGTGAAGTCGATTGTCACGCCGTTGACAGCTAGACGAACCCTCGGTTAGTGGGAACTAAGAGAAGGCCGTGGGGTACAGGGATGTAGCGTACGAGCAATGAGGAGGATAGATCCACTCGGCGCCAGCGCTCTGGTCATATTCTTCACCCTACCGACGTCATTAACTTAGCCATTCGGAACAGGAAAAATGAAGGGAAAAAAAAAAAAGAAAGAAAAGGAAAAATAAAAGAAGAAAACACCAAAAAATACTCACAACTCAGGGCTCGGACAGAAAACAACAACCAAACTCGCCCCTCCCTCCCTCTGCAGCAGCTCCACCGCATCCTCCCTCTTCGAATTCACGAATAAATGCGCACCCAGATTTATCGCATCGTCCCTCTTCTCCTCACTCTCGGATACCGCCACAGTTCGGTACCCCATCTTCCGCGCATACTGAATGGCAAGGTGTCCCAGCCCGCCGATGCCGCAGATGGCAACTGTGTCCCCTTGCGGCACGTTGCTCTTGCGAATCGCATTAAACGCCGTGATACCGGCGCATAGAAGCGGCGCTGTTGACACGGGGTCCCAGTTTGGGGAGATGCGGATTGCGGCTGAGGCGACCAAGGTGCAGTATTCCGAGACTTGACACACGTTAGCAACACGTGCTACATTCTTTGAGTCGGTTGAAGTCACGCACATCCGCCATTCCTCGTCACTCCATTGACTTCGAGATTCGCGCACACCTGTGGCATACCCCGCGCGCAGGCCTTGCATGTGCCATCATTGCCCCCGTGCCAAGCGCCGCCGGCGCGGTCGCCGAGCGCCCAGTCCTTGATATCTGTACCAAGGGCGACGACTTCACCAACGACTTCATGGCCAGCTACGAGGGGGTAGTTCGTGCTGGGATAGCAATGGGTTGGCCAAGCTCATAGCATAGGGCGAAACGGGCTGCGGACTTACATGAAGTCGAATTCTCCATTTTGGGTTGCGACGTCCTGCGCGGTTGGAAGTAGTAAGTTAGTAGTGCAACCACTGGGCTGCCTCACTGTTCGTCCAAGATAGTGTTTAAGGGAAGGACACATACACTGTGGCACACACCGCACGCCAGGGAGCGAATTAGAAGCTCGTTCGGTTTTGGCTTCGGCACGTCGACTTCTCGCAGTGCCCAGGAAGCTCCAGGGCCGTCGAGAACAACTGCTCTGCATCTAGCGGGGATGGGTTGAGGAATGGACATGGTGGTTGTTCCGTTTGGACGGGGTAAATATATTTGGACTGTTGAATTCAATGCGTCTGAATACTGTTAGGTTCAGAGAACAATTGATGCTTCCTCGACTCTAGGCCTTGCTCATGACACTTCTTGTCTTTATGTAGCTGTTTGCTATACATCATCTGGCTCTATGACATCAGGGTTGGAAATGCGGTGCATGCGGCCCGCATGGGCCGAAGGGACAAGGATGCCAGGGAAGGCTTTATATCCTGCCTTGGCTGGAGTATTCATAGCTGCATATGAAATCATCTGATGATTGTGCGTGGCGTGCGGTATGTGTGATTATCGTTCACATTATTGGCTCTACTACAACATCAATGTTGTCTGCCGATGTAGGGAAGAAGGCGACTAGCTTATCATTGCAATTGGATAAATTGGGTTCTACTCTTCTGGAAGAGCCTACCCGGCCAGTAGCGCGCCCAGCGGTCAGAAAGCGCTTATCTGTAATGTTGGAGACCCCAATTCTTTCCAGCCTTCCATCCGGGTAAACTCTCAACAAAGGGTACAATGTCCACAACGGCACCGACTATTTACATGACTCCTTGGCCACTTACATGATGTAGCGACCGATAAAGGCGCCTTTGACTATAGCTAGATATCCTCTTGTCTCCAAGAATAACCCTTACCACTGTTGCAGCGGTTGTCTCCATCATACCGCCAGAACAATATCGGCATACACCTCTCCATTGTTCCCCAATGTGTGACATGGTCGCTAAACTTCTGAAGCAACGAATGATAATCGGCATTACTGCACAGTAATAGCTTTTCGTCTAGTTGTTAAATGGGAATCTGAAAGGGGATAGGATACATGCCTCCTTTCAGAGCGTAAACCTCTGTGTCAATTACCCATGTGTGTCGGGGCCTACTCTCAATTTGCTACTTCAAAGCCTCCAGCTCGCCCGCGGCATCAGATGCAAGCCTCCGTGTGCATTTTGGGAGTACAATATTTGTAAGGTCGGATTTTACATCGATGTGACTTATAGTTTCCGAGTGGTAGATGCAATATCTCGAGCCAGGTTTGTCTCTTAAAGGACATACAGGAATACCGCACTTTCTGACGCCAACTACCAAGTCGAAATCTTAGTACGTAGCTTTCAGGAGGCTATATTGTTGCTTGAGCAATTCTTGCTTTGGATGATTATTCAATTCTTGCACTGTACGGGCGGCTTCTCTTAGCACCGAGTCAGCTCTTATAATACCCTTGCTGGAGTTTGGATTGCACTCGTCTATACCGGATTTTCCACATTATTGACCAGTGCGTTTGTAAGATAACAACTCCTAAAATTCAATAAGAATTGGACCAATTGGCCTAGTGGTTATGGCGTCTGTCTTACATAAGCAACATAATTGTTACATAAATGTGAACACAGAAGGTCGCAGGTTCGATCCCTGCATTGGTCAATCCTTTTTTGCCGTTTCAGAAACATTTTTTGTCCTCGTCCTTCTTACAAGGACTATTAGAGGACGGCAAGGCGTGGTAATCATGGCCCTGTAACAACGGCCGCTCGCTCTTTATATATTCTGTATGGTATCATCAAGCTTTTGAGAGCACAAATCAGAAGACGTTGCCCTCATCATTGGATACCTTCCATTCTGTCATACTCGCTGCGGTCCAAGAATACGTTGAGTGTGACAGCCTGAAGAATATGCTGGCTAACCCGGTTAAATAACTAGAAGTCTGTGTCTTTCACGAAAATCTATAAGTCTCGAGAAAGAGAGGAAAACTATCCACTCCCCTGGGATTGGGCCTCTTTATATATCTTTGGGACTCAACACCTGTGCGGTAGATTCCTCCTATTTCTGTTATTTCCCTCGCTAACTTTCTATCTAGTAATTCGGCTCTTCCCATGGGCCTCTAGGCCTGTCCTGTCTTACCTCCTCGTAAGTTCTGTTTTTTGATTTATCTCTCAGGAAGTTGCCATAAGCAATGCTTGGAGATTAGTGGATCAGGTGATATGGCATGGGATAACCCGGAGTCTCACATCAAGTAGATTGTGGCCAGATGTGCTTCATGGTTCAGGAAAAATATATTCTAAGCCAAGGGCCGACTCAAGTTATTACTGTCTACTTTGCTGGCCATGATGACGTAGGCAAAAATCAGGAAGCGAGATTTATTAATGGAGACTACCAAGATAAGCCACCTCAACAAACTACACAAACCGGCCTTAGGTGTTTTGGCGTTTTTAAAAGGCATGGACCACGACCGTGGATGCTAAAGGACTGATAAAATTTCATCCATGTATGCCCTTTGACCCATTGACCCAGAATAATTGACACTCAATCTTTTCAACTCTGAATGGGGTGACTAACTTAGCTCCTCTTAACTCCTAGAGCTTCGTAACACCTAACTCAAAGTATAGATATTACAAAGATAATAAATGAACCAATAGATAGCTTTTTGGTATCTTGAAGCAAGTTGAACATATTTAGAATAATATACAAGTTACCTCAATAACAGACTAAAATCCTATTGTGATCAAAGATTGTTTAAGAATGCTGTTAAGTATTTTATAATTTTCTACATCCAGGTATGAGCCTCTAGTGTAATACTATCACACTGGTTAGTATATAGTGATTGAATATGATCTCTCCTTGTGTAGAACTTGGGCGGGTGGCTGACGCGGTGGGAAACTATTTTATTGGTAGTAACGCGACAAAGAGCCCACTCTAGAGAATAGCAGATGGACTCTCAGGCTAAAATAATATAATACTACATCACAGATTCATACAAGAGTATGTAGCCTAAGTATGGCTGAACAAACAGGAAGCCCCGTTTTTCACACCCCGTGGTCATATGTGCTCGACATCGTCCGATGGATATCTGACCCGTACTTCCGTAAGAATGATAGGCTGGACAACATGCTTCTTATCGGTAAAGACTTGGAGACTCCAACATACTTTTGCTTCTCCTCGATCAATGTGAGCTCTTCCAGGTCTAACATACTTAGTCTAGATCGTATCGGGCGATTGATAAGTGATGATAGCAAAGATACGGACTTTGTTGTTTGCTTGATTACTCACATCGTTATATCATTCTTTTTTTGCAAGATACTATTTGATACCAATTGCCGCTGTGCCATAATTCTGCATAAGCTGTGTTTATACCTCACCCGTAAGATATTTTGTCGGCTTGAATGATGTTACTCAATTCTACTCATTTGCAACTTTGTGGCTAAGAACCTGTACACCTTGACCTGGACAGTTAATGGGTGGGAGATCTATTGAACGACGTAAAATGAACAAGTCTATCCAGAATACAATCACTCGACCTGTGTAGAAATATGCATTGACGAACTGATATCCGCAAGCTTGATAGCCCAATGCTATCATGATTTGTACTGTCATTAATACCGCAGAGAAGGAAGTTTTCTCTCGTCTTAAATTTCAGGATACTAAGGGGTGAGAGATAACCAGCATGAGCCATGATTGACGAAGAACTCTTCACGTTATTGAATGGCCAGCCTATCAATGCTCCGATTGGCAGATAGGTGAAGTTAGAGAACTTGGATACCTGGAGAACGAAATTGGAGATCTCCAACCTCCACCCCACTATCTCTCCAAGTTCAGGCGGCCACACAATAGTGTGTGGGCACCGGGCCGTCGTAAGGTCCTCTTCAACGCTCCACTACGGCACAGAGAGCATGAAAATGATGTACTATATCCCTCTTATCTATCTATCACGCTGCTTAGCCGGTATCGGGTGCCATGTGGCTTCCACCACTGAAGCGTGAACGGAAATTCAAACGGAGAGTTTAACAGAATGGGCAAAAGTAACCATGCGACGAATTGGAATCCAGTGCCTTATCACTTTAGTGGAGTGTATCGCTATGTTGCAGTTTCGTCTTTGTGCTGGCGGTATACATTGATATTTGGATACGGTATAAAAGGCGCCCTGCTACACCCATTCCTGTCTGCTATACACACCTTTCCGCAAGACAATCATGCTCCTGGTGTCCGTTGCTACTCTCCTGGCTACCGTTGCAGTCACGGCTCAGGCCGCGGCTGTCGGGCCAATTGCCTCGAACTCTCGTATGAAGCGTGACTATGCGACTGGCTTTGAGTGGGATCCCGAGAACTTCAAGGTTGCTGCCGTCCGGAAACCCCCGGTTGGATTTGTTTACCATGCCCTCTCCGACGAGTCAACCTGGTGGAACTACGACCTTAACGCAACCATCGCTCAGTCGGTTGAGATGATCCACCAGGCCGCGGCCGAGGGCACCAAATTCATCGCCTTCCCGGAGCTCTACTTCCCTGGGTATGTCCCATCCTGCATGCATGCAGGCATGCATAGGGCCCACAGCTGACCCCTGGCGCACTCTAGCTACCCTGCCTTCCGCACTCCCAACGGCCCTAAAGACTTTGAACAATATGTGTCGCAGACCATGGAGCCTGACGGCCCGGAATGGAACACGCTCATGCAGGCCTTTGCCGACACCAAAATGTACGGCGTTGTCGGCTGGGCCCAGAGGGCCAATGACTCGCTCTTCATGACTCAGAGTCTGGTTGGCCCCTTGGCCAACGGTTCAGCCGGAACAATTTGGAAACATGAGAAGTTCCGTCCCTCTGGCACAGAGCGCTCCCTCTATTCCGATGGCCTCCTCGACACGATCCGCGCGCAAAAGCTCCCCTTCGGCACCGTCTCCATGCTTCAATGCTGGGAGGTACGTTGGCCCACCCACAGTGAATAGTTTAATACAGGGACTGACAACGGCTCTGCAGCACGTGTATCCCGAGTCGCACTTTATCGGTTCTGCCCAGCCTGCCAACCTTCACGTTGCCTCCTTCCCGTACGTACCCGTGCATTATGCCATTAGACATAGACTAATACCCACAGATTCGGCAATGACGTTCCCGAAGCAGACGGTGCAGCTACTCCCTATGCTTATTGGCGTGCCGCGGCGATTGGATACCAAGCCGGCGCTGCTGGGTCGTCCGTCATGATTCTTCCCACCGCCGGTGCCGCGACGATCTTTGCCGCCCAGGGCTCTCCGATCAATGAGTCGCTCTCCAATTCCAAAGAATCGACCGATTCAATGCCCTACATTACCGCTGTCTATAACACGACTGCGTTGTGGCAAGATACCTCGTACAGCGTCAACGCTTGGTACAGCTATGGCGCTCTCAAGCACATCATCGAGGGTCTGCCTGATGGGATGCCGCGTCGTAGTGGCCCCTTCTTTGGACGCATTCTCTTTACCATCCAGCAATTTACTAGTGGCTATATCTGGCCCCCAACCCTGTCCTGCACTCCCACCTCGAGGTGGCCGTGTATCCAGATCTGGCCGGAGCGCGTGGAGAAGGACTTTATGGCTTGAGTTAGTTCACATTCGTCACATAACCTTGAAGTGTTGGGAACTATCACTGACGGTTGTAGTTGCCTGAAAATAATAACATGACATTACGTAGGTATGATAGCGCGCTGCGAAAATCGGGCAGTCGGTGGGGCTTCAGTTCGACGATCCTTCAATCAACATATTGTATTCTTTGCCAGATGTGTGATGCTACATTCTAGCTTAGGAGTGCATACTATCGTCTCTTAGTTCGTTCAGGAACTCATTCTAAAATACTCGGAACATCAGTTTGAGGTTATGATACTTATCAAAGTAAACATAGGTTGCATCGACGTTCATAAACTAAAATGGGAAGGACTGGGATAGTACACAGGAGGAATATAATATAAAGAACAGAGCTGCTGCGTATATGGGTGATAATTTCCAAATGACCACTTAACTGTATATACAGTACCTTTGTTTCGTTTCTTCCTTATTCTCATTTAGATTGAGTTTTATCGCATCAGAATAGCCACACCCCAAGCCCAATGCTTTCACAAAACAGGATGAACCATAAAGGGGTAAAGCATTCGACATGTTGCTCGTCGTACATTGGTTACAGTGAATTCTCTGTCGTATCTTCAGGCATTTCCCTTCCGGATCCAAGGCGCTTCGGTAGGCAAGGACTAAAGGGACCATGTTTGGCGTCATGACTCCACCGAAGTGGATACTGTACCATTTTACTACTTGTTCATCCACACAAAGATCAAGAATGCCGTTATTAACCTTCAGGTACCCGGTCATCTGAGACACCCATAAGCCTAATACTTCCGCCCAATCAAATCATCCCGCCTACAGTCAGAACTGGATGGTTAGCACGAAAATCCCACAACCTTACTGATAGAGTGAAACTCTACTCCAAAGTTGATAGGTAAGCCTAGCTACCGCATTACTACACTTGCCCATGAATTTACGTGGATGGGATGAAGTATTTTGCTTAGTCTCATCATGAATCTATCAGCCTCAGTTTGTCTCAGTTTGTTTCGGTGATTGGAATATTGTTGTCGTGGACCACTCGGTTCTCTTTGATGTGTCTCAAGCTGATCTTGTGCGTCTGCGAGCTACAGGCAGGTTAGATCAAGGGTATACAGGTAGTAACAACGAGGATAACAATGTGCTAAGGTGTGGGATGACGACCGGATCCCGCCATGTAATATTGCCCTACAAAGTAGTCATTCACTAACCGTCATATGACTATACACCATAAGCGCACAGTACTCCCCAGAAGTTCGTCGGATAAAGCCCGAGGATATTCATATGAAATATTTCTTAGGAATTTGGACATTTCTTTTCGGCTGGAATCTCCAGCGAGCAGTCAGGTGATGGCGGCGCAATCACGTGGCGAAATAACCGCCAACACCGTAACATGTCGGCTCACGGCGGACTCGCCCATGACTCTAAATGCTATTTCGGTTCTCTTAGTAAATCACAACTGCTAGTGGCCCTTTCTTTAACCTGTAATCATGGCAAATCCCTGGAGCCTATGCTCAGATTACTCTTCCCGTATCTTGACTCGATCGCGCTTCTCAATTCTTGCTTTCACCAGAATAACCCCCTTCGTCCCCGATTCCCACACCCGATCACGCTCTAGCACTTGTATGTCATCATCAAAATGGAAATGCTCCCCGCGGACATTCCCGACGCCGGGATTCCAGCTTCTTGATCCGGAGATCAAGCTTGAGGAAGAAAGACTGCCAACATATGCTCCCCAAAAATACTATCCTGTCCAACGAGGAGAAATATTTAACGACCGATACCAAGCCATCGCTAAAGTAGGATTCGGGGTGACTTCTACGGTTTGGTTTGCTCGTGACTTGATGTATGTTATCCCCATTATCTCTACAAGTCATCAGTGCTGAGCAACCAGTGAATCTACCCATGTCATCCTAAAGGTATATGTCTCCGGCCAAGGGAGAGACCATGAACTCAACATTTATAAACACATTGAATCCATCGACACAGACCATCCTGGCAAGAAGTATATCCGCAAGTTACTTGACTACTTTTACATTAATAACACTCAAGGCCGCCATCTTTGTCTGGTCCACCAAGCACTTGGGCTAAATACATTTGATTTCCTGCAGCTCAAACATGGCCACCGAATGACCCTCGAAGGAATGAAACAGGCCATTCGCCAACTTCTCGGTGCCCTAGATTTTCTACACTCCGTGGCACACATCATACATACAGGTAAGAACTGCCTGTTCCGTCTAGACTATTCCGCAAATTTAACCCCAATAAAGATCTACGACTCGAGAATCTTCTCCTCCCTGCCCCTTCACCTGAGGTGCTGTCTGATTTCGAAGAGCAAATCTCCTCTAAGCCAGCTCCGAGGAAGGTTTTACAAGATCGAACGATCTATACGAGCTCACGTTTCCCTGCCGGAGATGGTCTTCCTCTTCTTGGTGACTTAGGCGCGGCCCACTTTGCGGTAGAGAAATAGTGTGATAATATCATGCCGGACTACTATCGCGCCCCTGAAGTGATCCTCAAATCCAATTGGGATTATAAGGTGGATATTTGGAGTGTTGGAATGGTGGTGAGTAACCACCACATTCTTTATTTGGCTCTCGCATGATACTTACCCATTTTGGAAGGCCTGGGACATTGTCAGCCCCAAAACGATCATCCAAGGCAAGATTGTAGACGACACTTGGGACGACGGAGCTCATATCGCAGAACTTGTTGCACTGCTCGGGCCCCCGTCACCCGAATTCGTGAAAAAGGCGAACATGAGCTGGGTCTTCTGGGATGAATCAGGGGAGTGGAAAGATCTAGTGCCTATACCTGACCGGTCATTCGATAAGCTAGCCGCCGATATCCAAGGTGAGGATGTCGAGGGGTTTCTGAGATGGTTGCTATTGGCCTTGCAGTGGAACCCAGAAGATCGCCCGACCGCTGTAGATCTTCTAATAGACCCATGGTTGATGAAAGGACTTAATTTGTGAAAGAGGTCTTGAGAAATGATGTGCGTCCCATATTCACAATCATTGCATGTATAGACATAGCCTGAGTTAATATACATCGCTTTTCTTTTGAGTGGTATGTTCCAGGACTGTGAGTATGGTCGAGGTACCTTATGCCGTACACGGGACCTTAGCTCGATGTAGGTATGTCCGCAGAAGGCCAACACTGATCGTTTACCAGCAACATGTTTACAGCAAACTTTTCTTAGTGATTGTGGATGCTGTAAGTGAAGCCAGCCTGTATTAGCATTGCTGGTATACCCCGTATGACCAGCTCAACACAGTTCCTATCTTACTACCAAATATGTGTTTCCGCAGGCCAAAGAGCAATGCACCATGACTACTGATCATGTTTCTGATTCGAATTTTCCACTTCTCCCTTTTCACTATTGCTCACAAACTACAATACACGCTGGGCAGTAAATATATATGCTCGGATCTACGAGCCCGTCGATAACTTGTGATTCAAAAGAAGGGGATAGAAAAGAAAAAAAAAAAAAATCCTAAAGAATTCAAGACCTTCTGGCGGAGTGGAGTCGGAGACAATGCCAAGAACCTTGGAAATTGGTCGGGTTGAGCGGAAACGACGTTCGCTTGGCAAACTGAAGTACCAAGTGGGTCAGACCAAGAATAAGCTTGAGGGGAAAACAATCCCCACATAGCATGAGCATTGACGGATTAACGCCTAATTTAGCTCCATTCAGGAGCATATTCCTCCTAACGCTTCTTATTAGCCCAAACGAGAAGGCGTGCTGCTATCTTCAACCATGGATCTACAATGCATCCACCTTCAAAGACCTTAATTGAACCGACGGAAGAACCAAGCTTGTTAATTTATATCCAGACAAACCTAATATTTCTGCTGGTCCTTACATATAATAATCTAGAGCAAAAGGTGTAGGCCTATCATGGGTGGAGACATATAATGGCCATACTCATGAAAGATTCTAGGACGATAGCATCGACTAGCGTGTCCGCTAAAACAGAGTCGGAGCATAATGGTACTTGAAAGTCCCAACCATCCGCCACGTTCGCATCCTCATAAAACACGTAAGCCTGATTTTTTCATTATGCCTCCTATTAGAACTTTTAACATGCTGCAGGACGTCGAAGGGCTTGAAGTGTGCAGTGCGGCGACAGTTACCCAGGTGCTTGGCTGGACTAGTGAGAAAGTGAAGCGATTTCTGGAAGAGGTGCGCCGGGATGCGATGAAGAACGGGGTGCATTTGATGCATAACTTGTATTTCTTTCCTGTCTATTCTTCTTTGTCTTCTTTTACTTTTGGGCAGGCTGGAACTGGTCGGCGTCTATGTGTTGACTAAGATGCTGCAGCCAGGTCGTGTATGCGCAAGGCTATAGCATGCTTCGCTCTGGGGATTTTGGGAAGAAGTGGAACACAATTCCTTATTCTGAAGTGACCCAAACGATAATCTAGGGATGAGTAGGTGTTATGTCTGTTTTATGATTAGTCCGTTTATGCCAAGCACAGTTATTGTTAGAAACTTTAGCACCGACAAGGAATGGCCGTAAAGAAAATAATTTGATAGACCGCAGTGCTGCAATCGCGTGAACTTACTAGTGTATAGATTTTTAGTGACTGTAGGGATTTGGTGGGATCCATGTGGCATTTACTACTACATGATCGAATATATATATAATCTTGCTGCGCGCGTCAAATGTTTTGTAGCAACTTAAACAGGCTGAATTTGTTCTGATACTTTTCAAGCCACATGATGCTAGAGGATCCTATATATTTAGGGAGTATTCGAAACACTTGCACTTAATTGAATACCCCGTGGCTTGTAGTAAGCAGGGGAGTAGGAGAAGGTCTCAGAGAAGCAGAAGTTTCCACATCCTCATCCGGACCATCGTTTCCAGCAGGCTGGAAGATGCCATCGGTATTTTGGCAATGGCTCACATAATTCACTGTCACCTTGCAGCCATTAGATAGCAGAGCGTGACCACATATCTTGCAACCACCACCGGAGGATTGCATGATATGGTCGTAGTGCCTAAAGTCAAAGTAAGTTCCAGTTTATTATTCGGGATTAACATTGAAGAGGAAGTGACTCACGCTGCCAGCTCAGCCCCTGTCATTTCGCAGTTATCTCCCTCGACAAACACACCGCATCCAAATCCTGCGTTCATGCCGTCGGTATAACATGTTCCAGAGTTTGTGTCTTTCTTAGTGGTGCTGAAAATAAATTAGAGGGACATGAATTATTCTGGTGTGGATCATGATCTTACCCGTAGGTCACCGTGCCTAATAGGTCATCCTTTGCCTTGTCGCAGAAACCCCGTAGGTTCGAAAAGGTACCGCAGCGCGAAGATCCCTTACAGTTATAGCCCGTTTCAGACGCGAAGGCAGTAGTGGAGGTCGTCGTTGAGGTCGTCGAATGAGTCGTAGATGTACTCATGGTGCTGGACGTGCTGCTGGTGCTTGTCGACGAGTTAGTGTCATATGCCATGGAATAGTAACTGCTGAGGTCGTCCAGTATCATTGTCCAGAGGGCGGGGTCTTCAGACACGGTTGAGTCCACTGCAGTAATCGTGCCCTCCGTCAGGCCATCTCCGGTTATTGTGCTGGTGATTGTGGAAGGATTCGCTGAGCATGCAGTGATAGTGGAGCATTGGCTGGTAACGGTAGTTATGGAGTATGTAGAGGCTGGAGTGACGAGAGTGCTGGAGATATACTCGGTACATCTGTCTGCCTCCCTTGAATCACAGTCAGTGTCCTCTGAATTGCACTTGTCTCCGTTGCAAATGCCGTTCTTGCAGCCCGGACCACTGCAGCTAACTACACGGCAATTCGGACCTGTGCAGGTATGCGTTGAGGAAGAACAATCGACGCCGATACAACCCCAAGAGAGGCATTCAGAGCCAAAGCATGCCCCCTCAGCGTCACTTCCACTATCATCATCCCCACTATCGTCTCCATCATCTCCGCTGTCGTCACCACTATCGTCTCCATCATCACCACTGTCATCCCCATCATCTCCGCTATCATCTCCGCTATCATTCTCATCGTCATAACCATTGCAATCAGTGCCAATACAGCCATGATCCTTACAGTTGCTTCCAGTGCAGTGCCCATCCTTGCAGTCTCGCCCACTACATGCAGTAGGAGTGCAGTTCTCTCCCACGCACACCCGATGTTGACAATCAGAGCCAGTACAACCACGCTCAATACAGAGCCCCTGTCCTGTGCATTTTCCATTGACACATCCCGGGCCCGAGCACTTGTTTACCGATGGTGGGTCAGTATCCAAGGGATCGATAAATCCCGAAGAGCTATTTTTACCGCAATCCGTTAGGCAGGGTCCATCGCAAAAGTTGCTGCACTTGTGACCACAGTTGGCAGTACATGTCGGACCAGGAGGGCTGCCTTGATTGAAAGTGACATTCGGATATACTGTGCCCCCAGTCGACCACGGCCAAGGAGGGATGTGGATCACCCGCGTACCCAGTGGGGAGTGAGAAATGCCTGTTTCATTTAGTGGATTCGGGTCATCGATGACTGTCACGGGGGGTAGGTCGATGCTGGGGATTAAGGTTCCATGTGCAGAGGTTATGTGTGGATTGGTGATGTTCCAATTGTAATAGCTGATGGTTCCGATCGTCACTGGGGGCACGGCGATGTTGGTGGGCATGATATAGCGGGTTGTTCCCGTGCTGACGCCAGTGGATGTACCCGAGGTGACGGTCGTCGTGGTATTCCAGACAACCTCCAAGCTTGTTGGGTATGACTCGGGCGAAATCACTGTCGGGCTGCCAAGGATATCCTGAGGAAATATAATGTCGACAGGGGCTATTGCAGTTACAGTTGGCGAGGTAAACACCTCCGGCCCCACATAGACGACACCAGTGCCATCACTTCCTCCTTCAGTATTGGCACCACCCATGCCGGTGTCGCTAGAAGACATTTCGTTCGGATTCTTGAGAGACCCAGGCCCACCCATATCGAGAGCCCAGCTGAATAAACCTCCTAGACATTTGCTATTGGCAAAGTCTGCCTTTTTCTTCAAAGTGCGAGCATTGTCAAATGAGACCCTGTTGCAATGTTACGGTCAGACCAAGCCACGCGGGTGAGTGATGCAGACAGAAATTACTCACCATTGATTTCCGCTCCATGTCATCCAGTTCACTCCAGATGTCTCATCATACTTAATATTAACTGAATAGTCTTGCATGATGCGATTGATCTCGTAGTCTGATAGGATTCCACTAGTCTGGGTGCACTCTCCAGCAACTCCCCCACCAGTGCTGTTGTTTGCAGTATTGAAGGGACACCCCGGAGTATTGCATGAAGGATCAGCCAACGTGAATGACCGTCCATAGAACCCCAGGCCGAGCAGAACTTTGCCAGGGTCAATTCCATTGCGCCACAAGAGATCAAGTCCAGAAGAGATCTCTGTGAATGAAGTTAGCTTGTTCAAGATCAGTATTACATTACTACATTCCCATAGGATACCCTACCGGTAAGGTTGGTGTGGGGGTTCACGTCAGAACTCGTCCACTTGCTTTTGCCGTCCCAAGTACCATGAATATCATATGACATGAAGTTGAAATAGTCAACGTAGGGCTCCATCCCCGTAACATTGAAGCCTTTCAGATACCCTTGTTGACTGTTAGCTGAAAGTACGTATATATCGCGATGACACGATAGATTATCTGTACTCACAGTAGGAAGATGGTATAGTGCAAGTAAGACCGTACTCTGTTCCCAAAGCGGCTCTCATTTCGGAGAGAAAAGTCACGAAATTATCGGTATCGGTCGATGCGCCACCACGATCCTCGGCAGCGGGATATTCCCAGTCGATGTCAATTCCGTCAAACCCATACTCGGACATCATCGAGAGCGCTGAACTAATGAAAGCCTTGCGTGCCCCTGGAAATTGTACCATGTGCGAAAATACCTCTCCTCCCAGGTCCCATCCCCCGACAGAAATGTACGTTTTTAACGACGGCTTCTTCTTCTTGAGGGCAGTGAACCTTGACCAGTATTCCTTATCCTTGTCATGGGTCGTGGTGATGGTAAAGTCAGACGTACTGATGCCGGCGAAAGAATAGTAGAGGTGCTATGTGTGGGTGATGCTTAGGTAAATGTCAAGACAGGAGGGGCTGAATGAATGCGTACGGTCCACGGATCAACATTGATGTTTTCAGGCAAGACAACATCACAAGGGTGGGTTGGGTTCCAGCCTTCATAGTAGCCAATGTAGACGGCCTCGCTAGATGATGCAGAACATGTACTAATATGCGGTGCAATCAGTAGATGCCATGGTAATAGATTTGGCCAATACCTACGGTTCTTTGATGGCGTCGCAGCCATTCTGGCATCCGCTGCCGCAGAAGTCATCGGTGGTACCGCAAAAGCTATAGTGAGTCAGCAGAAGGCAAAACTTCTAGCAAGCGAGTGAGAATACCCATATTTGGAACAGCAGACATTAAGAGGACAACTTGCTCCAGGCGTTGCAGCATATTCTGGGATACATGTTAATGGACCCCAGGGGCACATTCTAAACAGCGCGACATACCTCCGCATTCAGCTACTGCATGGCAGTTGGAGATACAAACATCAACTCCACAAAAATCTTTTCCAAAGCCACAGGATCCATATTTTGAACAACACCCAGTGTCGCATGGACTAGTTGCTGAGCAGGAGCCCACGGCTGCTTGCACCGAAGGAAGCACACTCAAGGCGCTCAGGAACAGCCACCACGCGTTTGTTAGTCGTTGCATTGCAAAAGTCCGCACGAGATTTAATCTGCTCTCTGGTCGGAGAAAGCTGACTATGGCTTGATCCCTATTATTTCGAGCGGCTTTTATACTAAGCTAAGACGACAATTTCTATTCATGGGTGTCCACTTTCATTGTCGCCGTTCACCTTTACGGGTGCAGTAAAGACACCAACTGAAAGCCGTGACCTAACCCATTTATTCAAGTATTTACTTTTTTGATTAATGTTCTCGATTTTGCGATATCGGACTGTCGACCATTCGATGTCCGATCACTTCGGCTAACGGTAACCGTCGGCCACCGACGGAAATTGGCTGCTCGGCATAAGCACTAAGCCCTAATGTATTAAGGGTCCGGGTCCTTCCGATTCTATTGAGGACCCTGAGCGAGCTAAGCTTCTAGTGTCAACTTCTGAGAGCGGGTGTACGCCAAATCATCACCAGGTGGGGCCACTAATTGAACGGTTCTTGTTTTCATCTCCACAAGGAGCTGTTAGCAATGCAACATAAGACTTTCAAGATAAGAGCACTATGCAGGGGCACAGCCATTTAATCAATATGGCCAGAAAATGGCGCACCGGACCTTTCTCCGTACCTGACTCTTTTTTCAGCTTTAATCTATATCCTGTCTCCTCCTGACCCTGCGTTGGCATAGTCCACATTGATTCAATGGTTGGTTACCCACCCCCAGTACTGCTCTTGCATTAGGAGTGAAACCTTCCCAATGAGATATGGTGGTACCTGTACAATAATCCCTTCCTTCCATATTAGCGGATGTCTGTCTTCCGCGAGACATCAGGAGCAATATGCATGTTCTGGGCCTAGTGAGGGAGATGTGGAGACATATCGGAAATTTGATGCACTTGGGATCCGTAACAAACCGAGCATTTACCAGGAAGACCGGAAGGCGAAAGGCGTACCCGGAAAAAGCGTACTTGAGATTCTCAGTAGTGTATCGCACTATGGGAATAGCAAGACCATGCCCCTCATACAATAGAAAGGGGGGCATCATCCGGTTCGTTTATCAAGCCAGCCTCCTTCCCTATCTGAGTGTAGATGTGACTTTTTTTTAACAATTTTGTCGGTCATTAATCCAGTAGCTCATTCGGAAAGAAGACTATCCGCTCACTCAGACAAGCTTTCATTCTACTACGTTCGTTCGTCCATTTATTCATTCATTATATCAAAGTAATTTTAGGGTTCACTACTACTATGTTTAAACGCGCTGCCACTGCAATGGGCCTTTTCTGGGCGCTATTGTTTTGCCATTCCCTAGCCTTCCCATTCGAGCCGTTTCCTACAGATACTGATGTTGTCCCATTCGCCAATGTATCCGACCTCCTCCCGAGGCATCTGGTCAAAAGAGCATCACGGTATCCCAGAGTCAAGTATGGCCCCACCTGCAGTGCTGAGGAGCAGGCCTATATAGATACTGAGTTAGATGAGCTCCAGCCAGTGGTACGGATATTACATGTCTTTCCCACTCGGTGCAATGATAGACTACTCACCGCTGGCAGATGATCCGTGTCATGCGTCAACTCCGAGATATCCGAGCAGTTATTAGAGAAAAAGAACAGCCAGCCAACTGGGGAACTCGATTCGCCGATAATGACCGGATCTTAACCTCCTGGGCTTCAATGATGGGAAGAACTAGATTTAATTATGAGGTTGAATTGAGAGAAAATCAAGATAACCTGGCTTCATGGACGACGACTTCACGGAATATGCAATTCATGATAAGTCAGTTGATCTCACGACCCTCCAAACATCGCGCCCTGAAGGAGAAAGTCTGACCATTGGAGGTTCCATGATAGGTGTCTACAGCCGTATCTACAACGCCTTACGGGATAGAACGCTGGCACTTACCATCCACTGTGGTGATGAATTCTATGTCTTTGATAAAGACGTCAGTACCAAGAACACCCGTTAGCGTTCCCCCTTCAGTGCCACATTTCCCTTTCCCTGCCTGACGTACAAATCCAAACCAGGTGTATATCGAGATACCAGATCGACAGAGTCCCAGCCTTATATGATATTGCCGGAGCCCGGAAGACTATGCCACGAGAATGGGGGTGGCAACGGATGGCAGATGTGGAACAAGCTCACTGTAGAAGACGAAATTTGCATCTGCCCGAGGGTTTTCGACAATGCAAAGACGTCGCAGACTCTGAGCAGTTTAGACAATACTGTTGACAGCCTTAAAGGGCGACATGTCGATTATATCAAGAAATTCACCGCAGCAGGCAGTTTACTACACGAGCTATCCCATTGCCGTGGCATCCTTGGGGACGACCAGACCAGTAAGCTGTCCCGGTTCTCACGAGAAAAAGGTTTTTTTTTCCCGGACGAACTAACCGGGAGGATAAAATCTCAGAGGACCTAAGGCTTCGACCTTTCCCACTAGGTCCGTTCATCGATGGGTATCAACGAAACGGCGTCTGGGCCGTGTCAAAAATTGATCCAGCTGGGGCTCATCGCAACGCAGGTAATACAGTCTCCGCCCAACCACCGTTATCTATGTAAGGATTCCCGGACTTTGCTGACAGCTGGGCCAGACAGTATCACGTATTTCGCCCTAGCCATGTATTACTCCGCCTGTAACTGGTCGCGGGGAATTTGCGGGGAAAAACCCTTTTGGGACTTTTGGAGTCAAGATAAACAAGAGTATATGGATATAGATTATTCTACGTGAAGTAGTCGGGTTAATCGTATCGTTAACTAGGTAGTTAGCTGGTCAGGGCCACATAGCCCGGCTGGGTAAATATATTCTGTGCTAGTTAGTTCATTAGGGAGCTATCTACGTACTAATTAGTTAGTTAGTGGATTAGTGGGCAGCAACTAGTCCATCGGTCGGGCGCTTCTTTAAATGACTGTTGGCCCTTCCTCACCATCCGCCACCCCAGTTTCTTGCAAAACAACTTGTTACTACGATGGCGTCCCTTAGCAACCTCCCTTTAGAACTTTTACGCTGGGTGGCTGAATACCTAACCACCCAACGCGATATCAGTCATCTGATGCAGACGAATACGCGCCTGTATCACGCGATGCACCCTATTCTCTGCGAATACAATGTTCAACATGATGAGAGCTCCGCCTTACCTTGGGCTGCCCAAAAGGGAGAGACTCGCTTGGTGACCAAGCTCCTAACTGCCGGGGCCAACATTTCTGCCTATTCTCCCTCTCCCCGGTATGTGGAAAGGAAGGTTCACAACAGTAGGGACATCGATCCGTGGGCCAAGAATAATTCTTTGTTATACGCAGCCCAGGGGGGCCACACCGCAATCCTCAAAACACTTCTTGGGGAGACCCGGTCGGGCCAAACGGCATCGCCGGCACAGTTGCGGTCGGTCCTGCATTGGGCGCTGCGCCAGCACGATGAACAGGTAGTCGAGCTGATGTTTGCTCACAAGGCCCCCTTGGATCCTGCAACAGAATCAAGCGGCGCCCCATCTGCCCTCGGAGTCGCCGTGGCCGCCAGCTACAACGCCATCCTCCCCCGACTTCTGGCTCTTGGCGCACGTCCGGGGCCTCATGAGTGCCCGTGCCCAACCGAGCGGGCCATTTTCACCAAGCAGCCGGAAGTTATACGGCTGCTGCTAGATCATGGCCTTGGCCTATACGGTGATAATGCGGTTTGTCACCTTGCCCATGAAGACGATCGCGATACGCTTCGGCTCTTGCTCGCATACGGCATGGATCTGGTGAATTACGGTTCGGCAGCCCTATTCACAGCTATTCGAGACGGCCACTACGAAATGACTGAATTGCTGATCGATAATGGGGCCATCAAGGATGTATGTTGTGAGCTGTATCCGCCGTCTGGTCTCTTTCTCGGTACTGCGTATAGCGCGGTTGCTATGGCTATATTGTATGAGCGGCTTGACATCCTGAGGCTCCTCCTCGACAAAGGCTTCCTTCCCGGCCCACGAGACTTGGAACTTGCCACTGAAAGGAGTTTTACTGAGGCTGTGTCGCTTTTGACACCTTTCGCAGAACGCGACCTACATGACGGAAACGTTATCAACATGTGGCACGCCTTTGGATGGGACCCTAATAATCCCAGGCCCCGGGATGGATCCATGTGGGATATTAAATCTCGCAGTCAGGGAATTATTGATACTTCTGGAACTAGAGAGCCAGAGCCGGAGAGCTTGTGGGCTACGGCTGTATCTAATGATGATTACAACGACTCTGACGGTGACTACGATTCAGAACTCGAACGAGAGTATTGGAGAAACAGCGAGTATGGTAGAATCAACGTGTCCTATTAACCGCAAGATAACTCAGCAGCAAAGGCAAGGAGGGTTCAATTCTATATCTACAGAACTTTGCTAGATTCTCATAATGGTTGATGAGAAGTAGAGAAATTTTGTAGAAAGGCCACATAATGGGAAAAGATCTAGTGATTACCTGATTAATTTTTAAGGAATAAAGGTAGATAATTTCTTGGTGCTAAGCCCCCTATTCAAGTGCTTACTTCGGAAAACTTATAGTATCGTATGATTATTGAGCCCTATCCGTAGATGAAGGACACGGTGGCCACGGGGTAGATTCGGCTCTGCGGGAGCTGCCGGAAAGCCGAGCAAGGCAGCGAGGTAGTAGCACTAAGCGAACTAATGCAGGTAATGCAGGTGGGCAATATGTAGCAATTAAACACTTTTCCAGGTTATCTTGATAATTATCAGCCACGGAAAGCCGGCATCGGAGTAAGACTGAGATATATATGTAACACCGCTAGCCATGGCCCCTAGGTCTATAATTCGGTTCCCCTTCCTACTCTTACTAACGAAAGACAAGTAATCGAGTAGCTTCAATTGTTTGGACAGAATGATTTCCACTCCTTTTTTCACCCTCGCCATATTCGCATCCGTCCATGGTTTTGCCATCAACAAGAGATTTGACAATGGTGACTTCCCAACTGGTAATACTGACCCCAATGTGGCCAGTGCATGTACATACTGGGCGAATTCTATTGGCTCAACAGATACTTGTGCGGACCTTGAGAGCTACTATGGAATCACGGCTACACAGCTAACTTTCTGGGTAAGATGAGCTCCTTCCTATCATGAAGATGGCCAAGGCTAATGGATTACAGAACCCTTCTCTCTCAATCACTAACTGTGCCCTCAAAGAAGGCTGGAGCTACTGTGTTAGTGCACCAGCTATATCAACCACACCCTCGTTCACCAGCACTATGTCTACAACATCTTCCACGCTCCTGCCTACTACCACGGCGACATCTGCGTCAAACATAACCAGCAGTGCGAGTAGCCCTTCCCCGGCTCAAAGCGGCCTGAGCTCGAGCTGTGATGCATTCTATTACGTCAAAACGGGCGATTCTTGCTGGGCAATTGTCAACTCGTACGGCAATTTTACGCTCAACCAGTTTTACTCCTGGAACCCGTAAGAGCGTACCACTTGATTGAGACTTTTTCAATAGCTAAAACTATACACAGGGCCGTCAAGTCCGACTGCTCCGGCCTACAGCCAGACTATTACGTCTGTATCGGTGTCACTGGGTCCACCACTGTGGCGTCGCAGACTACACTTCCTGCTACCAATACTGCTTCAGCGGTTACTACTACTGGGTCATACCTACCCGAGCAGACGGGAATCGCATCAAACTGTATAATCCCCTTCCATCATCATCGCCGCCCGACTTCAACTAATTCACGGCAGGCAATAAACACTACTATGTTAAACACGGCGATACTTGCTCTGACATTGCTATCAATTACGACATCAGCCTAAGCGATTTCTACTCCTGGAATCCAGCTGTAGGAACAACGTGTAGTAACCTGGAAGCTGATTACTGGGTATGCGTCGGTATATCTGGTGAGTATACTCCCCGCCCCGGTAGCCTGCTCTCTGCAAGGCAAACTAATTAACTCCAGGTGGTACCTCCGCAACCACCACAACACCTACCTCCACATCCACATCAACAGCTAGCAGTACCACACCCACCAGCAGCGCTCCATATCCCACCCAGTCGGGCCTAGTAGATGACTGTTCCACCTACTACCAAGCCAAATCCGGAGACAGCTGCTGGTCTATCGTCAACAACGAATATACCTACCTGACGACCTCCCTCTTCGAAGAATGGAATCCCGCCGTCGGATCAGACTGTAGCAACCTGCAACCTAGTTACTATTACTGTGTTGCCACGCAGAAGCAGGCGCCAATGCCCGACACGATCGATACCTGTGAGAAGTGGCATTTGGTAGCTGAAGGGGACAATTGTTGGTCGATTGAGCAGGACGCAGGTATTACTGCGGATCAGTTTAATACGTGGAATCCGTACGTGGGTTCATCCTGTGCGAACCTGTGGTTGGAGTATTGGGTTTGTGTTGGTGTTTAATTGAGCTATACGTGCACGGGGGAATGGCGGAACCCTAGCAGATAGACGGCCAAGAGCAGCGTAAACTGCAGCCAATTTCGGCGGCCCATGTGCCGACTTCTGGTTTGACGTAGTTATCTTTACCACCCGTGAATATGATATAATTGAGCTGTTGTACTTAGTGACGATGGTGAGTACTGTGGTGTCTACTGTTTGGTATTGCTCTCAAAGAACCCCAATTTACGAAAGAATCACCCGGTATCTTAGTGGAAGCAATATCTTCCTATCACCGTAATTTAATATAAGATAAGAGAGTTTGTAAATAGTGTAGGTAGCAGAAGCTTCAGGAGCTCACAAGTCCAATATTGTGATTCAATTCTACTCTGTTATTACTTCTCTTCACGGATTCCCGGGCGTGTTTGGTATGCATCCGGAGGCTTCGCCTAATCCCGTCACCCTCTTATAGCCTGTATGTATGCTTTGCGCATTCTTCCCTGAGTTGCCAGGTCTTTTCCGGAGAATCAGTCTTTGGTTGTAGATGCATATAATAATCCAATCGATCATATTGGAGAGATAATATATTGTGAATGGCTTCGGTCAGTCATAATCATGCAAGCTAGAACCCATTAGAAAATACTGTCCCCTGTTCTGAAGAGGCTGCCTATTGACCAATTCATGCTCGTCATCGAAACAAGCCGCTCCCCACTTTTTGCATTCCACACAGAGATCGAAATCTCCATCATTGCAAATTGTACAGTTTAGGGCAGCTTCGCGCGGAGTGCGTGCTCCACAAACATCGCAACACAGGCCGCGGTCAGAATTATCCACCATCATGATAAACGCATCCCTGATTCCTGAGCACCATGGGTCCTCAAATCTTAGCTCCGTGTGGATATCTACTGTCCCAGGAGGTGTGTCGTAGAGACTATTTCCCTCTCTTTGTTGAAAAATCACCAGTTTTCCATCACTGGGGATCTCTTTTCCATTGACCCTCACCATAGACCTATACCGCTGAGGATCCAAGAGCAGTAGAAACCACGGTTTTTCCCTCGAAATAGCCTCGTTTATGGCCGTGCGACCGAAGCTATCGGTTGCCTCGCGATCAAGACTCGGATCTTCAAACAACGCACTCGCAAACTCGAGCATATCTCGCACGACAGCCCCCATCAATGGAGTCCTACCATAGCGATCTTTCACGTTAGGATTGCAACCCGCTCCAAGCAGCGACTCCACTATGTTCCTCGAATTGACTTCACAATCTATCAATAATGATATAAGTGGGCGCCCTTTCTCATCCACGATGTTGGGATCTGCACCGCGCTGAAGCAATACTTCTACCACCGCTGACATGTCTCCGACCCCAAAATTGGGCCATGATCCCGAGCCTCTGCCCCTGCTGATCTTCTGCGAAAGAGATTCTTCGTGAAGTTTCAAAGCCCAAAAAATAGGGGATTGAGAAGGGTTATCCGGCTGATTGGGATTTGCGCCCTTGTCAAGTAGTATTTTCACAATAGCCTCGTATCCTTTCCCAGCTGCCCAGCAGATTGGCTTTTCACCAAACTGGTCTTGTGGATCCACCTGAGCTTTGTAATCAAGTAGTAACTCTACCATGCTATCGTTCCCGTCACCGGCGGCATAGAATAGGGGCGTTGTATCTCCAAAGCAGTTTGCAGTGTTCCGAGCCTCCAGATCTTTCAGCGGCACTGAGACGACTTTGTCCCTGTACCGTAATGGCTCAAGATATCCTGCCTCGGTGGTGTTAGGATTAGCACCTGCTTCAAGTAAAGTGCGTGCAATATTGAGCTCTCGTCGCTGGACCGCATAAAACAACGACGTGCGACCATGTTTGTCTTTGACAACAATCTTCATCCCTTCTTTTGTCAGTAGATTCACCAAACCCAGGTCTCCACAAAACACAGCAAGGTGAAGGGCAGATTGAGCCTTGCCAGTGAGCAGAGTTGCCTTTACTCCGTGGTGTAAGAGGAAGCGTGCAGTCTCAAACTTCTTTGTTAGACATTGCAAATAGTATCGTCGTGCTTTTTGTTTCTGGAGAGACTGAATGCTCCACCATCATGTATTCCAATATATCCTTCTTTCCTGATTTTGCTGCCACAATCACGAGTGCTGGGATATCTGCACGTTCCCTTAATGTGATGGGTCCCTCTTTTATCATCATCTCTAGCATATTGCGGTGTCCCAAGCAAATGGCCTGTTCAAGGATTATCTGCACCTGCCTTGGAGAAAGGTAGACCTGTGTCCCCTTCTTCAAAAAGGCCTTAATCAAGTCAGAGTATACTCCTTTGACTGCATAAAACAACGGCGCCAGAACCTGATTTTCTGAGGTAGAACTTATACTGTCCAAAGAACGCTGAGGGTTAGCATCGGCATCGGCATCAAGAAGAAGTGATACAGCCCTGCTATTTTCTGCAACGTCCCAGTCTTCACGTCGTGGGGAATAAGGGCATAGACCCTTTGCAGCGCATAGCAGTGGTATCTCCATATCGATATTTTTTGGGTCTGGATCAACGTTGTTTTCCAACATGAGCTTGACAATTGAAATCCGCCCGAATCGAGCTGCAGAGAAGAAAGCTGTCTCCTGGCGCAGATTTCGATGCTGAATATCTGCTCCTTTTGCCAAGAGGGCTTGTACTGCATATTCCTTACCACTCTCAGCAGCGTAAAAGAGCGGCGTGTTGCCCTTATCATCTGTTTTATCGACATCCAGGCCCATGTCGATCAATTCGTCGATGACTGAACAGTTTCCATTTCTTGCCGCAGGGAACAAAGGGCTTTGCATGTGCTTGTTCTCGATTCTCGGGTCTGCCTTGAAGCGTCGAAGGCACTTCAGAATTTCCGTGTCAGTTTGGCCTGCTGCGAGAAAGAGAGGAGACTGGTGTTCTTTATTCAAAGGATTCGGGTCCGCCCCATGCTCCAATAATGCAACGACCATCTGTACATTGCATTTCCTGGTGGCATGGAAGAGAGCGACCTCTGCATTTCTATCTTTAAGATTCGGATCTGCACCACATCTGAGTAGATGCAGTGCAGCTTCGTTGAAGTCATGCATGATCGCATACGCCAGCGGGCTATTTAGACCGCTATCTTGAGCATTCAAATACGCACCAGCATTTATGAGCGCCCTGACTATATTGACAGAACCTCCCTTGGCAGCATAGTGGAGAGGCGTAAAACCTGAAATACCCGTGATATTGACTCGAACGCCTCTTCGAAGTAACTCATTGACTATGTCTTCGTCGCCAGATACCGCTGCGTCGCAAAGAAGTGTGTCTCCCATTTCATCTTGCACGTCGGGATCAGCGCCTTGCGATAATAGAAATTGTACTGCCTCAATCTTTCCAGACCTGAATGCATGCGCGAGAGAAGTCTGGCTATCGTTATCGCATGAGCAGAGATTGTCAATCCTTACTCCCAGGTCAATCGAAAATTGCATTAACTCGATGTCTCCAGTCCCCGCTGCACCACAAAGTGCCGAACACCCCGAGTCATCTTTGGCATGTGGGTTGGCACCATGCTGAATCAGAAGCCGAGCTATTTCCCCGTGGCCTCGAAAGGCTGCGATCAATAGTGGTGTTTCGCCATATTGGTCTGCAGGATCTGGAAAGCTTGAACGGGGATCCAAAAGAAGTTTCACGACTTCAAGGTGACCATATTTAGCAGCGTATGCAAGTGGTGTCATGCCATCAGAGTCTCTGGCATTTATATCGTTGCCTGATCTGATATACTTAGCTATCATTGGAGCTAGGCCACCGTACGCAACAAGATGAATCTTGGTCAGCCGGCGTGGAATGAAATCCAACCAGTTTGCAAACTGCGGCTCCTCGTCACCATGAACGGAATGCGCCAGCATTGCCTGACCAGCTGCATACACATTGTATTCCTTCTCTAAGAACTGAGAAAAGAATTTTAATGTGTCTTCAGAGCTAGAGCTATCCAAGGCGGCTGATGCGTGAGTTGCCCAATTTTGAGCAGAATAATGATGAAGGGGGTATTGTTTTTGTCGAAGCGTGTATTGCTCTGGTCCAGAAGAGCGTCCAGAGGAGAAACAACCGAAAGGAAGATATGTTATACATGCCTTCGCAATTTTCATTTCTGCTTCCTGAAGTATGGGATGTCCAACCAGGTACTGCTTTGTGGTGTAATGAACCAAGCGAATGATACCGGTATATACATCATACTCTACCAATCCAGCACACAATGACCCAAGTGTTTTGAGATGCGGTAGAAAGTCTTCATCCAAGTTAAAGTGCTCTGGTCTCGAGGCGAGTTCATGTTGAAGTTCTTTAGCATATAGTGCTCTTTTACTGTAGGTTAACCATGAGAGGATTTCTATGACCAACTCGTATCGGTCCCCGACCCCCCGATCAGCTTCAATCTTGGCAATAGTCCGATCATAGGTCACCGTCAATTTATTGGCACCCTGTGGCAAATTATTTAAAGCCCTCCTGAGGCTTGCTTTGGTAGTTAGAGGCATCAGATCATCCATGTGCAGTCTAGCAAGTAAGAACCTAAGAATTCCAATCCCATTTAGCTGACCCATCCGCGAGTTGTCTCCCGAAATCATAGACAACGACACCTCCACTTTCCTTACTGGAGCTGACCACGACATCACCCAAATGAATATCAGGACTGTCGCCGACGCCTGGAATGCCGGCTCCAATGCCAACAAGAAGTCCACGGATCTTTGGGAAAGTGAAAAGCATTTCTTTTGCACAGATAGCATCAGAGGCGGCACCCAGTTGGTCAAGGGGCAGCCAAGCAACAACAACTTTGAATTTACCGATAGACCCCAGCAAGTACGAGTTACAGTCAGCTTTGGATGGTGGCATTTGCGGATTGCCGTGCTCCTCGTCAAGCATTTCTTTCGCCGCGGCGAACTCCACTGGCAGCGCACATATCCATCCCACAGTATACTCTTCGTTCGAATAAGGGGACTGATCTTCATTGGCCATGATCTGTGAGGGAGCAGTAATAAGGATAGAACCAGATTGTTGCATTAAGGT